AAACTAGTTTTAACTAGACAAAACGGGTTTTAACAAAGACATTCAGTATAAACTAGTTTCAACTAGTTAAAACGCGTTCTAACTAAAAACGGGTTTTGACTGTAACATATATATTGTTATTCTTACGTACTTTATAATATAATTAATATATTAAAATACAGCAGAGTTTCTGTAATCCGACTCGCGAAAGTCGGATTATTGGATTTTGTACGTACGTGGGTACTGTACAGTGAAATATACACTAGATTTACAGGTTAGTTCATCGTATTAACCACGATTAATCAAGTAATTAAACAAATTAAGTAAATAAGTTATTGATACAGTATACGAATTACCTTGAATATGATTCCTTACACCGCCCGTTAATGTTGGCGAAATGTTTCTTTTAACTGTGTTGCATCTAATCACTTCTGGTTCATCTATTATCATTCTTACATTACCCAGAAATGGGATAAAAGATCTCGTGTTTTTGAAGGAAATAAAAACATCGTCATCTGAAAAAAATATAAAATTTGCTGTAAGAAAAATATTTCTAAACGCTATGAAATTTTATCAAAAAGAATGATAATGATTCACGCTATTGAGGTTTATTGATTTTAGTTTTGCTAACGCGATGTACCAGCAACCGAGAGTAAATGGCTTGCCACAGTTTTGTCCATTACGGGAAAACCGTGGCATGTACTGTACAGTGAGGATGAAGAATAACTCTACAAGCGGAACTATTCGCGTCAAATGGCGCATCTGAACTTGGATCCAGTAGGTTGAGACATTCGCGTGCGAATGTCATACGCGACCAAGACCCAGAGAGGACCCTAGAATTTGCGAGACCATAAGCAAAATTTATTTTTTGAGGCCTTATAAAGAGCATAGGAATATGTCACATAGAGTAATTTTGGGGGCTATATCTCGCAAAGGGTCACACGTAAAGGTATGGTTCCTTTGACTTTTTTGTTCCTATGAGTATGCTCTACGGTGTTAAGGTCCCAAACGTATCATTCAGAGCTTGAATTGAGCCGAAAATAAATATATTTTGTCTTATTTTTGACTAAGTTTTCCTCCTTTTGCTGATTCGAAACTATACCAGTATAATAAGTCTTATTTATAAACAAAGTTACGCGGTAATACATAAACAAAAATGACTACAATAGATTTACAATGGATTGGAAATTTCAATAGGTGTATAGAAATTCACTTAATATGTGTTTATGTGTGTGTGTAGCTACAGAGACTTTTACCTACGTAGGGTCTTTTCTTCCGACACACATTTATAACAAGCAACACTGAAGTAACGATACAGCTCTGTTGCTGCCAGTTTCATAAAAACAACCAATCTCAAAATGCTCAGATATAATGTTATTAATTTATGCGGTTCTTCAAAACGTTATCATTCTGCAGCATGCTAATTAGTTTACAACTTAAAATATTCAAGTTAAACTATTTATTCATGAAATATTTATAAATTAAAATACAAATTTATTCCTCAATAGATAATTCATTAACTTCGATTAGATACAGTGCGATCAGGGAGTTTGGTTATTTTAGCCTATCATTGCCATGTTTATCTCGGTACTGAATGGGGCAATTTTTCTCTATTTTTTCAAAAAAGAATACATTAGTACAGTATCTTGTACTTCCAACGTTTCAGAGTTCGAACGACGCTTTAAAGCTCGAACTACGGAACGGATTAATTATTTCTAATGGGGAAATTGATTCGAACGATTCGGAGTTCAAACGGTCTCCTGTAACGAATCAAATTCGTAGTACGAAGCACAGATGTATTTTAAAAAAAATACGTGTGGCGCCATCTGTTGCGAGATTTTATTTTAAAAATAACATATGTATTATTAATCAAAATATATAACTAAAATTGTTATATTTTGTTATAAAAACTTTACATATTTTTAATTATTATAAAATATCAAAAGACTTAAAACACTATAAATGCTAACCAAAAGTAAAATCTTCATTAATTAAGTCTGATCCCTCAAGAGATACATTAAGTGACCATCTTCTATTTCTCCATCCCCTCAACCTTTCACAACCAAAATTTAATAGTATCATTATCCCATATGCAGAAACAACCCTGCCAAGTTTCAAAATTTTTGATTCATCCAGACCCGAGTTATAATGCGAAACAGACACCGACGTACAGTTGAATTTTATGGTTTATATATATATATATTGGCTCGGAAACATTCCCCTCGGCAGATCGCCCACGTGTCGCGTTACCGTAACCAAATAAACCAAACCGATCAATAAACTTACCTATTAAGCAATACGATAAACGACATTTCTTAAAAAGAAGTAATAAAAATAGTTTCAAAAGAATAATATAAATACATTTAACAATTTACCTTCTATTGGTTTATAACAAAATGGCAGATTTGGCAGCCATGTTCCGTTTTCACATTTAACCTCGACAGATCCTTTCAAATACGAATAATATGGGCAACCGAATCTTAAACGTGAACCGTGATCATAAAATCCATCTTCTATTTCCTTTTCTCCATTTAAAAATGCTCTTAAGTACGTCGTCGATCGATACGTACATTTTCTTAAAAAGTTAATTTTACTTGTATCTGTAAATGAATTAGTATTAATATTAGTAATTCCACTTAGTTTAATATTTTTAGACAGACAGACAGACAGACATACACAAAAATTCCGTTTTATATCCATTTTTAGCTGGGGTTACATTACTGAAAACTGCAACGAGAAACTGATCGTTACACGTATTATTTACAGACACCGTATTGAATTTTAATACACATTTATTGTTTTTAGAATTACGTTATGAAATATTTCCATTGTTATCAAAAAAATTGATAAACGTAAATAGAAATGTATATACTAATAACTGCTTAGGAACAAATAAAATACAGATTTATGCACAGAAGAAAAACCCCCCAAAAAGTAACACAAGATCCAATTCCTTATCCATTGCACTAATCCAATTGTTTCCAATAGGCATGCCCTAGTCCAAACTTATCGATTAGAGAGCCAAATTGCACCCTCCAATCGAAAATTGATGTAGAAGTATTGAATTTAAATAATTTCAAGTAGGTTAATATATATTCTTAGAAATGAAACTAATACCTTTCGGACAAATTGGTAAAGGATTAAACTTTCCGAATTTACAAATCACTTGTCTATCATTGGAAGGCTCGTCTCGTGTATAGAATTCATCCTTTGTATAACAACGTAACATTAGTTTCTCGCCATGTTCTACCGTAGAATTAGGAGTTATCTAAAAGAGATATTATTGTAAACAATTAAAGATTTTACAATTTATCAATTTATAAAAAGAATATTTTCTGTATTATAGAAAGTGCACCAAAGTCGTATCTCCAATTCGTTTTAACACTATAACGCTGTCATAAATTCCATGTCTTAAGCGATGGATTTTGAGCCACGCTATTTTCTTCTTTTTTCTTTTTCCATCGTCTATCATTATTTTAAATCACACATAAAAAACTAACACCTAATTAGTAGAACTCAAAATAATGTTAAAAATGAGTATTCTAGTTTAGAATGCGTGGGGTTCCACTTAGAAAAAAATGGTTCGGAACAACGTGGCGTGGTCAGTTGTATGTCAGAAGCAGTTAACAAAGCGCAAAATACGTTCATTTCATTCTATTGCTACATGTTAGTAACGAGAAACAAACTCTCACTCGTTTAAAAGTAAAGTCGCAAAGTCACGTTCCAACAATTTCGTGGATAGTATGAATGAAAATCCATGCACATTTAAAAGAGGGAAAACCAGAACTGAGTAATAATGACTCCACACGCTAGTCTGCAAAGTTTCTTTGGCGAAATAAGCCCCTAAGGGATCCTATTTAGGAGCAGGGATCGACCGCGGTGCGTTTTCTCTATATATTGTAACATAAGTTTATTTACCTGAACGAAACGGTTTTGTTCAAACATTCCTATTTTGCCGTTTTCGACATTTGGAACAGAACAAGGCTCTAAAACAAAAGAGTTTTCGTAAATTTTTATGTACTTTTAAAACACGAGTTTTACAGTATAAATTCGAAACTGAAATATAATATATATATTAAATTATTAATTTAAACTTTATATAGCCTATGTACTGTACAGTACATTGTATATATATCACCATTGAAACGTATAATTAGAAAACAAATAACACAACTTACTAGTACAAATTGGACTGGCAGAACTCCATTCTCCATTTTTTAAACAGATTGAAATTGGCATACCGATCAAATTGAAACCGGAATTACAATAATATAGAAGTACACTTCCTTCAGTTCTTTTCTCATTCAACAATTCTGCTTTCCCATTAAGTGGATGTCTCGGCATTTTACAAGTAATTCCTAAATATATAAGTATTTTATTAAATAAGAAAAGATTACATTCTAGAGATCTATAATATAAAAAACCATAATCATTTTTATATATTTATTTTAATAGTGTCGCGATGCACATCCCCCGGTCTCTTATACTATAAAAATTTTAAGAGATTTACAGCTTAAATTACAAATTATACGAAGAAATTTTACTAGCGCATATAGGTGTACAGCCACTCCATTTCCCGTTTTCCATGCAATATCTCACATTGAGTCCTTTTAATTTGAATCCGTCATTGCACACATATTTGACGAAATTTGGATAGGTGTATTTATCTCCTAATAGGAGCCCATTTTCCGGTGGATGTGGTTTCTCACAATGCACAGCTGAAAAGAAAATTTTTAAAAGTAAACTCTTAGTTGTAAATTATAAAAAAATTTATTCAAATAAAATATAAACTGTAAATTATTATAATGTGAAAGGTAACGAAAATAAACAAGAATAATACTTATTTTAGGGTTTCTATTAGACATTTTAACATTCACCGAGATGGAATATTAAAACAGTTACTCACGTTTACACTCTAATTTCTCGTTTGTCTCGAATAATTTGTCCTCGTTTAATACGCAATCTGTGAAATAAAAAAAAGAAATTACACTCGTACTCGACGACCGAGTCAACAGATAACTACTATATTTTTCACGAATCAATGCGAAACCATAAAAAATATCAGGCGAAAAATGGCGTAATTCGAATTAATCATCTACAAATTTAAAGACGAAATGTGAAATTCCAACAAACCTGTTAATACGAAAGGAAATCGAAAGAATAGGACAATCCAATAGGGCAGAAGTTTACTAATTTCCATTTGAAGTTCATGCGGTGTCTAAACACAAAACACTGTATCGAAGTGTCGTTTCATCTTATGTAAACATTGTTTACATAAGATATTTATAAAGATAAAATGATGACCTTCTCGAAAATTTTTAAAGTAAACTTTAGGATAGTCACATTTTTTTTAAATTTAAACGAAATTTAATTGAACTTAACCAATATTTTAATATACGGTATATAAAATACATTATATATATACAATATATATTTGTCTTTTTATATCACAGAGTCATTCTTTGGACTGTTTCCGCCAGGAAGGAACGAAAGGGTGATGTATCGATACTACATACAAATCTGCTTTGTTGTACCAACTTCGTTTAAATTACGTAGCTTGAAGATATACAGAAGACATACTTGATAATTTACAGAACAAAACAGCGGTCGCCAACCTTTCTGACCTCAGGGACCGCTAAACTCAGTTTTGAATCCCGCGAACCTTTATCATAAATTTTTTAAAACGATAAAAACATTCGTAGAATAATGCTCACAAAAGTTACATTTTACTTTATTAATATAAAATTCAGTTGTTTAATTATAACAAATTAATGTGAAGTTTGTTGCAATAAGTAAGAAAAAAAGCAACCAAGCATTTTGCATTTCCTTCTCAATACTTCGCGTAAACCTTGAGTCGATTAATGTCCAAATTTCTCCACGGACCACTAAAATGTTCTCGCTGACCATTAGTGGTCCACGAACCACCGGAGTAGAAAGTGCCTTCTTTCTGTGGATCAAAATTTTTCTTTGTTGGATTTTTTAACTCTTTCCAGCCTGTGGGCTCTAAGAGGGCCTCTTATAACAGGCCCATTATGGGTTCGGTCGGGCCCACAAAGGGGCGACCGGGTGGTATGAGAAGGAGCCCGTAACAAACTGTTCCTAGTAAATTTTTACCGTCTTTATGTCCGATATGTTCGTCCTTGACTTCGTACATTTTAGATAATTCAAAATCGGTGACAAATACTCTATTAAAGAATCGAGTTAAACCCATCGATAAATTGTTGGGTTTGATGTCTCTGCGGATAATAAATATTCTTCGAGTGGATGTACCGTAGAGGAGAAATCAATCGATCGGCCAACATCGGCACAGTTTTAATACCGAACCTTCCGCCGCAACACTTAAATAGATCTTCGAAGCCCGTGGCTAAAGCGTTGTACTGTTTATATTTTGCAGAACATATGATTTTGGGGATGCCATATCCTTTTTACAAGATATTATAAACTTCATACGTTTGAGAGTAAAAAGCTCTAACTTAACTGCAACTTGTTCTCCATTTTCAATATTTAATCCGAGGTACCGCGATTTTATTATATAAAACAAACATCGAATTTTTTTAAATAAACATATTTTCACAAAATTGTGAAAATAAAATTGTAAAAATAATAATAAAAAGCAGAAATTAACACTTTCGGCAAGAGCCGCGCGTAACTCAAAAACAGCCGCATTTACCCACGCTGGGTATATGGAATAGATACAGATGACATTATATTATATACGGTGTAATATTATGTTGCTTTTGTGGGCATTTTTATGCGTGAAATACAGCTAAATCGGTAAAATAAGGCTTTGTTTTAGGGTGGGGAACAAATTAATCCATTTTATATTGTTTCTTTTGTGAAATTGTTTCGGTTTTAGAACAAATCGATCTTCGAAGAGCTTTTAGAAACGAATGTTTAACTGTTGGCAACGAAAAGTATTTAAAAATTATAAATAGTGGAGAAGGTGGTATTATGGAACCACCCCATTTCGAACTGATAATAAAGACGAACCGTAGCGGAATGTGGCTGAACTGAACTAGGCAGACATCCATAGCGAGGGGAAAACCCTTTTTACTTCAGTTAAAGAGTTGTCTGTATTTAATCAGCAAATTTGTTTTTTTTTTTTTTTTTTTTTTTTTTTTTTTTTTTTTTTTTTTTTTTTTTTTTTTTTTTTTTTTTTTTTTTTTTTTTTTTTTTTTTTTTTTTTTTTTTTTTTTTTTTTTTTTTTTTTTTTTTTTTTTTTTTTTTTTTTTTTTTTTTTTTTTTTTTTTTTTTTTTTTTTTTTTTTTTTTTTTTTTTTTTTTTTTTTTTTTTTTTTTTTTTTTTTTTTTTTTTTTTTTTTTTTTTTTTTTTTTTTTTTTTTTTTTTTTTTTTTTTTTTTTTTTTTTTTTTTTTTTTTTTTTTTTTTTTTTTTTTTTTTTTTTTTTTTTTTTTTTTTTTTTTTTTTTTTTTTTTTTTTTTTTTTTTTTTTTTTTTTTTTTTTTTTTTTTTTTTTTTTTTTTTTTTTTTTTTTTTTTTTTTTTTTTTTTTTTTTTTTTTTTTTTTTTTTTTTTTTTTTTTTTTTTTTTTTTTTTTTTTTTTTTTTTTTTTTTTTTTTTTTTTTTTTTTTTTTTTTTTTTTTTTTTTTTTTTTTTTTTTTTTTTTTTTTTTTTTTTTTTTTTTTTTTTTTTTTTTTTTTTTTTTTTTTTTTTTTTTTTTTTTTTTTTTTTTTTTTTTTTTTTTTTTTTTTTTTTTTTTTTTTTTTTTTTTTTTTTTTTTTTTTTTTTTTTTTTTTTTTTTTTTTTTTTTTTTTTTTTTTTTTTTTTTTTTTTTTTTTTTTTTTTTTTTTTTTTTTTTTTTTTTTTTTTTTTTTTTTTTTTTTTTTTTTTTTTTTTTTTTTTTTTTTTTTTTTTTTTTTTTTTTTTTTTTTTTTTTTTTTTTTTTTTTTTTTTTTTTTTTTTTTTTTTTTTTTTTTTTTTTTTTTTTTTTTTTTTTTTTTTTTTTTTTTTTTTTTTTTTTTTTTTTTTTTTTTTTTTTTTTTTTTTTTTTTTTTTTTTTTTTTTTTTTTTTTTTTTTTTTTTTTTTTTTTTTTTTTTTTTTTTTTTTTTTTTTTTTTTTTTTTTTTTTTTTTTTTTTTTTTTTTTTTTTTTTTTTTTTTTTTTTTTTTTTTTTTTTTTTTTTTTTTTTTTTTTTTTTTTTTTTTTTTTTTTTTTTTTTTTTTTTTTTTTTTTTTTTTTTTTTTTTTTTTTTTTTTTTTTTTTTTTTTTTTTTTTTTTTTTTTTTTTTTTTTTTTTTTTTTTTTTTTTTTTTTTTTTTTTTTTTTTTTTTTTTTTTTTTTTTTTTTTTTTTTTTTTTTTTTTTTTTTTTTTTTTTTTTTTTTTTTTTTTTTTTTTTTTTTTTTTTTTTTTTTTTTTTTTTTTTTTTTTTTTTTTTTTTTTTTTTTTTTTTTTTTTTTTTTTTTTTTTTTTTTTTTTTTTTTTTTTTTTTTTTTTTTTTTTTTTTTTTTTTTTTTTTTTTTTTTTTTTTTTTTTTTTTTTTTTTTTTTTTTTTTTTTTTTTTTTTTTTTTTTTTTTTTTTTTTTTTTTTTTTTTTTTTTTTTTTTTTTTTTTTTTTTTTTTTTTTTTTTTTTTTTTTTTTTTTTTTTTTTTTTTTTTTTTTTTTTTTTTTTTTTTTTTTTTTTTTTTTTTTTTTTTTTTTTTTTTTTTTTTTTTTTTTTTTTTTTTTTTTTTTTTTTTTTTTTTTTTTTTTTTTTTTTTTTTTTTTTTTTTTTTTTTTTTTTTTTTTTTTTTTTTTTTTTTTTTTTTTTTTTTTTTTTTTTTTTTTTTTTTTTTTTTTTTTTTTTTTTTTTTTTTTTTTTTTTTTTTTTTTTTTTTTTTTTTTTTTTTTTTTTTTTTTTTTTTTTTTTTTTTTTTTTTTTTTTTTTTTTTTTTTTTTTTTTTTTTTTTTTTTTTTTTTTTTTTTTTTTTTTTTTTTTTTTTTTTTTTTTTTTTTTTTTTTTTTTTTTTTTTTTTTTTTTTTTTTTTTTTTTTTTTTTTTTTTTTTTTTTTTTTTTTTTTTTTTTTTTTTTTTTTTTTTTTTTTTTTTTTTTTTTTTTTTTTTTTTTTTTTTTTTTTTTTTTTTTTTTTTTTTTTTTTTTTTTTTTTTTTTTTTTTTTTTTTTTTTTTTTTTTTTTTTTTTTTTTTTTTTTTTTTTTTTTTTTTTTTTTTTTTTTTTTTTTTTTTTTTTTTTTTTTTTTTTTTTTTTTTTTTTTTTTTTTTTTTTTTTTTTTTTTTTTTTTTTTTTTTTTTTTTTTTTTTTTTTTTTTTTTTTTTTTTTTTTTTTTTTTTTTTTTTTTTTTTTTTTTTTTTTTTTTTTTTTTTTTTTTTTTTTTTTTTTTTTTTTTTTTTTTTTTTTTTTTTTTTTTTTTTTTTTTTTTTTTTTTTTTTTTTTTTTTTTTTTTTTTTTTTTTTTTTTTTTTTTTTTTTTTTTTTTTTTTTTTTTTTTTTTTTTTTTTTTTTTTTTTTTTTTTTTTTTTTTTTTTTTTTTTTTTTTTTTTTTTTTTTTTTTTTTTTTTTTTTTTTTTTTTTTTTTTTTTTTTTTTTTTTTTTTTTTTTTTTTTTTTTTTTTTTTTTTTTTTTTTTTTTTTTTTTTTTTTTTTTTTTTTTTTTTTTTTTTTTTTTTTTTTTTTTTTTTTTTTTTTTTTTTTTTTTTTTTTTTTTTTTTTTTTTTTTTTTTTTTTTTTTTTTTTTTTTTTTTTTTTTTTTTTTTTTTTTTTTTTTTTTTTTTTTTTTTTTTTTTTTTTTTTTTTTTTTTTTTTTTTTTTTTTTTTTTTTTTTTTTTTTTTTTTTTTTTTTTTTTTTTTTTTTTTTTTTTTTTTTTTTTTTTTTTTTTTTTTTTTTTTTTTTTTTTTTTTTTTTTTTTTTTTTTTTTTTTTTTTTTTTTTTTTTTTTTTTTTTTTTTTTTTTTTTTTTTTTTTTTTTTTTTTTTTTTTTTTTTTTTTTTTTTTTTTTTTTTTTTTTTTTTTTTTTTTTTTTTTTTTTTTTTTTTTTTTTTTTTTTTTTTTTTTTTTTTTTTTTTTTTTTTTTTTTTTTTNGAGAGGAGAGGAAAGTATTTTTTTTTTTTTTTTTTTTTTTTTTTTTCAAAATTCGCGAGTTTTCAAAGCTAAGTGAATTTAATTATTTTTAAAATATAAATCGCGTAGTTGTAGGTTCACTGGTGCGTGTATTCCGTTCCAGAGACTTAGGGGTACATATTAATCTGCGCGATTTTCACGTTTTTAAAGTTTGGTGCCGACAGGAATTAAGTTAACCCAAGACGAAGATACTGAAATACGGACCCCATCGGTGCTTTTAATACGGAACCCAACTCCCCCCGTGTTCGGTATTACCAACAAATTCAAACCATAAAATAATGTTTTTACGTTTTATTTTATTTACAAAAACATTTTTTTAATTTAAATACTATCTTAACAAGAAATAAAATGTAAGATAACAATCGAAATAAACATTTCTTTTCACGAAAAAAATATCGTCTGCTTACAAAACAGCGAAACTGAGCATGCGCGAAGCGACAGTATCGTCTGGTAAAGTAAATAGTCTACAAGTAAGTTGAAACTTTTACGTTTATTTATTTGAAAAATAAGAATAAATGTAGCAGTTGTGATAAATTGGCACACTGTTCTTGTGCCAATATTGAAGCGATGATGACTCTCCTTTTGACTTGCCTGGTTTTAAAGATGACACTGCTTGTCTGTTTTGTGATGGGTTCCGTATTACCACCCGATTTTCTCTAAGCCTACTTTCTGACTTTTTGTACAAAAGCATTCAAAAACCATACTTATAGTTACACTAACGAAAAATCCAATTAGGAACATCTAGTTTAACAGTTACCAGTACTTTTCGCACAAAAAATGTGGATATAGTTACGATACCTTGTTTACAATTCACTAAAATGTAATTGGGGTTCCATAATACCACCTTCTCCTCTACTAAGTAAAAATATCCGATAAACCAGGGGTGGCCAACCTTTTGCATACCATGCGCCAATTTTTTGATAGACGAGTTCACATGTGCAGTAGCGTACCGTGAGTGTTAGCAGCCCGGGGCGGAGAAAAATTTCGGCCACCCCTTAATTAGGTATTTCAATTTATAAGACGAAAATTCAGATTTGCCACAGAACAAGCAATGAAAAATGCGGTTGTAGTGTAGCTACCCGTATAAAATAGTTCTATATGACATCAGTGGTGTACATGAACTCGAATGCATCGCGTAACGTACAGGCAAAAAAAAAGGTCAACAGGTCGATTGCACCGAATTGTGTAAGAAATACACTTGTCAAGACACACTGTAAAAAATTAATTTCCTATGTAATATTCATAATTGCAACGAAGCCAAATCTGGTAATGTTGCTCGGAACCGACTGAAGCGCCACTTGTAGGCGTCCAATGCGCCAAATTTGGCGCATGCGCCACGTTTTGGCCACACCTGCGATAAACTGTGATGAAAAAATTTTGCGAGATTGTACCGCAAGAATGCACGGGGTGCACTCTCCCTTTTAGCCGTTTTGTGAGCGGTTTTATTCGCAGAGTAAATACAGCTCGATCCTACTTGTATACTTTCTGCCAATTAACACAGGACAGGAGTGATCTGTATCGCGTGACAAAGACTGATCCGATCTTACAGCAGTAGCGTGCCTTCATTGGAAGCGGTGGATGCGCCGCTTCCCTCGTATTTTCTAAAAAATAAATAGGCCCTGCATACTAATTTTAATTATACGAAAATAATCGCGCAATATTTTATTATAACCGCATTACGTATCTTATTACAAATTTCTATACTACGCGTGAAAAAAAGATGAGATCGCTATCGTATATTCGAATATTAGTGGCGGAGTGGAAGCGCCGTATTGTTGGCATCCAAAAAGCCGGATTCACGCACGACCTCACCCGGTTTAGCCGGTGGAAGCCCAGGACCTCGGGTGGATACTACGCGTATACCGCATCCGATTCTATCCGGGACCGGTTCCGGGCCGTTAGCCGCCCGCCCTCGCCCCATTACGCCAATCGCTAGTAGATTTATAACTTAACCCGACCGATGAGAATTTACTGGTACGTTTTTACGATAGTTCCGTATAGTTGACGGGAGTTTAAAAAATCCATTAAAATATGATATTTTTATTCCGCTCTCCGATTTTATATTACTCACGGATTTCGATGTTAAACCGGTGATATTACGATTTCGTACGTCCCATCTTTAAGGGGATGTAGAAGAAAACGTGTACATTTCTTGTATAATGTTAAAAAGTTAACCGTTACTTCGACAGCGTCGTTTACGACTAAATGTAATGAATGAGAGATGCACCAGGCACAGAAAAAGCTCTAGAATTTATTTTCCTTAAATTTACGATTTACGTATCCGTTGTCGTAAAAATTTGTCTTTCCACTTCTTTCCCGAGACTACGAATATTCGAGTACGAAGTACCGGTTTAGACTTACTTCTACTTAAGAAGTAGTTAAATAATTAAGCGTTTAGGGAATTGGGGACGTAAACAAAACCTCGAAAGAGCCGAAATTTTACTTAAACAAAAGCTTAACCGAACCAATCTATATCCGAGTACAGTGGGGACTGATTTCTTCGAAATACTGTATTAGATGTAATAAGGACAGAAATTTTTCCAGTTCGACGAGAGCGACCGAAAAGTCGTAAATTTTGGAAATTTCCGTGGACGACACCCGGTCCTAAAACGAATTAGTTAGAAAACAAATGACTATTAAGTTTAACGTATTTAGATTTTTACAGCTATGGTGAGAAACGTTTAAAATTTCTAACCCTGTCGCGTCCTAGTGATGCTACAAAAGAGGCATTTGACATTGACCGGTATCGGCACCCTCGAGATTCGGCATGTATGCACGCGCCGCACACCTACCAAGATCGTCTCCGATTCCATTCATTAGCCACTGGTAGGGAGCAATTTTAACTAAGCGGATTGTTTTAATATTTAAAAAGTAAAGAACATTTTATATTATTTTTACGTACGTTTCTTCACAAAACTGTATTCATACAATCGAATATTTTGTACCAGGTATGTATAATTGTATATCCATCACACATTTTATTTTAACAAGTTTTTATAATTTTATTTTTAATTTTAGCCCTTATATCGTGGCTAGCGATTTAGAATGTAATTGCGATATTGAAAATTTATTTCAAAAAAGTTTTGGCTCGAGACCGTATAATGAAAAAGAAAACATTATTAAAAGAGAAAGACCGATGCCTAAATTAAATATAAATACGTCGACAAAAAAATTTGTTCGACATTTTCGCCATAAAATTTATGAAGACTTTACGTAAAATGGCTTTGCGGATGCATAAAAATGCAAAAATTGTTTTGTTGGCCTCGCCTATTATTTTCAAATGAAATTAGTGTGTGGAATAAGAATGGCTTTGACGATTTAAATAATTCCAGTAAAGCCGGCAAAAGACACGAAAATCCTAAATCTCCATCGATTCTTTCGTAAAATTGAAGCAATTTGGAAATCAAAATAGAATTTAACATTAAAAATACATTTAGAGAAGTCTACGATTTTTACTGGCTTATCGAACAAACGAATACGAATGGCCCCTAGACCGTCGCTGACTGATTGCCCCCGAAAGTCGGCTTCTTACAGAAACGCAGCCTCCCTATCGTCAAATGTCAGGGCACGCCACCGTCTTACACATCAATCCATCTGAAACGGAAAGTATACGCAGCAACCAGTCACACGATACATTTCTAAAATGAAAATGGCTGTCTCCATCGAGAGATGTTTCCTGATTGGTTATTGTGGCTACGACTCAAAATCGGCCAACAGACCATGCTGGACAGCAAAATGTGTAGCATTCGCCGCTTTAACTTTCGCCCACATGGTGAATTTAGTAGAAACCGAAAACTTGGTTCGTAGTAAATAACCGATAAAGTTAAATCAAAATCTTACGTGTTTATAAATATTTAATAGTTGACAAGCAAATACAAAATAGTTTATAAATTGGTAATAGATATTAGATTTGACTAAATCCAAATGAAAACTCTAATAAAATGTTTCACCAACGAACTTACTGGTGACTAGAATTAAACAGGATGATAAATTACATAAATAAATAAAAACAGATTTAGATTTATATAATTTCTTCGTTATTTTATGTTTTGGCCTTGATTTACTCGCAATTTTGCATCTAAATTCATAAATGATTAATGAATACAAACGAAACAGAAACCATATAATTTTTCATAATATTCAAAATATATATATTGTTTACAAAACAACCTCCAAAATAGTTTGCTGTAATTATTATTTAAGTTTAGAGAGGTATACATTTAGGCACTTCATCGTCAGACCATCCACTATGTAAGCAGAAGATCAATTCTAAATCACCATCGAGCTTTTCGTCTTCCGGACATGAAAAAATAATCGATTCTCCGATTCTGTAACTTTCTTTGTAGTTTTCCAGTATCAAAGAAGAATTCTCTGGTTTTCGAATAGGATAGCATCCGTAAACACCTACAAATACAAAATCTCTATTAATAAACTATGAATTTTTACGTCATAGAAATTGTTTTCTTCTTTAATAATTTTGTTTATTCACATTATTATTTTGTTTCAACATTTTAAAAAAAACTTTACAGGATTTGTTAATGAAAGATAAATAAACCGTTAAAAAAGTATGAATTTAATAAATTTATCTTAATGGATTTTCCAAATTTTATAAAATATTAATTAATAAACTGGAAAAAAAATCAGAAATTTTATTGTTATATGATCAAAATTATTAGAATGAAATATATATGTATAAATATATGTAACTATCAGTAAAAGAAATAAATGTCTATTAATTTTTCAAACACTAAACAAAATAAAAAACAATATATAGTGTAATCATGATTTATAAGGTCTAATTTTGAGATTTTAAAATACTTTCTGTTTTATTGCATTTTATCGTAAAATTATAAAGTCATATTTCATGTGTAAAAATTAAAATTAACTCATTAGATATGACTGTGCCAGGTTTAAAATCTGCCTAAGAATTTGATCTGTAGGTATGACAACAAAAGAATTTGAAAAAATCAGTAAAAAGCGCATAAATATTTTTTACATCCCACAAATTAAATCAACATTTCACTGTAATGGTTAATTGGTCCGCAATTTGAAAAAATTGTAGACCTATAAATTCTCACTCTCATCTTCCTGTCTGTCCTTCCTTAATCTTGAGAACATAGTTTAGATAGATGAAAGACAAGACCAGATATGGAAACCTTAGGGGCAGGAGACACCGATTAACTATATATGAACTTCCAATGCAAACTGGAAGTCATGTTATTTCAATTCAAAAATTTTCCCCTGAAAAGTGTTAGATGACTGCCATGACTATTGTTAAAGGAAAAGTGTGATTTACAGGAGCAGGCCACTACTAATTTAAGGTAGAGAGAATATATTTTAAATTAAATAAAAATTGCAGCTTGCCATTGTGACAATGTCATAATAAATAATTGCACATTAATTTTAACATTCTTATCATCAACAATCAGGATTAGGTATATTTAGGCATGTGCCCCTTTATCGTCAGGTTGTCCTTTTCTTAATCCCCAAGAGAGCTCTAAGGTTTCATTTTATTTTTAAATTAGTTACTCATTTTTATCACAGAAAACTTTGGTACCACTATATCCGATTAACATGATTTTTGACGTATACAGTAGCATCAAGGGATTAATTAACTGCATTAATCAAAGATACTTGTATATATACAGGTATATTCTTGCATAATGTATGTTCAATGCCCTTTCCTATAGTCTGCAAGTGCCACTGTCAACAATCAATCTTTGTTTAAATTGTAAGCAGAAAACTTAAATTGGTACAAAATTTTGAAAAGTTGGAAAATTACATCTTTAAGTACAAAATACCTTGGGGCATGCATTAACTCAGTGTTTCTCAAACTTTACCTTCTGGTAGATTCCCTTAATAAAAGAAAACTTTTGTCAGATTTACTAGAGTAGAATTAAATAATATTTTTTCTATATATTTTAAAAGTTTTTTTTAGAACAATGTTTTTATTTTATATATTTTAATTTAAAACTTTAATCTGTGGTGCCCACAGACTGAAAAAAAGGGCATTGTACATTATGCAAGAAGTTTCAAACTCTACAATTCAATGTCGGATTAGCACTGCCACAGGATGCACTGGTTAACTCAGGGCTAATTTGGCTTTGAAAACAAGAAATATGGTTTTGGTCAATAAACAAAGAACAAATAATAATATAAAAATAATTGCATGGGACAATGGGCAAATAACATTCATTAGTTTCTTTTATATTGGCAGAATAGACTAGAAGTGAAGTTTCATGAAATTTGGGACCCCTCAGGAATAGGAAAAGGGCAGCCCAGACAAAAAAGGGTACCAGACTTTAATGTGTGTTTTAATAATGTATCGTTTAAAGCTGCAACTTATCCTAACATTCATCAATATCACACTTTCTTTACAATTATAAATTTTAGAATACTAAGTAAACCATTCAATTCAAAGGTGTAGAACAGGGGTGGCCAACCTTTTGCATACCATGCGCCAATTTTTTGATAGACGAGTTCAGATGTGCAGTGGCGTACCGTGGGTGTTAGCCGCCCGGGGCGGAGAAAAATTTCGGCCACCCTTTAATCAGGTATTTCAATTTAAAAGATCAAAATTCAGTTGTGTGAAAAAAAAATTAATAAAAAATGCGGTGGTGGTGTAGTTACCCGTACAAAATAGTCCCATTTGACATTAGTGGCATACACGATTGCGAATGTATCGTGAATCGTAGAAGCAAAAAAAAAGAAAAGGTCAACAGGTGTAGCAGTCCAACCGACTCGTGGACTGTCCGGACGGTAGCACTGTCATTTAGACGCCTATGCACTGATCGAAAATAAACATACATGCATACACTGTAATTTACTATGTGGAGAACACTCATTTTATCTGTAAAGTTGATTGCAACGAATTGTGCAACAAATGAACTTGCCAAGACAGACTATAAAAAATTAATTTTCTATGTAATATTCTTAATTGCAAAGAAGCCAAATCTGGCAATGTTGCTCAGAACTGACTAAAGCGCCACTTGTAATCGTCCAATGCACCAAGTTTGGCGCATGCGCCACGGTTTGGCCACCCCTGGTGTAGAACCTGAAGCAGACCCATAAACTATGCTGAAAATGTTTGTTTCTAATGTAATATTGCTGGAAGATGTAAAGGTGTGATATTGATGAATGTTACAAGAATGTTAAAATGTAATGTTAAATGATGAATGTTAAAAGTAAATATTACAAGAAGCAGTTTTTTAATTCCACAATATAATATGGTGCTTTTATTCCTAAAAACTCATGGATCCCTAACAATACATTTTGAGAAAGGAAATCAGTTAAGCACATAAAGATAGATAGGTTAATGAGAAAAGGCAATGCAACACTTGTGCAATTTCCGAGGAGGAATGCTTCACAGAAGGAATTTCTATGGGAAACTGACCTTTACTTTTAGATGTTAGAAGAAAGATATTAGCATTTGAGGTGGACATTAGTAACAGTCCCCAATACAACAGCACCTGGATAATCTGAAACAATATATCTCCAAAGCAAATTAATATCAAATGATATGCTGGGACACATTTAAACAGAACTGGACTACTACTTTTGGCATCTGTGATAAATCATTCAATGGGGCTACATTGAACACTTGTAATGTGTATGTGAAACTTTGTTTGTTCTATGTGTTCATGTCATTACAGGTGCTGTGCTGATAACTAATATGTAAAACCAAAACCAGCATGTGTTTATAATATCAATATCCTGAAATCTAGAATATTGATATTGATATTTATCTAGAATATCAATATATCAAAGAAATCTTGATATCAAGCCCATTGTCAATAACAAAATTTTGGTTTAGTGCAGCCCTAGTTATTATTGTTGCTGTATGTTATTTCAGGTTTGAATAAATCAGCTTTACTTTTATACCATCATTTTTGAATAACCATATTTAAGTAAGATAATGCTAAGAGAATACACATTAATCTAAATACCTAGTTACACAGGTGTGACTAAAACTAGATTGTTGAGATTTATTACAAAAATTGTTATAATGTTTCTAATTTACAATAATAAGCAGAGTTTCATGAAGTGATACAAACTACTATACATTAAAGAATTGGGCTCTGAAAGAAAGTCTGAAAGAGTGGTATGCCTAGTGTACATATCTGTTATTATAAAGCTACACTGACTCATGCACCAAAATGAAATATATGTGTGACAGTCACCTGACAAATATTATATGTAATATACTGTAGTTTAGTTATAGTAGTTTTTTTAGATGTTTCTGAAGTTTTCTCTGCCTTTCTCTTTCTGTGTTTCTTTTGTCTTGCTAGTTTATTGCCTGGGAGTAATAAAACTAGCAGGAGTTGAGTGAGAGTTATATGTAATAGGTGGATGGAAGAATGGGAACATTCTTTTTCTCTTGGAGGTTCTTGTATATACAGAAGGAAGGCTCAAGAAAAAGCTCACTAGGTTGTAGAGACCACATAGTTTATATGAGATTGGGACCATAAAATCATGAACTAACAGAAAATTCAATGATAGAAAAGATTGCCTGATACTGTCCCAATTTTATGTTTAGAGAGAGAGTGTATTATTGTTCTCATTCACCATTTTGGGCTTAGAGGTACCTCTCCCACTTTAGCTTTAGAATAGTTTAAAATAGATTTTTAATATTGCAAGTTGATGCATTAAATATTTGTCATGATTATTGAATTTTTTGTAACAAAAATTGCAAAATAAACATTTTTTTTCTGACATGGGATTGGATTCATTTACAAACCTACATAAAAGAAAAAATTCCCATGTTTGAATGAAACAAAATGTTTTTCTTTAAGAAGCAAACTTCTTACAGAAAACAAAATGATACAATCAAAAGGGACATTACCATAAGAATTTTAAAAAAAAGCTAAATATTCTCGATGCTATGATGTGTCAAAATTTTTGACTCTGGATGCCTCACAGAATTCCGCAGTGTCCATGTGATTGATTAACTAAGTTTCCTCTGCTTGTTTTGATTTTTAAATTAGCTTAAACTAACTGATTTTCAATGTTTTATTACTTTAATTACATTTTAGTTTAAAAAATAACAATTTTTAAATATAAAAATTTTATTCTATTAAATTTATTCTAAAACTGTAATAATGAATGTGCTGTACTTACATTCAACCTTTCCAGTTTTCCACAATCCATTTAGACAAGTAGCATAGTTTTGACCTAATAGTACAAGATTGTCACCCGCACATATTAATGTTACATTTGTACCATTTGTTACATGTTCAGTGACGTTACTTGCTACAGCTGTATCTTCAGATAATCTCTCAATAAGATCATAAACATTACATGTTTGGATTTCTGTTAAATATTTAAAGTTTTGTTAGATATAAATATAATTAAATTATACTGCAATAAATGATGTAAGAATGTTTTTATAATTAATGAAGAAAATTACACAAAAGATTTTAAAATATTTATAATAAATGCCTGTATTTTAAAAAGTTATGATTTTTTTTTATTAAAAATAGGCTGTACACAACCTTTCTTCAATGAATTTTTAAAAACTTCTAATTTCATATACAGGTATTCCTCATATGACACGGTACTTCTACAACATGGTTTCTCTCTAAATATATAAAATGTAGCAATTTACATTTCCAGAATCCATCCAATTCCATCTTCAGGTTTACAGAGTTTGTTTTGAATTGGAATGCATCAAATAGAACATACATGTAGAATTCAAATTTGAACAGACCAATATTGATCCATACTACATTACATCATTTTATTTAATTTATTAAAATCAAAAAATGCTTTTATAATCAATTGTTTTCAAATAAAACTACTCTCATAATAAAATATTCATGTATTAAAGAAATTCTATTAATATAATGTATTTGAAAACCCATTTATCAATTAAACAAACTGTATTCTTAATTGCATTTAGAAAATTTTAGAATATATTAATTACTTCTGCAAATAGGAGTAGTACTTGACCAATAATTGTCATATTGACACTTAGCTTTTGCTTCTCCTATTAATTTATATCCATCTCTACATTTATAAGTAATTTCAGAGTTATATGTTAGAGAATAAAAATCAACTTCCCCATTTTCTGGATGATGCGGAACTGGACATCGAATTTCTGTAAAAAACAAAATTTTAAAAATACTTTTTTGAGCATATAAAATGTTTTCATGAATTAGATAATTTAATAAAATAAATATTCATTTTCAATTAAAAAATGAATTCTTATCAAAGCACATTTATTTTTTATGGCATGATAAGTATTTTTAGATATGATTAACAATTAATAAATTTAAAGTTCAAAATTACAACTGGAATGAATAACTAGTAATAAAATCAACATCTTACATAATTTTCCAGCACAGTGTTGATTTTCTTACTAATTAATAAATTTAGTTTTGTTCCCTAAAATATTAATTAATTTATTAACTTTAGACTTTTAGAATCAGTACAGTTTTAGGAACCTCTTTGGAGTATAAGGTGTAGTATTGTTCTCCAGTGTTGCACTGTTTTTTCTAGAAATGCACCATATTGGATGTATTTTGTGTATGTATGCTTGTCATAGAATGGTTGAATCTATGAGAAACTGTTCTTTGCATCCAACAGTTTCTACAATAGGTTTTTTGTTGTTTTGTGAAAATGTTGTGTTATTGTATATGATGGTATATTTTGTTTATAATATATTTAAGTATTCTGTAGAGTATAGGAAGTGTGACCATTGAGGGTTGATACAATGCTGACGAAAGCAATATACAGAGTATAAATACCAAAACACAAATAGTGAACAGATACAATTAATACATTATTTACACAGAACAAAACAAGTGTCGCAGGATCTTTTGTCAGGATCCCAACTAAGGTTGGATACCCAGTCAAATTTCCCTGCATCGGGAGTGCATGTCATTGCAGACAAAAAAAAAAAAAAAATGTTTCGCGCATAACAGAAGTAATTCAAAATTATTATTACCTTAAAACTACTTTAAAATCTAATTAAGAGGAAAGTAGGATAAGAAATTAAAGGATAGAGATAGAAAGATCAATAGTGAAAATACCAGGGATTTTGTCAGGGAATACTTTTCCTCGCATGCAAGATGGGGTACACAATGAATTCTTCTAGCTTTCTAGCTTTATGATTTTCCGTTGCTTTTGTCACAAATATAGTTCCATTTCCGAACAAGAGATTTTCGATCATCACAAAGTTATCCAACTTTGTGATGATCGAAAGTCTCTTGTTCAGATATGAGCACTAATAAAATTTATATCCTGTTGAGCTACACAGTACTCGCTGAAGCGTAACCTTCTTTGCTCTTCCTTTCTGTTTTTTCTCTGACTGTCAGGACCTCCGTGCATCCTCTCCAAAATTGAGCTTAAGAATCTCCAGTTACTCTTTCCTTTTTGAACCCATTGTTGTCCTTTCTATTGTTCTCAATGTTTCTTGGAACATAACCTCCACATTGACAAAAGAAAAATTAGAAAAGGAAGACAAGAACAAAGAAAAGACATTGAGAATTAAAATAATCAAAACATGTAAATTTTAAATAATTAAAAAGGCAAGTAGCTACAGAAGGCATGTGATTAGGTCTGTATTGTCGTTTTTTGATTTTATATATGTAATTATTCACATACATGAAACCCAATGATAAGTATATTTGTCTGAGCTTTGTAAGAATATACAGTAAATGAAGACTATGTTACACTGCTCCTTCATACCTATGTACTGTACAATGGCTTTCAAAAGACAATTGTCTAGAAAGGTTTATTGTTCTGTACAATGTTCTAGACTGGTTTTTTTTTTAACTTTATTGCCCTGTGGGCACTAAGAGGGCCTCTTTCTAGCAAGCCCATTATGTGTTTGGTTAGGCCCACAATGGGATGGCTGGGTGGTGAAAAATGGGGCCCAACATATCTAAACAGACCACCCCCAAAAATTCCTGGGGATTTTTCAACTCCTTTCGGATTCAATCCTGGGTCCCCCAGAGCGGTAGGCTGCCATCTTGACCACTCGCCCATTTGTTCTAGACTGGTAGCAATTACGAGGACATCCAACTCATGAAATTAAGTGAAACTGAAGCCTTGATTTCATATCTTGCAGATATCAATAGCTATTTTTGGCAGATAAAATGAATCAAATAAAGAGTTACAGGATGAACAAAGACTTATGTATTGCAAAACTAATTTTCAGTTTTATCAATACTATGCTTTTCAACAGCTCAATTCTCAAAGATTGAAAATTGTCCAAGAAAACAAAATTGGAACAAAATATCAAAACTCACATTTAAAAAAATTGCCAGGACAAATTTACTTTTACAAAAAAATATATATTTCTTGAGATTATACATACAGGATGAGTCAATTTCATTTAGTCCCTTCACACACTGTTGAAGTAATAACAGTTCCGTGGCGGAGTCAACCTTTTATTGTAGGCTACTTGTCCGCCATCCAATGCAAAAAGTTAAAATAATCCTCTAGCGATGGCACAATAATACATTTTAAAAAATTGCTGGGACAAATTTAATTAATTTTTATTAATTTTATTATTGTGCCACCGCTAGAGGACTATTTTAACTTTTTATCATTGGATGGTGGACGAGCAGCCTACAATAAATGGTTGACTATGCCATGGAATTGTTATTACTTCAACAGCATATGAAGGGACCGAATGAAATTGACTCATCCTGTATGTATAGTATCAAGAAATATATATTTTTTTGTAAAAATCAAAACTCACAACCAGACAACTTTTTTCCAGCAGTAAATTTTACTGAACTAATGTTTTCAATCTCATTGATAGTCTATCAGGTTCAAAAAGCTGTAATGAAATGTTCATTACAGAGAATAGTCCATATTGGTGTTTTGAATGTGATAAAGGCCTATCAAAGAGGTTGAAAACATTATTTCAGTAAAATTTACTGCTGATAAGAAAAGTTGTCTGGTTATAAATTTTGAATAACATGTCTCAATTCATGCATTCTGGTCAATCAGAACAATCACATAACATTCTACATATAATTTCTAAACATCTCTCCAATCTCCATACTAAACAGAATTGCAAATGTACAGTAGACCCCCTATAAAACGGGTTCCTATAATTACGATTCCTATAAGACAGCAAAAAAATTGTNAGTACTGTAATTTTATACATTTCTTGTGAAAGAAACATTTCTTATTCAACGGCGATTAAAATTATTTATATTAATGATGTTTCCAAAGTTCAACGAAGTTTTCACAGAAAAATAAGTTATTAGAAATCGGCCGCTGTTTGCTGAGCTGTTCCGCGATGAAAACAAGCTTGAGCAATGGCGATGTCGAATGGTGCACACTCGGTAAGTAATCCTACAATTTTTTGTTTATAGCGTAGTTTATATGGATTATTTCCAAAAAAAAATATACGTATTTTGGAAATGTTGAGTCGGATTAGTCTAGAATCGATTAATTTTATGGAAGAAAACCTTTCAATCAGCCGTAGTCCGTAAACTTCACACGTGTCGGGCTGTGATTGGAAGGACTCGTAAGAAATTGGATTCCTAAAGAATGGAACGTATCTATGATCTTATAGGGGGTCGACTTGTACTGATCTGAAGCAGTTGAAGTTGCTTCTTGGACTGTCCAGCCATCTTTCTTCGACTATAAAAATTACAAATGTCTGGCACTTACACACATTGATCAGATGAATGATTGAAGGACAAACAAAATGATCCATGCTCAAAACAACAGTTGGTATGGTTGGATTTCCAAATAATAACAAATTAGCTACAGAGATCCTGGAAGACCTAAATATATTATTGCTCACTTTATGACATTTAATTGATATTTTTATATATATTTTTTATTTTGTAAATTGTCTACATTTCAATAATTATGATTATAAAAGAATTTATATTGATGAAAATCCTTTTTGAATAATGATTTAATATATAAGAGAGAATTGGGGCAGTCTGGGTGAAAAGAGATTAGAACCTGGGATGTTGAAAACCACCATCTTAGAGTTCAAATAATTATTTTTTATGGTTAACTTTAAATAAACTAATGTCATAAAACCTAAAAATCAGTAGAAGTGGTAAAAAAAATTCATATTAGTGAGCATTTTCCTCAATTAAATGGAAGAAAACAATCATCATCACATGGTCTACAAGATTTATAAGGCATCCAGTCTATATCACTCAACAAGCTTCCATATTTCAAATTAAGGCATTCCATCTTCTACAGTTCAAATTTAGAAAGTTAAAAGCCTGAAGATGTCCATCTAATATGGAAAAAATGTTTGCTAATGTAAATTTTTTTTATCATTTATGCTAGATTTTGATTTTTGTGTGTTAGTTGAATTGTTGTTGTCAGCCAAATTTTTCTGATTTATTACTTTAGGCATGTGTGCCTTTTCTTGTTCTAAGCCAGTGGTGCCCAAACTTTTTGATTGGCAGGCCAAATTGCAAGTCATAGATAGGTGACCAAATATATTTTCTAAATTTCATATAAACAAAAATTATGCCTATTTCTATCATTTATATTCATTGAATATGTTTGTAAGCCAAACTGACTGCCACAGGACAGATTTGGTTTCAGTGCTTTAGTGTGGGTGCCACTGTTCCAAACCATCAAAACATATCTTATCCTGGTTTCTTTGTTTAATATTACACACATTGATTATTATAAATAAATGTTTAAACATTTACTTATAATAATCAATGTGCATTAAAAAATTTATATTTTTAAATTGCTAATAATTGGATGAAATTGATTAGTAAAAATTCACTTATTTTTTAATTAATATAGTTTAATATCTACCTTTGCATGTTGGTTTTTGACTTGTCCATTCACCTGTTATAAGACAACGTAATGTTGCATTACCAATCAATCTGTATCCTTCCATGCATTCATAATGAATTTCACCATTAACTTCAAAATTATCATCCACAATATTTGCATGTTCAACATATCCAGGATGTTTACATGTGCCTATTATATTTTCATATATAATTTTAAATAATATACCAAATGAAATTGACTCATCCTGTATGTATAGTATCAAGAAATATATATTTTTTTGTAAAAATCAAAACTCACAACCAGACAACTTTTTTCCAGCAGTAAATTTTACTGAACTAATGTTTTCAATCTCATTGATAGTCTATCAGGTTCAAAAAGCTGTAATGAAATGTTCATTACAGAGAATAGTCCATTTTGGTGTTTTGAATGTGATAAAGGCCTATCAAAGAGGTTGAAAACATTATTTCAGTAAAATTTACTGCTGATAAGAAAAGTTGTCTGGTTATAAATTTTGAATAACATGTCTCAATTCATGCATTCTGGTCAATCAGAACAATCACATAACATTCTACATATAATTTCTAAACATCTCTCCAATCTCCATACTAAACAGAATTGCAAATGTACAGTAGACCCCCTATAAAACGGGTTCCTATAATTACGATTCCTATAAGACAGCAAAAAAATTGTGACGGTATCCGTAAAAAATGGTAAAAAAAACTCCTATAATTACGTAAAACGTCATCGGGCAGCCAAACTACTTTCCGCCGTCAAGCACGCCATGCTACGGAGAGATTACTATCGTCTGTACAATATTATATATAAATTAGGTACTGTACANACAATTGATTAATTAATCATTCAAGTTGCAGTTACTATAAATCAATATTTTTTTCAATATTGAGGATTTTATTTTTTCAGAACTACATTGTATCATTCATTAAGAATTTTAATGTCATTTCTTTTTGTGTGGAATAGTGTGATAACATCAATGCATGCCTTTTATTTCCCATCTTTATTTCCATCAAACCTAGAATGAAAAGGGACTCCAAAAAGAGTCTGAAATGCATTTTGTGTACTAGTGTATATTAGTTAAAATTAAATTATTGTTAGTTTTATTCTGCACTACTGTAAAATTTAGATTTTAAATAAACAAGCTTAGTTTGTAATATTATATTCATTGGAGTGATAAGCCTTAAATTATAAAACTGGTTAGTTTTATAATTGAAGGCACAATTTAATACAGTAACTAAAAGCTAAAAGCAATAAATAATATGCCATTAAATCTCATTGAAATTCTTGTCCAGCTTGTTCTCTTCTTTTCCACTCTTCATTTTTTATACTATGTTTCTTTTTAGGTGGCACTGTTGCATATGGATGTTTTAACTACAAGATATTTTTTCAGTATGAATTTATTTCCATCCTTTATTATTATTATTATTTAGATTGTCATTATTTTTCCAAATGTATATGTTTTCTTTAAATCATATGATTTATGTATCTTCTTCAAAGATGAAAACTTCAAAGCTATTTTTACCTATTTTACAGTTGTGGGAGGTATAATGATCATGAAATGCTGAATTAGCACAGGCATGGCCAACATACGACCTGCAGGCTGGATCCAGTCCGTCTAATGAATTTATGCGGCCCGCGATTAATCTTTCAATATTAGCTACCCAAGTACAAATAGCTCGATGAAAAATTCTGACGCCTAAGAAAAAAAAAAAAAAAGTCAACAACTCACTGTGCATTTAGAGTTAACCCTCCATTACAAATCTCTTAAGTACAGCTTAGAATGTTGATAGAGCATGATAATGTGAAAAATGTATCTGTAATCTCTATGTACAATTTAGTCTCTATGGGGTGACACCACAATGAGATCTCGCACCACCTTAAAATCTTCCTAGGGCAACCTCTGGTTTGGCCCGTGAAAAAAGTTTTCTTTCCAATTTGGCCCAGGGGTAAAAACTGTTGGACACCCCTGGTCTAGCGTATTTTAAATCTGCTTTATGTTCTTTATATCTGACAAGTAGTTTGTTTTGTTTTGTTGATACTTGTTTTTGGTTCAATTCATGTACTATACAATACATTGTATACTGTAGCAGTATACTATATTTTTTGTTTTTGTCTTTTTGTCCATTGTACCTTTTTCTCCTGTTCTTTGTTCTTTCTCTCTTCTAGAACTTTGTATTCTCCTTAATTCTTCCTTCTTAGAGATGAGATTCATTTCCTTGAACAACCAGTACAAGTACAAGGTTATCTGAGGGATTATATGGTAGAAAGAAGGATCACTTTTGAACTGGTACTCAAAGAGAGAGGATAATGAAAAGGCAGCAATGTGATATTGTCTGGTACCTAAGTAGACAGGTGAGTAATAACTTTGAGCAGAAATCCTTGAAATTCCTGGGCTGAAGTTAGTGTGTTGAGTCAGCATTCAACTTGACCAGTTGCGAGTTTTGAATGAGCAAATGATAATTTGGACATAAATAAAAACCCCCAGGAACCAATGAGAAGAAGACGCAAGTGTGAATTTTGTGCAAGAAGTTCTACTTGACCCCTCATGACAACAAGAACTGAAAGACATTTGCAGGACCTGTGTACCTTTGTTCTGTCCTATCTGCCATCATTACTAATTTTATATCTTCAATTTTCTATAGTAGGGTAAGTTTAGTATTAAGAGTTAGTTAAAAAAATTATCTCTATAATAATTATTCTTGTTTATTGTATTGGATAAGTATTATTGCAATTTAATGTGTTGTGGTCATTTATTAGTTTCGTAATTTCCACCAACAATTGGGTTTAAGGTGAAACTGGGCTGGAGAAACTGTTCTAGAGCTGACATCCTTGATTGAACCTGTAAATAATTACATCATGCATAAATAAATTAATTTTCTCACGTCTACTGTGTGTTTGTTTCGTTGGATGTTTGCCTTAGTATGCTAACAAAAACCCTATCATATGATATATCTCACAATGCTATATTACATTACATTTGATGTTTTCCAGTAATTTGTGTCTTGTTCTTTTCTTCTGGAATTTTTTAGTGTATTGTTTAAAGTTTTGTTGATAAGGATTAATATTATGTCATGTTAAAAAAGTTTTTTGATTTTTTCATATCCAAACAAAACATCTGAGATGTAAAAAAATTATGCCAAGTAAAAATTTATGACAATTTAGATGACGGTCAAAATTTTTCTTAGGAGTTTTTCTTTGGTAAAGATAAATTTGGTGCTTGGAGGAGAAATGTAGAGAACAATAATACAGGTAAAAATCTTGTGAATACTTCCATGTACCAAGCTTATCTTTACCAAAGAAAAACTCCTAAGAAAAATTTTGACCATCATCTAAATTGTCATAAATTTTTACTTAGCATACTTTTTTTTACATCTCAGACGTTTTTGTTTGGATATCAATTGTTTTTGTTTAATAACTGCATTATTATGTCAAGACATAAGATAATAAAGTACAATTTGGTCAGTGCTTGATAATTGGACGTGCCGCTGACCAAATGCACTGCCAATCAATGCTTTCAATACATCATTTAGAAAAATTGTTATAAAAAGTTTTAATTAGCATAAATTTGAGCTTTTAATTCTGAGTAACATTTTGAATAAAATTCCATTTGTTTCCATGCAATTTTATTTTTATAAGCATAAAATTAAGCTGTAAAACTGAATCAGCTCTATGGAAAACCCCTGTGAACTTTGACCTTCAACCCGGAAGTTTCATAAGCACCTCACTGATAATGAGAAAGGCTTAAATTTAAAATTTGATCTTTCTAGACCCAATAGTTTTTTCTATTAGTGTCTGCAGTGCCAGATGAAGAAAAAGAAGAAAATACAGCTTTTTTGGCAATTTTTGCATTTTTCAATTGTTTATATTTCATCTGCTACTTAATAGAAAATCTTGAAATTTTTCACACTACCTAAGAAAATAATAGTCTTTTGAACAAGACATTCGGAATTACTTTAGGTGATTGAGGGGTGAAGAAATTGACCCCAAAAATGGGCAACTCTGATCCCTGTATATATATTGTATAGTCAGTCAGTGACATTTTTATCTGATTACATACATGAGGAGTCACTGCCCTGACTCCTCATGTATGGGAACTATATGTAATATTTGTCATTTTTACTTTCCTAGTTCTGTTATATAAAATATAAGAGAAATATGGCAATCAGTCAAAAAATGTCCCCCCAAGATTTTTACAGTTTTGTACTTGGGGCCCATAAATGTTGAGAAATACAAAAAACTCGGGGTTTTTTTCTATATGTGTGTATGTGTGGGGCATGAATTTGTTCACTCTCTGAAGCTTAATAACTTTTGTGCTTTTTGTTAAAAATTTCTGAAATTTTGCAGGGAAGTTTGTTTATTAGGGAATTGATGCTATTAAATTTTCATGATTAAATGTCGAGGGGTGGGGAGATAAAGAGGGTCATGTGTCATATCTCGAATAGGGTCAGACTTAATGACAATTTTACTCATTATTATCATTTACAATTTTTTATAAAACCTATCCCTACCCTAAAAATTAAGCTTTTTTGCCATTTTATAATATTTAACAATATAAAGTGTTTTAATAAATTATCATAACAGATGGTGCCACCAAACATTGCCAGGAAAGTTAAACTTGTTGCTGAATGTTTACAATTGAAGGTATACTTATTACTTTTTGGTGGTTTGGGCTATATTTTTCTAAATTTTTTGATTACTCTTTTAGGAAAATTATTTAAGTACATTTTCTTTTCAATTTTAATATTTCATTTTTCTTTTTATTTTTGATTATTAATTCTATTTTGTACTTTTTTATCCATTCCATAAAAAAACACATTGCATTTTATATATTGAGGTAGCTGTGATTTATAGTTTATAACTTTGTTAATGTTACACAATTTTTTATGTCAAAAATTCTAATTTATTATTACGTCTTTTTAATCTATGTCCAGATAATTTAATATATTGCTTTCCTGTCCAATTTCAAATTTTCTCTCTTTGGTGTAGGGATTTATTGTATTTTTTATACTGTTAATATTGATAATGTTATTATTAAAAACTTGATTATTTCATTGATGCATCTTGTATAAGAAAATTATCCCTTATATGTTACTAATATTTTTATAAATATTAATGATGATTATTTTGGTGAGTTTTGAATTTATTATATTTCCCATGAGCCTTAATATCTGTCTGTTACTTTAAAATAATTACTTGTGTATACAAAATTGATTAATGTTCCAGTCTGATATGTTTAATGCTTTTAAGTTCTATCAATTTCCAGATAATTGAAAGATGTATATTTTTAATGTATAGAATTATTATTCTATATGATTTCTGGATTTTTGTATTGCTTAGTTGCACAAGTTTTATTGAGTATTCTGAATTGTCACAGTTGTTTAATTATTTCTTTAAGTAATGTTCTAGGTTGTATAATACTGATCAAAAGTCTACTATGGGTCTTATTTTTTCTTTCAGTTTATGCATTTTTATTTTAAGTTCAGCATTGGTTCTCTAAAATTATGTAGTCTAAGATGAAGTTTTTTTTGTTGTTATCTAGTAATTTATTTTTGTTTAATTTGTTAATACATTCCGTAATTCATCATATGTAGCATTAGTTTGGTTGATAGGCAATTCTTTATATATCTTGTTTATTAATTTAGTGATTTTCCATCCATTTGTAACTATTATTGATTGTTTCAATTTATTAGCTTTTATGAGTGTTGTTTTCATTCAAGAAATTTTTTATGATATTAAATTTTTATTTGTATTTTGAAAACATTTAATGTTTTATTTTTTTTCTTCCCCTTCCTTTGGTTGTGTATCTTTTAAGTAAAGTTTTTTAATATTATATTTTAATTGATTACATTCTAGTTTTTTATTTCTAAAAATATTTTTGAAAACTAATAATATGATAATTTGAATAGCAGGAAAGAACACACAGCTTCACCAAATTTTTAAAAGTGAAGTTTTCCCAATCACTAAAACAGCAGTATAAGTAACTGACATTTGAAAAGAATACTAAATCATACATTTAGTATTACATTAAATGTAGTGCTTATTTATATATGGATGTTTTAAACTGAAATATATGTAAATAAGTATTAGATTTACTGTATAATTTCCTACTGTAAATATGTATACAACTGGTACCATAACAAGAAGGGGAGATGAAACTCCTAAAATGCATATATGGAAATGAAAATAAAGATGAGAAATAAAAATCATGCATTGTTGTTATGGAGCACTGCTCCACATAAAAATGAAATGAAAAACTTTGAATTATTATATATCCAAATTACAGTTTACCTTGACAAACTGGAACTTGAGACCACTGACCATCATCATTGCATGTGGCCTTTGCTTCTCCCACTAATTTATAATTATAATTGCATTCATAACGAATTTCAGAATTATATATTAATGAATCATAAAACACTTGACCATTTTTTGGATTTTGAGGTATTGGACACTGGATCTTTACAGGATCTAATAATATAAAAAGCTTTACTCAATTCATTTATTTAAAAAATTCCATAATACTAAATTAACAAGACTGTAATTATATTTATTTATAAATTCTATTTACTTTTTAACATTAATGAAAATTATTGTTTTATGTTAAAAAGTAATAAACTGAAAAATTTTGTAATTTCTCTTTGACAGTAGCATTTCTAATGTAATGTGATACATTTTGGTGTCATACCATGCTGGCGGCACTCCAAAAGAAAATTCAATTGCATACATTCCTTGTGCCAACATTCTTTCTCATTTAGAATTGTAAAGAAATATCTCCTTGCAGTTTCCATGGAGTGAATGAAAGAAATTATTTTGTCATGCCTTTATTATATTAATAAAGTTTGACAACTAAAGTACAAAAACAAACAAAATATCTCACAAGCACTTGTTGCAGCTGCATTTTCCCTGAATATAAAAATATATACTTTCTTATTACAGGCTATCATCCTAAGAAAGTTGCAATTAAACACTTTAGGGAGTGATGATTATGACAATGGGGTGGAGGAATTCTGACCTGAATTTTGGTCCCTGTCAACAGAACTATGAACCAATAGGAAGCAAGGAAAGAGGCGATCTGGGCCAATCAAAAATATCGGTTTTCGGTCAAAAAGTATATAAAAAATAGGACACAAGTATATAAAAAATAGGACCCTGTGTCCTTGGGACTCAGTCCCAAGAATACAGGGAAAAGAATACAGGGGAAAGAAATGAGAAAGATAGTAGGAGTTGGACAGAGTTAGAGAGATATAGAGTTGGTTGTCATTACTTAGCCATCTTCTCCCAAAAGGATCACTTCATCCTTTTGTGTAATGGACCACTGCTTGCTAAAAGATCCATGGTTTTCAGTCATCTTTTTCCAGAGGGTCAACTAGCCTTTTGTCAACTTAATCTTTTCCTAGAATTCTTTTCCATCTATACTTTTTGTTGACTTATTCTGTCCAGGAAGATGAAAAAAAGCCTTACTCATCAAAAGGATCACCTGTCCACCCAAATGTTGTTGTCTTATAGGATTAACTGTGTACTAAATATACTTATCTTCCTCTGCAGTACAAGTGACAACTTGTTGTCCTGAGAGTCAATCAACTGGGAACATCACATAGAATCCATTCTCAAGTAGAAGACCAACTGACAAGTGGCCAACTCCATTTCTTTTTCTAGTTATGTCTCCCTACACTCATCTCAGGAACACCGTCAAGTGACATGTTTCAGAAAGAAATTTTAATTATAAATAAATGTGATTGTCTCTGTATGTGGTGTAAGTTTCTGTGTTTGCTACCATTACCCCACACAGCTCCATCCTCTTGTATCATCCTGACAGAAGCATGACAGAAAGTGACAAATGCCCTTCCTTTCCAACTTCACTGTAGGGTGATTCACCAACAAGGCAGTATCCACTCTTACTTAATGCAATATGTCATAATTTGTGCTTAGAAATACTTTATTTGTTGATATCCTGAAGATAAGCTCTATGTAATTTGAAAATGTTTAGTTTCTGTAAACTGAAATTCCATTGAAAGCAATAATTCTATCTCATTAGGTAATTTTTGCAAGAATATCTCAGACATGATAAATTGTTGGAATAAATAATATCTAAATAGACAAATGCTTAAAGGCATAAAGAAGCAAGATATTTAGACTCTTTATACCTTCAAACAATTGTGTTTTTGTCTGTTAATTTTTAAAACTAATGAAAATAATTTCAATTAATTGAAAATTTAATTACAGTATATTATTAATTCATAATTATACAATAATTATCTTATAATCCGTAATATAGAATGGAACTGATACCTGGAAAAACTTTAATCATTACAAAATGCTCATTTCTAGGTGATATGCAGCTGTAGTTTCCAGAATAATCATTTGTCATATTCAAAATGTCAATATGAACGTAGAATGAACCTCTCCGAGATTGAAACACTTTAACTTTTAAAAGAAATTAAATATTATTAGATTAATTTTAAAAAATTATTATTCATTGTATTAATTTAATCATAACATTGTTAATAAAAGCTTCTTATAATTATTTAAATTTTTCATTATATTATTATTTATCAAACTAAAATTTTAAATTAAATAAGTCTTACCAAAGTACATGAAATACCAATTAGTAAAACAGAAATTCATCAATTACACCATAATAAAATTGCCATAGTTTCTATAATCAGGGCATTTGACACCAGGGGCAAACTTAAATATGGCACTTTTTGGACAAGCCTTTCATAGGTCCATTATATATTTATTTTTGTTCCTCTCATCTTAGCACCCTGGGCACATACCCCTTCTGCCCCTGCCTTTCCACAGTTTTATATATATATAAAACCCATAAATATTACATTAATATACTATAGTTAAAATTACCATAAGTATAATTAACAAATTAACAACATTTACCCTAATTCTGCAACACAGTATCTCACACTCAACTTAGAGAGACTACTACAGTTACTACACCACATAATGCTTGCTCAAAAATTGTTTATGCAACTAATACACTAACACATAAAACCTAATTCTGTATTTATTTAAAAACAACTATAAATGTCATTACTTTTGCAAAAGTATAAAATAAGTAGAAATGCAAAACAAGTCTTCAGTTTTTCTTATAAGAATATTTACATTTATAAGATCCCTCATTATTAAATATCATGCCATTAATCATGTAAAAATTAACATTACAGTGTACAAATTTTAAAACAGTTTTTTTTAATGTAAAAATGCAAATTTATGGCATTGCCAATGTGAGGATCCGAATCCAGACTTTCAGTATGTTTACATCATTATCTCCTAACATCACATCATAGTTATACTTTCGTTAAATAACTGTCAACTTTCGCACCTGGGAGCAAAACATCTGTTAAGTTCTCAGGCCTGACAACGAAGCTTTCTCATCACCTCTCGACCTAATATCTCAATTTCATCAGTTCAACAATGAAAAAAATCAAGAAACTAAGGCAGTTGTCGCCTGTCCTTCGAAAGAGTCAGTTGTCACCCATACCTTATCCTAAGTGCCTCAATATTTGGATATCTGTGAATATATCATTTTAATTTATGTTCTTATATCCTACTAATAGATCATCAGAAACCATCGTCTAACATCTTTGTGGATACGTTCCATCAGGCTTACGGATATTTCATCTACAACAGGGGTCGCCAAAGTGGTCGATATCAACCCCCAGGGATCGATACAACATTATTGGGGTGTTGATTATCAAGCTTAAGCTAAGGATGAGGGGAGCTAAGGATCAAGCTTATCTGTATCACTGATTGTCAGTTACAAAAATTATTATTAGCAAATATACAATAAATAAAAAAAATGCAAAATTAAAAGAAATGTATTAAAATAGTAAGTGCTTTCTTTTTGTTTGTAACAGAAACTTTTTGCTGGGGGTCGATATGAGGTTTCAAAAACTTGTAGGAGGTCGATGATCAAAAAAGTTTAGTGACCCTTGATCTACAGGATACCCAAACTGACATCCCAAACTTCCTCTCTTTCACCAAGAACGTTCCAGATCAAGACCAGATCCTCAATAAGGTATTTATCACCATGCGTTTTTGCTGTAAACTCTCTCTCTCGGAAAACATGGGTCTTGAGTTACCTCAGTCTAATATCTACATAATAGCTATCATTTCTCATATACCTAAATCTATCATATTCCACTCAATCTATGATATGTCTTGTATTATCTATTGTTACCAATTAAACAGTTGTTATGTTAACTCATCTCTGCATAAGTCACTTCTGGTGCGTAGTCTCTTCCTCCATCCCGAATCCATTCGCTCACACATGTAATCATTCACGTGAGAACATAACAGTTTCTGTGTCTGTCCATAAAGACACAGTTGGTGTCAGTCCTGACAAACCTTGTCATTGCGATCTTCGCTGACGCGATGTCGACCCATCAGTCCTGTGATGCCAAAGTATAGGGGGCCCTTCGGCATTGTCACATCAAGTAACAGTGATGTTTAAAATTTGGTATCAAATTTAAAGTAGGATGGTGTTTAAACATTAAAAAGAGAGCCATTCATTAATAAATATCATCTGTAAACCTTGTCATTTATTTTAGCTTGTAAATTCCAAATTGCATCATATTCTGTTTGGAACATTTTTCCATTTTTGAATATGTTCTTCCTTGCTCTATTTGTGGAATGGCTTTTTTACCTGAGGAAGGCTTCTCAATGCTACCAAAAACATTTGTAATGTCCATTATATGTTATCAGCAGGAATAAGTATGTACAGTGTTCGTTGAACAAACAACAACATTAAAACCCGATACATTATAAACTACAAGCCAACCAATGCCATATTTATTAGTACTATAGCCAATATCTAGCCCGATGACATACTGCATTGGTTGGTTGTAGTGTACAGTGTTTGTTGTTTGTGTTAGTGCCAATTGTCAACTGTTTCAGCTTATTGGTAAGTTAGATAAAAAATTTAAAATTTATTAAATATTAAATTGTAAAAAGTTACCTTTTTCTTGCTTAGAAGCATTAGTTAATAGTCTAGGCCATNGTTTGTGTTAATGCCAATTGTCAACTGTTTCAGCTTATTGGTAAGTTAGATAAAAAATTTAAAATTTATTAAATATTAAATTGTAAAAAGTTACCTTTTTCTTGCTTAGAAGCATTAGTTAATAGTCTAGGCCATTTATCTTTTTTAACAGTATTGCATGTAATTACCAATGGTGTATTCTTCTCTACCATAATTAAATTACCAGGAAAAATGGTAAAATTCTTGTTTTGTATGGTAATAATTACATCATCATCTGCAAAAATATTTTAGTTCACAATAAGTACATTGTAAGGAAGATATTTTGTTCACTTCTCACAAGAAAAATATCCAAACTTTAACAAAAATCATTCGACAAAATGCTATTTTTCTTATAGTTGTTTTACCTAGAAACCTAACTTTGAAAATATTTCTATTAATGTCTGATATACATGATAATGATATTATTAATATTAAAGAAATAAATAAGTAAAAATTAACAATATAAATAATAATATAAAATTTAAAATACAAGACAAGAAGAGATTAAGAATGAAATTAATTATTTAGGTACTATAATACAAAGGAAAAAAGACAGAGTAGAATTTAAAACTCATAAAAAACTAAATGTACAAAAAGTAATATATTTTAAATCAAATATTTCTTTATACATGAAAAATAACATATTTAGTGCAGAGTATAAATAAAATAAAAATAGAACAAGTAACTTATGCCCTCAAAATAGCTTACTTGTTCTATTTGACAAGTATTGATCTAAAGAAGAAAATGATGCTTAATAATTATCTAAAAATACACTAGAAAAATGGGTAAAGAAATAGTACAGAATAAAATTAATGGATGTGGCATAGTATATTTTAGTTTTTTTTTTAGTTTTGTATTATTCTCTGTTCTTTGTCCTTTCATCTTTTCTGAAATTTTCTAATCTCCTTAATATTCTTCCTTCTTGAAGATGAGGGAGTCAATTCAACCAATGGAGAGGTGTCTAAGGGCATACAAGAGAGAAAAGATCAGTTTGTGACTTTATAAAACTGTAATTGTTTCTGCCAATGGTCAGGTATTTTGGATAACTGCCAGGAGATGATCCTAGAGTTGGCATCTGTGAATGTACAGTACCTGCTATAAAGAAAATTCAAAGCTTAATTAAACATTTTTTTTTATCTACAGCATTATTTGTTCTTTCATTTTCTTCTTCTGTGTTTGTCTTCATGAGCCAACAGCTACACATTTCATATTTCATGTTTAAAATAAACATGAAATTAAAATATATGGCTTTTCCATATACATAGGGACTTCTTAAAGAATTAAACATAATATTTAATAAGTTAAATATATAATTAGTCCATATATGTAAAAAATTAAAAAATAACATTAATAAAAATAACAACAAATATGAAAAAACAAACATAGTATATTCAATTCCTTGTACTTGTCAAAATACATTTTATTATATAGGAGAAACAAAAAGAAAATTACAAACATGTCTAAAAGAACACATAGCAGATTTAAAACATAATGGGTAGAATTCTGCTTTTCATAAACATTGTTTACTAAATAATTGTGACATAGAGAAAAATGGCACTAAGCTTTTACATTGTGAATTTAATACACATAACAGAAAATTCAAGAATAGTGTAGAAGTTATAAAAATTAAAAATAAAATTAATAAAAACTTAAGCATCAAAATAAATGAAAACTGCATCAAATTACTATAACAATGATAGGAGAGACAAAGCATATGGTTAAGTAATAAAAAAAAATACATATATGTATATATTTAAGCATAAAAAATAATATATTTGATAATAACATAATAATCTATATAAAAAAAAATGTAAATCTTCACTTGTTCAAAATCTTAAATCTCTGAAAGTTCTCCACCGATTGCTTTGAAATTTTGAAACAACGTTGCATTCGAATACATGCATTTTTATATTATACAGATGTTGAAATTCCCCCCTCACAGGGGAGAGGGACAAAATTAAGGCTTACCGTGAAGAACTGGGCTTCTATTATACTATTTTAGATGTGGTTTTTTACATTTTTGATTGCATTTTAATAGGATATGTCAAGAGAATGTACACTAAGAAGGGATTTTTTGAAATTCCCCCAACGGAGAGTATTATACATTTATAATAGATACATTTTGAGCCACAGCAATGTGTGGCTGGGTACAGCTAGTAATACATAAAAACATGTAAAAAATATATGCAAATTAAATAAAAACAGAAAATATATGTACTGTAAGTTAAAATATGATAATTATTTGTATCAGATAATAAAAAATTAGTAAAATATAAAAAGTGAAAAATATATCAATTAGACAAAAAATTAAAAAAGAAAAATAAGTTAAATGAGACTGTAAAACAGTACTGTATGTACAGATAATGTAAAAGATTAAGTACATATATCAAACAAATGTTATGTAAAAACATAAGTGGAAAGTTGGAAAATGTTGAAAAGTATAAGTTATTAAGGTACATTAAATGCTATAATAATATACATGAGAAAGACTAAACAATTTAACAGTTTAAAATTTACAGAAAATAGATTAAATATTCCAATTCATGTAATTTAAAAAAAAAAATAGTGGCATAAAGTTATTTACCAAGATATGTCAAAACTTTTACAGAAATTTTAACAATGTACTAATAATATTTGTACAATAATGTAATAACAATATGTATTTTAGTCAACCAAGGAGGGGTGAAGAATATGAAACACATACTAACTGATGAATGTAAACAAGATATAGAATTAAATAAATGGATGTACAGAAAGTCTAGTGTCTCAGAATATCACTTCATCAAGAATTGGATTAGAAATGATTATATATACATATATAATCATTTATTATCATACATATATTACTATGTATATTAATAATAATAATATATTATATATACATTAATTAATTAATCATACATATATTATCAATATATATATATATATATAATGCAAAGTAATAATGTATATTTAATTATAAGTATGGTAATTAAATTCATAAGAATAAACATACAATAAGCTGAAAATTAACATAACAACAACATTTAACCAGTAAACTACAAAATTAGTTATAAATTAAAGATAGGTAGATTATTTTAAGTGCATATTATTTAAGTTTATACAAAGCAGAACTTTATTATAGTAACAAATCAATTTTAAAACAAACCTTGTATAATAGTTAATACTGTATAAAAAATTGAGGAGACAAGTGAAGAAATCAGAATTAAATCATTTCATTTTGACTTTTTCCCTTGTCTGATATTTTTATATAGCAATCTTAATTATAGTTTTCCTGATAACTTAAGTTTAAAGTTACATTGCTCTTTCATCCCAATGTATGATAATAAAGAGAAAGAGAGAGGTGATAAGAAAATATAGGGTACCCTAATAATAGTGATGGATTTAACTGTGAAATAAAATGCATTGTTTATTGAACAGCTACTATTTTTAATATTACAATTTATGAGTTGTAATATTACTTTACACTGAAATAAAAATTCAGTATAAAGTATTATCAGCACAAAACCTTTCTCACTAATTTCTAGCCGTATTAACAGGAGTACAAACATTTTCGGCCTTCTTAATAGGCCTTCCTTGGGTACACTGTGGAGCATCGGTTGGAAGAAGTTTAAATGCAGCCAATGTTTACCCAGGTATCGTCTTACCAGTGACGTCATCGTCGATGATAGGTATAGACAATACCGAGGGTGAAAGATACATACTTTTGGTAAAGAAGGGCGGTGTGCAGATAGGATACTTGCTAAAGCTGGGGAAAAAATTTTAAAGTAAGCGCGCTACGTACAGGAGATGCACAATCACTACAGGGGGTTAGTGGGGAGTGATGTCATAGTTGAGGCCGTAAATAGTTAACAATACAGTAAGAAGAGGCGTGCGAATGACCGTGGATGGGAAGGGGGTTACGATTAGAAGGCAGAATGGGAAATAAACGCAACAAGTAAAAAAGTAAAAAAGAGTGCTAACAGTTGCATGCAGTGAGGGTGGGATGGTCCATTTATTTCAAGGGGTTGTCGAAGAATGATTTCCAAGCGGAGGAGAGCGAGTTCGCATCTCTGCTGTTGATACAACCCTCTTTGAGGGATTGCTTAAATATTGTTTTGTGCTGATAATCTTAGAAATAGTTATAGCTACATATGCATATCAGTATAAAGTAATATTACAACTCATTTCTGTGCTGTCATTTTTGTGTGTGGAAGACAGTGCCTGCCAAAATATTCTTTTTATCTCTGGCAGCACATATGTAGTCTTTGCATAGAATTGTTTGTGACACTGCTGCATAATTTTGGTCAATTCTGCCAATAATACATTGAATCTCCATCTTCAGATCAGAAATTGTTGATGAGTTGTAGACATAGATGTAATATTTGACAAACTTCCATAGAAAAAAGTTGTAAGGTGTTAAATAGCACATCTGGCACTGTTAATGGGTCACCCTGCATAATCAGGTAATATAGATTTAAACATAAATCAATAATTTTGTTTATTTTCAAAATCTCACATTATTATGAATTATTATTAGCAGTATTTAAAAAAAAATTATCCTTCGTTCTTTGCTGTTATAAATTCTTTGATAATTTCATTAAAATGTCTACTTCCAGGTACAATAACAATAATTAGTCAACCATACTTGAATCATTATTGTTTTTTATAATATATATATTATTAACCATGCTAATTTAGCTGAATTTCACAATCTTGTCAGGCCCACCCTCACTTTGTTTTGGTATAGGTTATCAGCACAAAACCTTTCTCACTAATTTCTAGCTTTATTAACTGGAGTACAAACGTTTTCGGCCATCTTAATAGGCCTTCCTCGGGTACACTGTGGAATGTCAGTTAGAAGAAGTTTAAATGCTGCCAATGTTTACCCAGGTATCGTCTTACCAGTGATGTCATCGTCTATGATAGGTATACGATACCGAGGGCGAAAAATACATACATTTGGTAAAGAAGGGAGGTGTGCAGATAGGATACTTGCTAAAGTTGGGAAAAAAGATTTTAGAGTAAGCGCGCTACATACAGGAGATGCACATGACGTCACTCCCCACTAACCCCCTGTTGTGATTGTGCATCTCCTGTACGTAGCGCGCTTACTCTAAAATCTTTTTTCCCAACTTTAGCAAGTATCCTATCTGCACACCTCCCTTCTTTACCAAATGTATGTATTTTTCGCCCTCGGTATCGTATACCTATCATCGACGATGACATCACTGGTAAGACGATACCTGGGTAAACATTGGCAGCATTTAAACTTCTTCTAACTGACACTCCACAGTGTACCCGAGGAAGGCCTATTAAGAAGGCNTCTCTGCATAAGTCACTTCTGGTGCGTAGTCTCTTCCTCCATCCTGAATCCATTCGCTCACACATGTAATCATTCACGTGAGAACATAACAGTTTCTGTGTCTGTCCATAAAGACACAGTTGGTGTCAGTCCTGACAAACCTTGTCATTGCGATCTTCGCTGACGCGATGTCGACCCATCAGTCCTGTGATGCCAAAGTATAGGGGGCCCTTCGGCATTGTCACATCAAGTAACAGTGATGTTTAAAATTTGGTATCAAATTTAAAGTAGGATGGTGTTTAAACATTAAAAAGAGAGCCATTCATTAATAAATATCATCTGTAAACCTTGTCATTTATTTTAGCTTGTAAATTCCAAATTGCATCATATTCTGTTTGGAACATTTTTCCATTTTTGAATATGTTCTTCCTTGCTCTATTTGTGGAATGGCTTTTTTACCTGAGGAAGGCTTCTCAATGCTACCAAAAACATTTGTAATGTCCATTATATGTTATCAGCAGGAATAAGTATGTACAGTGTTCGTTGAACAAACAACAACATTAAAACCTGATACATTATAAACTACATGCCAACCAATGCCATATTTATTAGTACTATAGCCAATATCTAGCCCGATGACATACTGCATTGGTTGGTTGTAGTGTACAGTGTTTGTTGTTTGTGTTAGTGCCAATTGTCAACTGTTTCAGCTTATTGGTAAGTTAGATAAAAAATTTAAAATTTATTAAATATTAAATTGTAAAAAGTTACCTTTTTCTTGCTTAGAAGCATTAGTTAATAGTCTAGGCCATTTATCTTTTTTAACAGTATTGCATGTAATTACCAATGGTGTATTCTTCTCTACCATAATTAAATTACCAGGAAAAATGGTAAAATTCTTGTTTTGTATGGTAATAATTACATCATCATCTGCAAAAATATTTTAGTTCACAATAAGTACATTGTAAGCAAGATATTTTGTTCACTTCTCACAAGAAAAATATCCAAACTTTAACAAAAATCATTCGACAAAATGCTATTTTTCTTATAGTTGTTTTACCTAGAAACCTAACTTTGAAAATATTTCTATTAATGTCTGATATACATGGTAATGATATTATTAATATTAAAGAAATAAATAAGTAAAAATTAACAATATAAATAATAATATAAAATTTAAAATACAAGACAAGAAGAGATTAAGAATGAAATTAATTATTTAGGTACTATAATACAAAGGAAAAAAGACAGAGTAGAATTTAAAACTCATAAAAAACTAAATGTACAAAAAGTAATATATTTTAAATCAAATATTTCTTTATACATGAAAAATAACATATTTAGTGCAGAGTATAAATAAAATAAAAATAGAACAAGTAACTTATGCCCTCAAAATAGCTTACTTGTTCTATTTGACAAGTATTGATCTAAAGAAGAAAATGATGCTTAATAATTATCTAAAAATACACTAGAAAAATGGGTAAAGAAATAGTACAGAATAAAATTAATGGATGTGGCATAGTATATTTTAGTTTTTTTTTTAGTTTTGTATTATTCTCTGTTCTTTGTCCTTTCATCTTTTCTGAAATTTTCTAATCTCCTTAATATTCTTCCTTCTTGAAGATGAGGGAGTCAATTCAACCAATGGAGAGGTGTCTAAGGGCATACAAGAGAGAAAAGATCAGTTTGTGACTTTATAAAACTGTAATTGTTTCTGCCAATGGTCAGGTATTTTGGATAACTGCCAGGAGATGATCCTAGAGTTGGCATCTGTGAATGTACAGTACCTGCTATAAAGAAAATTCAAAGCTTAATTAAACATTTTTTTTTATCTACAGCATTATTTGTTCTTTCATTTTCTTCTTCTGTGTTTGTCTTCATGAGCCAACAGCTACACATTTCATATTTCATGTTTAAAATAAACATGAAATTAAAATATATGGCTTTTCCATATACATAGGGACTTCTTGAAGAATTAAACATAATATTTAATAAGTTAAATATATAATTAGTCCATATATGTAAAAAATTAAAAAATAACATTAATAAAAATAACAACAAATATGAAAAAACAAACATAGTATATTCAATTCCTTGTACTTGTCAAAATACATTTTATTATATAGGAGAAACAAAAAGAAAATTACAAACATGTCTAAAAGAACACATAGCAGATTTAAAACATAATGGGTAGAATTCTGCTTTTCATAAACATTGTTTACTAAATAATTGTGACATAGAGAAAAATGGCACTAAGCTTTTACATTGTGAATTTAATACACATAACAGAAAATTCAAGAATAGTGTAGAAGTTATAAAAATTAAAAATAAAATTAATAAAAACTTAAGCATCAAAATAAATGAAAACTGCATCAAATTACTATAACAATGATAGGAGAGACAAAGCATATGGTTAAGTAATAAAAAAAAATACATATATGTATATATTTAAGCATAAAAAATAATATATTTGATAATAACATAATAATCTATATAAAAAAAAATGTAAATCTTCACTTGTTCAAAATCTTAAATCTCTGAAAGTTCTCCACCGATTGCTTTGAAATTTTGAAACAACGTTGCATTCGAATACATGCATTTTTATATTATACAGATGTTGAAATTCCCCCCTCACAGGGGAGAGGGACAAAATTAAGGCTTACCGTGAAGAACTGGGCTTCTATTATACTATTTTAGATGTGGTTTTTTACATTTTTGATTGCATTTTAATAGGATATGTCAAGAGAATGTACACTAAGAAGGGATTTTTTGAAATTCCCCCAACGGAGAGTATTATACATTTATAATAGATACATTTTGAGCCACAGCAATGTGTGGCTGGGTACAGCTAGTAATACATAAAAACATGTAAAAAATATATGCAAATTAAATAAAAACAGAAAATATATGTACTGTAAGTTAAAATATGATAATTATTTGTATCAGATAATAAAAAATTAGTAAAATATAAAAAGTGAAAAATATATCAATTAGACAAAAAATTAAAAAAGAAAAATAAGTTAAATGAGACTGTAAAACAGTACTGTATGTACAGATAATGTAAAAGATTAAGTACATATATCAAACAAATGTTATGTAAAAACATAAGTGGAAAGTTGGAAAATGTTGAAAAGTATAAGTTATTAAGGTACATTAAATGCTATAATAATATACATGAGAAAGACTAAACAATTTAACAGTTTAAAATTTACAGAAAATAGATTAAATATTCCAATTCATGTAATTTAAAAAAAAAAATAGTGGCATAAAGTTATTTACCAAGATATGTCAAAACTTTTACAGAAATTTTAACAATGTACTAATAATATTTGTACAATAATGTAATAACAATATGTATTTTAGTCAACCAAGGAGGGGTGAAGAATATGAAACACATACTAACTGATGAATGTAAACAAGATATAGAATTAAATAAATGGATGTACAGAAAGTCTAGTGTCTCAGAATATCACTTCATCAAGAATTGGATTAGAAATGATTATATATACATATATAATCATTTATTATCATACATATATTACTATGTATATTAATAATAATAATATATTATATATACATTAATTAATTAATCATACATATATTATCAATATATATATATATATATAATGCAAAGTAATAATGTATATTTAATTATAAGTATGGTAATTAAATTCATAAGAATAAACATACAATAAGCTGAAAATTAACATAACAACAACATTTAACCAGTAAACTACAAAATTAGTTATAAATTAAAGATAGGTAGATTATTTTAAGTGCATATTATTTAAGTTTATACAAAGCAGAACTTTATTATAGTAACAAATCAATTTTAAAACAAACCTTGTATAATAGTTAATACTGTATAAAAAATTGAGGAGACAAGTGAAGAAATCAGAATTAAATCATTTCATTTTGACTTTTTCCCTTGTCTGATATTTTTATATAGCAATCTTAATTATAGTTTTCCTGATAACTTAAGTTTAAAGTTACATTGCTCTTTCATCCCAATGTATGATAATAAAGAGAAAGAGAGAGGTGATAAGAAAATATAGGGTACCCTAATAATAGTGATGGATTTAACTGTGAAATAAAATGCATTGTTTATTGAACAGCTACTATTTTTAATATTACAATTTATGAGTTGTAATATTACTTTACACTGAAATAAAAATTCAGTATAAAGTATTATCAGCACAAAACCTTTCTCACTAATTTCTAGCCGTATTAACAGGAGTACAAACATTTTCGGCCTTCTTAATAGGCCTTCCTTGGGTACACTGTGGAGCATCGGTTGGAAGAAGTTTAAATGCAGCCAATGTTTACCCAGGTATCGTCTTACCAGTGACGTCATCGTCGATGATAGGTATAGACAATACCGAGGGTGAAAGATACATACTTTTGGTAAAGAAGGGCGGTGTGCAGATAGGATACTTGCTAAAGCTGGGGAAAAAATTTTAAAGTAAGCGCGCTACGTACAGGAGATGCACAATCACTACAGGGGGTTAGTGGGGAGTGATGTCATAGTTGAGGCCGTAAATAGTTAACAATACAGTAAGAAGAGGCGTGCGAATGACCGTGGATGGGAAGGGGGTTACGATTAGAAGGCAGAATGGGAAATAAACGCAACAAGTAAAAAAGTAAAAAAGAGTGCTAACAGTTGCATGCGGTGAGGGTGGGATGGTCCATTTATTTCAAGGGGTTGTCGAAGAATGATTTCCAAGCGGAGGAGAGCGAGTTCGCATCTCTGCTGTTGATACAACCCTCTTTGAGGGATTGCTTAAATATTGTTTTGTGCTGATAATCTTAGAAATAGTTATAGCTACATATGCATATCAGTATAAAGTAATATTACAACTCATTTCTGTGCTGTCATTTTTGTGTGTGGAAGACAGTGCCTGCCAAAATATTCTTTTTATCTCTGGCAGCACATATGTAGTCTTTGCATAGAATTGTTTGTGACACTGCTGCATAATTTTGGTCAATTCTGCCAATAATACATTGAATCTCCATCTTCAGATCAGAAATTGTTGATGAGTTGTAGACATAGATGTAATATTTGACAAACTTCCATAGAAAAAAGTTGTAAGGTGTTAAATAGCACATCTGGCACTGTTAATGGGTCACCCTGCATAATCAGGTAATATAGATTTAAACATAAATCAATAATTTTGTTTATTTTCAAAATCTCACATTATTATGAATTATTATTAGCAGTATTTAAAAAAAAATTATCCTTCGTTCTTTGCTGTTATAAATTCTTTGATAATTTCATTAAAATGTCTACTTCCAGGTACAATAACAATAATTAGTCAACCATACTTGAATCATTATTGTTTTTTATAATATATATATTATTAACCATGCTAATTTAGCTGAATTTCACAATCTTGTCAGGCCCACCCTCACTTTGTTTTGGTATAGGTTATCAGCACAAAACCTTTCTCACTAATTTCTAGCTTTATTAACTGGAGTACAAACGTTTTCGGCCATCTTAATAGGCCTTCCTCGGGTACACTGTGGAATGTCAGTTAGAAGAAGTTTAAATGCTGCCAATGTTTACCCAGGTATCGTCTTACCAGTGATGTCATCGTCTATGATAGGTATACGATACCGAGGGCGAAAAATACATACATTTGGTAAAGAAGGGAGGTGTGCAGATAGGATACTTGCTAAAGTTGGGAAAAAAGATTTTAGAGTAAGCGCGCTACATACAGGAGATGCACATGACGTCACTCCCCACTAACCCCCTGTTGTGATTGTGCATCTCCTGTACGTAGCGCGCTTACTCTAAAATCTTTTTCCCCAACTTTAGCAAGTATCCTATCTGCACACCTCCCTTCTTTACCAAAAGTATGTATTTTTCGCCCTCGGTATCGTATACCTATCATCGACGATGACATCACTGGTAAGACGATACCTGGGTAAACATTGGCAGCATTTAAACTTCTTCTAACTGACACTCCACAGTGTACCCGAGGAAGGCCTATTAAGAAGGCCGAAAACGTTTGTACTCCAGTTAATAAGGCTAGAAATTAGTGAGAAAGGTTTTGTGCTGATAATCTTAGAAATAGTTCTAGCTACATATGCATAGTAGTTTTGGTATAAAATTGTGCATAAACACATCCAATTTAAAAATGGTAGAACAGAAACTTGCTAATCCTGAATTTAAATTAGTTGTTAATTCCATACTTTGTCTAATCATATGTTGATAAAATGAGTCTAAAGATTTTTTAGAAAATGAAATAGATTTGAAAACAAAACTATTGAAAACACTCAATAGTAGTATAAATATAAGTGTTACGCAAACTAATTTGTGATTCATTTTTTTATAGTAAATTATAAAATTATTTCAGAAAACCTCTTAAATTATTTCCAAACTTTACATTTTAATCATGTTTCATTTGCAATTTAAAGTATGTTCTATTTCAGATATTTCAGTTTCTTCTTCTGCCTAACAAAACAATGCTAAAATTTTTTTTAAATGTTAATGTTTTTATTTTATACCATTAGACCCTTTTGTTTTCAATAACATTGGCTTAATTGTAGATTTTTTATAAATCATTTACAGCTGCTGGTTTTCATCTACCACTATTTTTATAAAATTATTNGGAGGGTTGTTGTTGGTGGTGTCTAAAAATTATGCTAATTTGCATATTTAGTATGTAAGTTATTAACTTTTATACATTATAATACATAATAAATTTAATTTACCTTTTGTTGGTAAATGACAAGAAGGTAAATACGGTTCCCATGTTCCATTTTCACATTTACTTTCAATAGGCCCTCTTAAACGATATTCTCCAGGATACGAACAACCAAATTTTAGATGTGTATCATGAACAAAATAACCTGCTTTAATTCTTCTGTTTCCATTTAAAAAAGCTATTAAATTATCATCTAATGATTGATATATGCATTTATTCAATGAATTTAAATTGCTTAAATCTATTTCCTTTTTTTCTTCTGTATTGCTTGTATTCAATTCAATAAAAGTGTTGTTTATAGTTAATGTAGCTTCTTGTTTAGCAATATCAGTTGTTTTAACTTCATCTATAACAGTATCTTCATCAGAAAATTCAATTGGGCTAGGAGTTTTAATATCTAAAACAATATTATTATTTTAGTTTAAAAAACAATATTTACCAATTTTAAAAATAATTTTTATCAATAATAAATAGCCATATAAGAAATCAAGCCTGAATTACAATCCTGCTTACAATGAACTTTTTTCACCATTAAAACTTTCAGAAATTTACAAAATTTAAAAACCCTTGCATAGACATTAAACCAAGTACTCTAAATAATTCCTTTTGTAAATAAATAAGTTCATTCCAATAACTTACTACTTTGGATTTTATTAGTTTGGAATACACAGCTAAATAAATCTTGCAACCATCTGGCAACATATTACAATGAAGTTCATTGAGAAAGAATTTTTGGAGTATTTTCTGGAATTTCTTGTAGTTTTTCTTGTCACACATCTAGCTTATAAAAGGCAAGTCACCTTTAGCAATTTATATTAATGTCTGTGAAAATCGGTGAGAGGTAAGGTGAGAGGTATCAGAACCAATCAGGAAGATTATTATCCAGAAGTATTGTGAAAATGATGAGAAATACATGACAATAAGATGATGCAAACAACAGTCAATCGTATTTTATTGAACGAAATGAGGTAACAGAGGTTGGACTGCCCGTTACAGGGAACAAAAGTAAAAGTATATATATGTACTAAGTCCCCGCTCTGGATTAAACTTCCCACGACAATTGATTTATATACAGTTCAGCTTAAAATTAAGACAATGACAATTCAATTTAAACCTAATACTATTACTACTTACAACTAAGAAGAGAAAAGAAAAGATGAAGGAGGGTCTATCAGTAGCTTAGATCGATGAGTCCTGACACTGGGGTAATGTCAACTATGATTGCTTCTGTGGGTTCCCAGACGAGGTTCGAACTCGAGTAAACCGTGAAATTCTTGCACGACACAAAATGTAAACAATGAGACTCGGAATGGTTCGAGTATGTGTCAATTATCTGTTAAGGTCTTAGCAGAAGACAAACTCTAACACGAGCACTCATAAACAGGTAGATCTTTGACTCGCGTGTCTATAAAATGTTGGCCGAAATAAACCTTTTCGAACAAAAAAATAGAGAAATTTTTGATAGGTGAAAGGTGAAAATGATCGTTAAATTCTTAGACGTCAAAAAATGGTAAATAACGGCCTGAGTTATGAGTGCAGGTGTTATTATTTTATAAACAGTCATCGAGCAGAGTCGACAAAGAGGTATCGGATGGATACCTCGAATCGGACCTTTCCCGCGACCCGAAAAAGTTTCGTCTTGCACCTGGAGACAAAGGAGAGACCAATTGGGAAGCGAGGAATGGGACGAGGGACCAATCCGAAATGCGAACAGTGGGGAAAAAACTATAAAAATCGGAACTTCAAGGTCGAAAGAGAGTCTCCTCCGGATTAACCCTACAGTGGTGATTAAATTTGTGCTGTGCATCCGCCGATCACCGAGGACGCCGCAACGAACTTCTACTTCGTCCAGATATCTTTCTCGTCCGTCCGAGCTGCGACCGAGATCACGAACTTTCGCCGTTCCCAGGAGCACCAAGATTTTGGAATTGTCCATTATCGATGTAAGCATGAATTCGAACAAATAAACGGGTTTTATCTTGTAAAAAACGGGTTTTATCTTGTTCGTCATTTGCCTCCTTCGCCACCGCCTACATACGCGGTTTCCCTTAGGCTCATTCTGACGTGAGATAGACTTTTTCCCTCTCAACGTCGGCAAACCTTACACTTCGTGGATGGTGAATATCCAATCTGTTGACATCCAGGGTATTAACAAACAGTCACTATTACATATGTGCTGAGGCAGGTCCTTGAGCATTTATGGGAAGACTCACTTACTTAGTTCTGGATCACTGTCCACATGTGGTCTATATTGACCCTCTCGCTCCTTCTATCTTCCTAGGCCTGACTCCTCATAGATTGTCTCTCGGTCTCTCTCACCTGACCTATCATGTAGGTGGCAAACCCAAAAGTGACTCTCGTCCACTCATGGTTTCCCCAGGTCCCCTTTGGACACTAGCCCAATCAGGACCCATGAACAGTAAAGCTTCTGTCATGTGACAGGAAAGGGTTACAGACAGAATAAAGAAGAATTACAGGAAAGAAGAAAGGCATTCCTATTTTATATACAATTATACAAAACCAACATGGCAGACAACCACAGTATAAAGGAGTCTTTTGATATAGTATTGCACAGGATATGCAGATATCTCAGTCTATAGTCCAGGGAATCATCAAATGTTTTTGAGAAAAGGGAAACACTTGTCAAGGAAAAGTTTTAGGAAGAAAACTACAATCCTTTCAATGCTATATTTCACAAAACAAGCAAGTTTCCATAACAGATTTAAAAAAGTGGCAAGGGAATACTTTAATATCCCATTATCTGAATGAACAATGCTAGGAAAACCAAAGCCTGGCTGCAGTCTAATCATATACATGTATTCCTATGGCCAGCATCAAGCCTGGATCTGTCTTAGATAGAAAATGTATGGAGATTTTTGAAAATAAAGCTGACTCAATGCCATCCTCACACATTAGAACAATTATTCATGTTAATTATAAAAACTACTTAGTTATTATGACTAATGAACAGACTTATTACACATCCAGCAAAACTTAATTCACTTAAACCAAAATGCATTTTGGTCTTACTGGCCCTTAATTGGATGGCATATAAGAAACAAAATATATGGTGACAATTATTCTGTTATATTGTCACCATATATTCTGTTCGGGCAACTTACTACCAACAAAAGATATCTACCTGGCTCCGAGAACCTTGCAGCAGATGCATGCTTGAGAATCAACTCCATTGCACTACCGTCAGTAATCACACTGGAGGACATCACTGCTGCACAGGTGAACTGCAGGGAACTAACCAAGCTACTCAAGTCAACCACATGCTCTCTCAACTTTTAGAGCATTCAGTTGAAAAATCAAGCACAACTACGTGACTCATCAAATGGGAGAATCCGATCATTCATTCCAGAAAAATTTCAATGACCGCTGTTTAATGCTATACATAATCTCGCGCATCTAGGGATAAAAGGTTTGGCGGATCTCATAACTCAATGCTTTGTTTGCCATCACTAAGAAAAAACATCTCTCAGTGGGCCAGGATATGTATTTCCTGCCAACATGCCAAGGTATGGAAACACACAACCAGTAGCATTGGCACATACCTGTCAAATCCTGGTTTTCCCATCAATCTTGACATTCTTGGACCCTTGCCTCCCCACAGGGGTTCAGTTATCTAGTAACTATGATGGACAGATTCTCCTAGTGGCCTGAGGCAGTTCCAGTGCCAAACATTTTGGCAAAAACTGTCACCAATGCAATACTTTCATTGATAGCTCATTTTGGAATTCCCCCAAAAATCATGACAGATCATGGGAGACAATTTGAGTGCCAGCTGTGAATCCACCACATTAAAAGAACAGCTTACCACCCTGCCTCTAATGGAATAATTGAACACTGGCACTGCATCTTAAATTAAGCAGCATTAAGAGCCCATGTAGCAGATGATTGGGTAACTGCCCTGCCAACAGTTCTATTCAGACTGACAGTGAGATCATATGTAATCCCAGAGCATAACAGAACACCTGCAGAACTAACCTATGGAAGTTATCAGACTCCCAGCTGACTTACTGAATGACAATTCCATACCAATGGACATTCCTACCTTCCTATACAAGCTGAGAGCCTTCAACAAAAGTCTGTGTCCAGTACAGCCACAACATGTACGTGGCCAACATGAGCAACAACACTGACCAAAAAGGTTTTTAAAAATTTTGTTTGTTCTTTAAACAAAATTAAAAAAAATACATTAAAAAAGTTAGGATTGCACTGGCCACATGGTCAAACTTGTCCTTCTTGTCCTCTGGGAAGATCCAAAAGTGGTGTTGCCAGCTCTTTCCCTGTTCTATTATCTTCTAGCTTTTTGGTCAGTATTGTGCTCTTGTCAGCCACATACTTCCTCCCCAGTGATAACTGTAAGAGTCATGCTGGAAAGAGGAGTGGTGGTGAATGATGATGGAATAGTGGCATGGATAGCTGGTTGTACTAGCTATGTATCTTTTGTAGGTACAGTAGGATCTGAGTTTGAAAAAGAATTCTTGTTGATGTATCTCAAGTATCACGTTTTTGTAATTGGAACTTTCTGAGCCAACAGAAGGGCAAGCCCAACCATATGGAAAGCACAAGACTTTTAATATCTCAGAGGACCTTGTTTTAGAGATTTATCGACTCTGTCATAAACATACAGGACCTACTATATCTTAATTATTACAAATACAAACAATATTGTATGAAAGATCTCTGTTTTTATATTACTGCTGTGTTATATATTTTGGTTTTTACTTCTGTTTTGTTTTGGGCTAATTGTTATTATTTGGAAAGACTCATTTTGCCTAATTGCTATTGCCTTGCATAATTCTTATAAACAAATAAATAAATGATTTGTTAAGGTTTAATAGTTCCTATTTTAAAAATAATTATAGTGAAAAACTTAAGTTCAAAATTGGCAATGAAACTATAAATCTGAAAAAATTAGTTAAAAATTATTAATATAAACTGCATTATAATTATAATACTATAATATATTCTAAATTCATTGTGTATATTTCAGCTTCGTTTAAATTATAAAATATTTTGTAAAAACAACTTATAAAGACAGTACATAAAGAATTTTTTTCATTCATTTGAAAAATAAGTAATAACATTTTTCAAAAATGAACTTTTACAAGAATTTACATAAAGCAAATAAAACTATGCAAATTTTTAATATTACATACCAAGTAAGCATTCAGGCTTTGGATGCCATTGTTTTTTTTCACATACAATAGAATTCTCACTGTCATCAGTTTCTATTATCCCTTGCAACTTGTAAGGTTTATTGCAAAATATAAAATATTTAGTTCCATGAGTAATTACAGAACCAGTTCTAACCTAAAATATAAAATTAATGAAACTATCATCAAACTATCCACAACTTAATAGAACTAAAAATAATTATAATTAAAATATATCAATTCAAAGATGGAGATACAAAATTTTACAATATAAATTGCNCACCGATTGCTTTGAAATTTTGAAACAACGTTGCATTCGAATACATGCATTTTTATATTATACAGATGTTGAAATTCCCCCCTCACAGGGGAGAGGGACAAAATTAAGGCTTACCGTGAAGAACTGGGCTTCTATTATACTATTTTAGATGTGGTTTTTTACATTTTTGATTGCATTTTAATAGGATATGTCAAGAGAATGTACACTAAGAAGGGATTTTTTGAAATTCCCCCAACGGAGAGTATTATACATTTATAATAGATACATTTTGAGCCACAGCAATGTGTGGCTGGGTACAGCTAGTAATACATAAAAACATGTAAAAAATATATGCAAATTAAATAAAAACAGAAAATATATGTACTGTAAGTTAAAATATGATAATTATTTGTATCAGATAATAAAAAATTAGTAAAATATAAAAAGTGAAAAATATATCAATTAGACAAAAAATTAAAAAAGAAAAATAAGTTAAATGAGACTGTAAAACAGTACTGTATGTACAGATAATGTAAAAGATTAAGTACATATATCAAACAAATGTTATGTAAAAACATAAGTGGAAAGTTGGAAAATGTTGAAAAGTATAAGTTATTAAGGTACATTAAATGCTATAATAATATACATGAGAAAGACTAAACAATTTAACAGTTTAAAATTTACAGAAAATAGATTAAATATTCCAATTCATGTAATTTAAAAAAAAAAATAGTGGCATAAAGTTATTTACCAAGATATGTCAAAACTTTTACAGAAATTTTAACAATGTACTAATAATATTTGTACAATAATGTAATAACAATATGTATTTTAGTCAACCAAGGAGGGGTGAAGAATATGAAACACATACTAACTGATGAATGTAAACAAGATATAGAATTAAATAAATGGATGTACAGAAAGTCTAGTGTCTCAGAATATCACTTCATCAAGAATTGGATTAGAAATGATTATATATACATATATAATCATTTATTATCATACATATATTACTATGTATATTAATAATAATAATATATTATATATACATTAATTAATTAATCATACATATATTATCAATATATATATATATATATAATGCAAAGTAATAATGTATATTTAATTATAAGTATGGTAATTAAATTCATAAGAATAAACATACAATAAGCTGAAAATTAACATAACAACAACATTTAACCAGTAAACTACAAAATTAGTTATAAATTAAAGATAGGTAGATTATTTTAAGTGCATATTATTTAAGTTTATACAAAGCAGAACTTTATTATAGTAACAAATCAATTTTAAAACAAACCTTGTATAATAGTTAATACTGTATAAAAAATTGAGGAGACAAGTGAAGAAATCAGAATTAAATCATTTCATTTTGACTTTTTCCCTTGTCTGATATTTTTATATAGCAATCTTAATTATAGTTTTCCTGATAACTTAAGTTTAAAGTTACATTGCTCTTTCATCCCAATGTATGATAATAAAGAGAAAGAGAGAGGTGATAAGAAAATATAGGGTACCCTAATAATAGTGATGGATTTAACTGTGAAATAAAATGCATTGTTTATTGAACAGCTACTATTTTTAATATTACAATTTATGAGTTGTAATATTACTTTACACTGAAATAAAAATTCAGTATAAAGTATTATCAGCACAAAACCTTTCTCACTAATTTCTAGCCGTATTAACAGGAGTACAAACATTTTCGGCCTTCTTAATAGGCCTTCCTTGGGTACACTGTGGAGCATCGGTTGGAAGAAGTTTAAATGCAGCCAATGTTTACCCAGGTATCGTCTTACCAGTGACGTCATCGTCGATGATAGGTATAGACAATACCGAGGGTGAAAGATACATACTTTTGGTAAAGAAGGGCGGTGTGCAGATAGGATACTTGCTAAAGCTGGGGAAAAAATTTTAAAGTAAGCGCGCTACGTACAGGAGATGCACAATCACTACAGGGGGTTAGTGGGGAGTGATGTCATAGTTGAGGCCGTAAATAGTTAACAATACAGTAAGAAGAGGCGTGCGAATGACCGTGGATGGGAAGGGGGTTACGATTAGAAGGCAGAATGGGAAATAAACGCAACAAGTAAAAAAGTAAAAAAGAGTGCTAACAGTTGCATGCAGTGAGGGTGGGATGGTCCATTTATTTCAAGGGGTTGTCGAAGAATGATTTCCAAGCGGAGGAGAGCGAGTTCGCATCTCTGCTGTTGATACAACCCTCTTTGAGGGATTGCTTAAATATTGTTTTGTGCTGATAATCTTAGAAATAGTTATAGCTACATATGCATATCAGTATAAAGTAATATTACAACTCATTTCTGTGCTGTCATTTTTGTGTGTGGAAGACAGTGCCTGCCAAAATATTCTTTTTATCTCTGGCAGCACATATGTAGTCTTTGCATAGAATTGTTTGTGACACTGCTGCATAATTTTGGTCAATTCTGCCAATAATACATTGAATCTCCATCTTCAGATCAGAAATTGTTGATGAGTTGTAGACATAGATGTAATATTTGACAAACTTCCATAGAAAAAAGTTGTAAGGTGTTAAATAGCACATCTGGCACTGTTAATGGGTCACCCTGCATAATCAGGTAATATAGATTTAAACATAAATCAATAATTTTGTTTATTTTCAAAATCTCACATTATTATGAATTATTATTAGCAGTATTTAAAAAAAAATTATCCTTCGTTCTTTGCTGTTATAAATTCTTTGATAATTTCATTAAAATGTCTACTTCCAGGTACAATAACAATAATTAGTCAACCATACTTGAATCATTATTGTTTTTTATAATATATATATTATTAACCATGCTAATTTAGCTGAATTTCACAATCTTGTCAGGCCCACCCTCACTTTGTTTTGGTATAGGTTATCAGCACAAAACCTTTCTCACTAATTTCTAGCTTTATTAACTGGAGTACAAACGTTTTCGGCCATCTTAATAGGCCTTCCTCGGGTACACTGTGGAATGTCAGTTAGAAGAAGTTTAAATGCTGCCAATGTTTACCCAGGTATCGTCTTACCAGTGATGTCATCGTCTATGATAGGTATACGATACCGAGGGCGAAAAATACATACATTTGGTAAAGAAGGGAGGTGTGCAGATAGGATACTTGCTAAAGTTGGGAAAAAAGATTTTAGAGTAAGCGCGCTACATACAGGAGATGCACATGACGTCACTCCCCACTAACCCCCTGTTGTGATTGTGCATCTCCTGTACGTAGCGCGCTTACTCTAAAATCTTTTTTCCCAACTTTAGCAAGTATCCTATCTGCACACCTCCCTTCTTTACCAAATGTATGTATTTTTCGCCCTCGGTATCGTATACCTATCATCGACGATGACATCACTGGTAAGACGATACCTGGGTAAACATTGGCAGCATTTAAACTTCTTCTAACTGACACTCCACAGTGTACCCGAGGAAGGCCTATTAAGAAGGCCGAAAACGTTTGTACTCCAGTTAATAAGGCTAGAAATTAGTGAGAAAGGTTTTGTGCTGATAATNTATGGATAACTTTATTTAAACAATCCAAGTTATAATTTTGTGATCTAATTTTATTCTACCACCATATACGGCACCATCAATCAATATTTATATGATTTGGGGAGTTCAAGTTATTACAGCAAGTTACTTTAAAAAATATTTATTAATTCAATTTTATTAATTTGTTCTACATTCCGATCTCGTGCATTACGTAATTTGAAAAGTCCGTTAAAAGCTATCAATTCGAAAACAAAGGTATTCGATTTCGCCTGAAGACGACAGTCGTAAACTGTTGAAAGTACTAGCGAACATATCTGAAATTTAACAAATCGCTGTCAATAACGCCGCAACACGTAAGTGTCATAATTTTAATTTCTAAAGGCTGGCGTGAAGTGAACTATATTTTCATTCATGAATACTACTAAAAAACACTTCTTTGCTTTATTGGATACCAGAACATCGTGGTTGAGGCAAAAAGCCCAACTTTGGTTTTTACTAAAGTGTCGAAAGAACGGACTCATCCCCAAGTGCATCTCTTTTAAACATAAAGCATTTCCAAGAGAAGTTAGAACACTATTACCTCGAATGGAACGAAGTCTCCTGGCAAAACTGATTAAGAATAAACGCAGAATGATATCGGAAGAAGAGGATAAGATGTACCTGGCCCACCTCCTTTTCGACAAACAGTGTGATCCATCTATTCTGTACCAACAACTAGACAAGATAAGATATATGGCTAACAAAAATGCACGAGCAGTCAGGAAGAAATTGAATAGTAAATATTATTGGTTACAGAAAACGTCCTGCCATAAACGAAGCAAAACCATTGAAATTCCATATTATAATTTTGCAAATGCAAATGTACCAGCAAACATTCATCAAATAATAACACGAGGTCCGAAACACATACCTACTCCAACGTTTGATTATGCACAACTCATTCCTCCCACCATCGCTGCTATAAAGAACACTTGCTGTCCAGAATTGCAACCTAAATTGGAGCTTTCTGCAATAACCAACATAGCATCAAAACGAAGTTCGAAATCCAGAAATTCAAATGCACAAACTGCTCGGATAGTTAAATCGTATCTTACAAGCAATCATTTAAATTTATTGGTAGCAGATAAAGATAAAAGATTTGTGTTATGCAAGAACCAGGATTTCCTATCAAGATCCAATGAATTCCTTCAACAGTCTGAATCAATTATACTAAAAGAGGATCCGACACCAACTATACTAAGGAAGACACGCAAGATTATTGCACTTACAGGGGTAACAGCTTCTTTAACTGGTTCTCTTAATCCGCCAACGAACATTGCTTGCCCAAGATTATTCTTTGAAGTGAAGACACATAAACCTACTTGGCCTTTAAGACCATTGATTAATAAATGCTCCCATCCTAAATATGAAATAAAAAACCAACTAACTCAATAATCCAAAACCAAAAACATTTCACTTACTAGTCAATCAAACATTTTCCACTTTCAATTGGACACCTTCAGGCTGCAGAAAAAGTCGTAACTGCATGATTTTTGAACAATTTGAAACTAATGTGTTGTTGCTCGCTGATTGGTGGAGGTGTTTCAAATGATGCGTGAAGGATGCTTTTCCTGAATGATGCATTTGAAATACCTGGGCCGCCACTGATCAAAGAAGACAGTTCCCATATGTACTCAAGTGAATGCAATTATTTAAGGGAGTAAAGGAAAATGTTCCCCAATGTCATCATCTTTGAAGTTGATGGCATTCTTATTTAAATCTGCCTTGTATATTTCCAACAGTTCAAGGTAGCAGAGTTGTGCTCTGTTAGATGTTTGATGGAGGATCCTGGTCCTACCAAATGGACTTCCACATACAGGTCCATGGCATTAGAAGATAGTGCAGTGGAATAGTGACCCATAGAAATGTCTGTATGAAGTTCCTTTAAGCAGGTGATATCTCTGTTGGTGGCTCTGATGTACTCTAATTTTTTGTTGGTTCTACAGTCAATAAGGGAGATAGAGTATAACCCTGGCAAGTGTTGCCAAATTGGCAGGTCTTTGGCATTTCAGAAGAGAGAAAAAATATAGGGGCTTCATTTGTAGGCCAGCTTGATGTTATATGCTGTTTCTTTGTATATAGGGACAAGAACTGCATTGGATGTGATCACTCTGTATATCTCTGAATGTGATGGGTTGCAGATGTTGGACTGTCTGTGGGAATGGAGTGTTCTAAGATGCCCATAACAGTCTTTGTAGAGAATCCATGCTGAATTGCTTGGTTGGTGATAGTGCATTATTCTTGCATCCTATCATGTAAATGCAAGAATTATCCTATCATATATACTATCACATTCAGAGACGTACAGGGCAATCACATCCAATGCAGTTCTTGTTTATAAAACCCATCCCTACCCTGAAAATTAAGGTTTTTGCTATTTTATAATAGTTAAAAATGTAAATAGTTTTTTAGTAAAATATGATAACAGATGTGCTACCAAATGTTGCTGGGAAAGTTGAGCAACTTGCTGGATTTTTTTTGCAGTCAGTAATGCCATGAAACCATTGTTTTTTCCAGTCATTAGACGAGCTCCATTTGTAGCTACAGAAGTTAATTTTGATAGAGGTAGATTAGAAATCTAACTGAAGAGGACACAGTAAAATGTGCCGAAATGAATTTTAGATGTTGAAGTTAAATGATGTATATTGTAAAGGATAGTGTAAAATATTGGTCTTAAGTCTCTTAAGGGTAACCTCTAATATAAGTGGAATTTTACAATAATTAAGAATAATTACAATGTTTTAATGTTTCAGAAGACACTTTCTAAATTTTATGCCAGTAAGTGACATGATTTTAATGACTGCTGCAGAGGCATGGAATATGCAGTGTGTGACTTATGTGAAGATTTTAGTTTTGTTCTAACAATTATTTTGGGATGTATGCACTGCAGATTATCTGAATGAAATTACAATAGCTGTAATTATTTCAACGTTAATTCTCATAATATTGAAAGAATTTTCATAATATTGAAAGATATTGAAAGACTTCATAATATTGAAAGATATTGAAAGACTTCATAATATTGGGACAGACTTTGTGACAATTGACAATTTGTGACTGGTTATTGGCATTTACAATTGTAAATGCCAATAACCAGTAAAATTGTCACAAAGTCTGACCCAACTGGTGATATACACAGGACCCCCAATATCTCCCCATTCCCTCGACCTTTAATCACCAAAATTTAATAGCATTAATCCCCCTAATAAACAAACCTCTCTGCAAAATTTCAGAAATTTTCAACAAAAAGCATAGGCGTTATTAAGCTTCAAAAAGGGTAAACAAAATTGTGCCCCACAAACAAACACATACACAAAAACATCCATACATATAGAAATCACTCCTGAATTTTTTAATTTCTCAATGTTTCAAGTTGTCCTAAGTCAAAAAAGTAAAAGTCTGGGGAGTCATTTTTTGCTGGATCACCATACTTTCCCTCTGTATAACAACCAGGAAAGTAAAAATAAGTGAAATTTATGATGAATCTAAGATTCATCACATGCATCACATTATACATCAAGAAGTATTATGGATGAAGGTAATAAACAGGGAAAATGTGTTGACATCTATCAAAATTCATCAATTTCATAAAATTTGAAGCTTAATTCAGTGACAGTTCTCTGTTTTCTTAAGTGAATTAGACAATGAATATTCCTGTTTTTCCTACTATACCAAGGTATACTCCAAGGTTCTTAATAACTAAAAATCAAGACATAAGCCTGTTTTTTGGCAAAGTATGGTTGCAATATCTATTCTTCATGGTTGCTATAACAAAACACTTATATGATTTAAATTTAAAACTGTGAAATCAGATCATTATGAACATGTGTGACCAAGTTAAAGCATTCAAATGTAAGCTAATTCTTTGGAAAAGCAGTTGAAAAATGAAGATTTAATGCACTTTCTGACATGCAACATGAACGAATCAAGTTTAAGTGAAACTGCATTGTATAAAAAATATGCAGAAAAAATTTTAAACCTTAAAACTGAATTTGAAGCAAGGTTTGCAGATTTTAAATTTTTAGAAGACAAGTTTTCTTTGTTTTTTTTTGATTTTTTAAATAAATATAGAATCTATATCCAATCAAATGCAAATGGAAGTAATTCTCAATTACTTCCATTTGCATTTGATCCAGTGCAATTCAGATTTGAAAACAAAATTCAGTGAAGTTGGAGTGCCTGGATTTTACAAATATTTACCTGCCAGGTTTGAAAATACTTTAAAATTTGCATATGAAATTAGCTCCATGTTTGGAAGTACTTATCAACATGAGCTGTTATCTACAATTATGAAAGGAAATAACTCTCCTGTCAGATATAGAATTACTGACATTCACCTTGGATCAGTTTTGAAAGTAATCACTAAACAAAATTTCCCCCAAAGTAGGAAAGATAGTAACAGATAAGAGATGCAAAGTGTCAGGAAGAAAACATTAATTTTATCATTGTTCTTGTTCTTTTTTTTATACTATACTTTTTGAAATAAACCTGTTTCTATAAAAATTAAAGTTTTTTTTTTTTTTTTTGGTAGCCCACATAAACTTAAATCTTGTTTATTTGGCCTGTGTTAGCCTTTGAGTTTGACATGCTTACACTACACCTAAACAAAATACATCCAGCATTCAGTCAGTTTAACTTACAAATGCATTAATGTATCATGTATCTAGTTCAATGATTATTTTAATTTAGAAAATTGTAATTAAAGTACAATTTTTTAATTTCTCATTAAAACTGGGGTTTCAATTATGGAGTTGTCAATTATGTTATACTTCAAAATAATTTAATTGATTGAAGTCAGAATAGTCAGAGTTTTTCTCATATCTATATATATATATATATAAAAACGGACATGTAGGACGAATATATATATAAAAACGGACATATATAAAAACGGCGAAAAGTGAAATATAGGGACATGTATGTCCCTATATTTCACTTTTCCGCCAAAACTACACATCACACATGAATGGTGTTTGTATGTGGTAGTAGCCCCAAGTCTCCATTCGTGCACCAGGGGAGTTGCGTCTCGATAGCTATAAGGGTACGGGAGATATGAGGCTGAAAGTGGTTGAAAGTGGCTTTCTATTTCGAATGTTTTGTTCGATTTTTTCGAATTTGTTCAAATTAAATTCGAACATAAAATTCAAATTGGTTCGATTATAGAATGATTGTAAATGTTCCAGAAATGTTGAAAATAGTTCGTTTGAATAGACATAAAAATTCTCTAATTAGTCTGGAAACGGGGGACATAATTCTTGCATTCTGTGAAAACTGGTAAGATTAGCTATAATGTAATTATCTTAATCTTCACTATCGTTACTTTTTGCCCAGCGAAGCGGGTCCTTGCAGCTAGATTTTAGATTACTTAGAAACACAGTCTTTTATATATATAAAAAAAACTATATTACATAAAAATAAAAACCCAGTGAAGCGGGACCTTGCAGCTAGTTTTATATATTTTTAATTAATTTATTCTGATTATTTAAAATATGGCAAGTTAAGCTTTGAAAAATCATATCAAGGATGAATTGTACTGTTTAGAACTACGCAATGTTTTGTTTTTTTTATTTATAACCTTATTATCAAAAGTTACCTAGTACAATAAAACGTCACGATTTTATTTCCCTTTCAAAGCAATATAATTGGCAAAAATGAAATTAGTCTACATATCTTAAGAAATATGTCTTTTCATTTGTTTACTTTGTAACAAAAGCATATTGATACTTATTTGATATTCTTTTTATTTATGATAGGCAAATAAACTAATATATTATAATAATATAATGAATATTACATACATTAATTACTATTATTATTAATAATATAATAATATCAATATTTACCGGTATGAATTTTCTTTCATCTTCATTTGGCCACCACCTGTCTATAATTTCTAATCTCTTTATTTTTCCATTAGGAACATAAGGTATTACACATTTACCTATGTAAAACAATATTCAGATATAGATAAATAATTATTTATATATATAAATATGTATGTATGTATCTATCTATCTATGTGAACTAAAGTGCTTTCTATTTTATACTTAAATATCTTTTATCCATAAATTAATTTTTCAGTTAAAATTATAAAATTCTATCATCAAAATACTGTTAAATGAAAGCATTTTATTAACTACATTGATTTATTTTGACCAGATGACTCAAATGATATACTACTTGTTACCATATACAATTTGCAGAATTATGTATCTTAATAGTGCAAATTTTCTTCAATACTTCCTTGTTCATCTCCATATTACATAAAATCTCGGAGATTACCTAAGATAATGACAACTGATTATATCATGTATATACATATATATAGTATATAAATGCACCACACAGTTCAGGCAACTGGTTTTATTGTGAGACAACCAGAAATCTAGAGTTGGTTGTTTGCTAGACAGATAGCATATATTCTTAATTTCTAACTCTGGTATTGTCATTTTTAGATTTCATGTATGTGATGTACCATGTAATAAATTTTGGCATGTTTTATGGATTGTTGATTTTGTGTGTAAAATGTTTATAAAATGTTATTTATTTGTGTTTCTAGTATTCTTTGCCAGGAAGGCTTCTAATGATTTCTCTATGTTTTGATTGTGTGTCCGTCTGTGAGTGTACTTTTAGATCATGGTATATAACTACAATGGCTGCACAAAAATAAACTAACATATAATGTCTGGAAATATTGAAATACATTTATTCAGAATCAACAACATGTGTATTTAGATAATGTAAAGTTACCCTAGTTATTTTGATGTATTGTATATATATTTTTGGTTATTTGTGATCTCTGTATGAGATCTAATCTAGTAAATTTAATGAATGTTTTCTAGAATAAATGTGTGTGTTAATTAATTTTGTGTCTATAATGTCACTGTCTATAATTGTGGTGTTAGTGTTCTCATTGGCATACTATAATACTATAATATTCATATTGGCATACATCATTGGCATACTCATTGGCATACAGTGCTCTCATTGGCATACTTGGCATACTGTTTGTGTTTTCATGAGTAACTCAACAGTGCTGTCAATGAGTGTCTGATCTTATGTGTGATCTAGTGTTTCTTTGTATTAATTTTTCAATTTGTTATTTTGACACATTCAAGCATTGTTTATGGAATAAGGATGTTGGATACAAATTGTTCTTTTCTGATTAACAACCCTCTGTAAAGATATTTACAAACATTTTAATTTATGTTAATCATTGTTCCATTTTTCACTTTGTACTTTTTCCCAGATAAAAGAAACTTTCAGCAATAAAATTTAAATAATCATACATGCCAATATACTATTATAAAATATATTGTACAGCACAGTCTGTCAGCATTACACAAAGAATTTATTATGCGAGTACTTTCAACAGTACACAACTGTACTGTCCTCTTCAAGTAAATCGTTCATAGAGAACACAACATTTAAATTCAAGCAATATAACATGAATAGGAACTAACATTTTTTCAAATTTCCTGTCCCTCACGTGCATGGAATATAAAATTACATATATACAATTTACAAAATTATACAATAATACAAAAAATTATGATGATATGTAAAAGAAACAATAAAAATAAAGTTGAATTAAAATAAAAAGTATATAATTATTAATGAATTAAATAGTTAACCAACAAATAAATGTATGGGAGTGCTAATGATGCTATGACTTACAATTGTAGTAGGTTCAGTACTATCCATAGCTGTGGTATGTCTAGCATGGGCGAGTTGCACATGACGTTGTTGAGATGTAAAAGTTTTCCCATATAAATAATGTTTTTTGATCCTCACAGCATTTCAAAAGGGAAGTTTGTGACCAAAGTGGTGTTCTGCAAGATGGAGATTGATGCTACATACAACATCATGATGATATTGTACATAGCAAATATATACAACAGAGCTAACTAAAAAAAAGTTGTGGAGAGTAGCTTTCGGCCACTTGAGTTGCAAACTTCCCTTCTGCAATAAAAAAACAGCATACTTATAAGCTGGAACTGTATAATTAAATAACCAACACCTAAATGCGATTTCCAGCACATAATAAATACAAATTTACTGCTTGAACATTTTTTGACCATCATTTAGGAGGTATCAAACGCCTTTTTAAACATTTAAAAAGGTGTTTGATATGAAAATCATTTCATTTACATCATAAATAAATTATTATTTTTAAATAAAGCCACAAATAAAATTATTATTATTACATTCGGTAGCAATCTAAATAATATTTCCACAATTGTGGTACTGCAATATAGTCCAAGTTGATGCACTCTCCCTTTATGTCAGTTATATAAATTTCTAGAGCCTATAAACATCATAAGTTGTGTTGGTCAAAGACCCTATGTATAAGGGTAGCTTCATCCCAATAGGGGGAAGCCCCTGGCTCAATAGCATAATGGGCAAGTGCTGTGTTATAATTGCCCTTGGCCACATCATATTTATGGTCACATATTCTGGCCTGAATGGATTTATATGTGGATCTGATGTATGACAACAGTCTGTCCTGTATGGAATACAGTACACCCCTGGCACTTTTGTGTCATCTGAGTTGTCTTTTGCATTAGCTAAAAGGTGGAAAACATTTGGTTTTCTCTTATATATTAATTGCAGTACTACAATTGTGGAAATATTATTTAGATTGCCACAGAATGTAATAATAATAATTTTACTTGTAGCTTTATTTTAAAATAATTATTTATTTATTTATTTATGATGTAAATGAAATGATTTTGTATCGAATGCCTTTTTAAATGTTTAAAAGATTAGAACACAGTGATGTTCAAAAGATAGAAATTTTCGAATGCTAGAACTGTTTTTTATGTATTCAATCCTAATGAGGGACTCTAAATGACAGCCAAAAATGTTTGAGCAGTAAATTTGTGTTTATTATTTCCCTTCTAAAATGCTGTGGGGATCAAAAAACATTATTTATACGGAAATCCCTTTATATTTCAACAATGTCACTCAGAACTCTCCCATGTTAGACGTAACACAGCTATGGATAGCACTGTTTAACTTACTACAATTGTAAATCACATTTTGCAATAAAACACCTTGCAGCATCATTAGCAACCCCATATGTTTATTATTTGTTCGTTGACTATTTAATTTATTAATAATTATATTCTTTTTATTTTAATTCAACTTTATTTTTATTGTTTCTTTCACATATCATTGCATTTTTTGCATTATTGTATAATTTTGTAAATTGTGTATGTGAATTTTATATTCCATGCATGTGTGAGACAGGAAATTTGAAAAAAATGCTAGTTCTTATTCCTGTTCTATTGCTTAAATTTAAATGTTGTGTTCTCTATGAATGATTTGACTGAAGAGGATAGTTGTATACTGTTGAAAGTACTCACATAACAAATTCTCTTTGTGTAATGCCGACAGACAATGCTGTACATTTAAAAAATAATATTACATGGTGCCTAGTTTTATGCAATACAGAATCACCAGAAGCAAAGACTAAGAATGATAACCATGCAGAAATTGTTAAATATGTAATGCTAAATAAAATAAAATGAAATGAAAGTACATCTTATGAATCCAGCCAAATGTTTTAATAATTTAGAAACAGTTTGGACCCAGAGGTCTTCCTCAGTTAAAACCTAAACAAATTAACCTAATCAAATGTATAAACATTCAAAAACAAATAGAATATGTATAAATTTAAATACAATGATAACCAATAAGAAAATAACATAGATAATAACAAAGAGAAAGTAAAAATAAAATAAACCTGGAATGAGTTGCTCAACTTTCCCAGCAACATTTAAACTAACTTTGTAGCACCATCTGTTATGACATTTTATTAAAAAACTTTTTATTTTTTTAACTACTGTATTATAAAATGGCAAAAACCTTAATTTTGAGGATAGAGATAAGTTTTATAAAAAATTGTAAATGAAATAACAAGTAAAATAGTCATTAAGTCCGACCCTACTGGAGAGATGACATACAACACCCATTATATCCCCACCCCCCTCAACCTTTAACCACCAAAATTTAATAGCATCAATCCCCCTAATAAACAAATCTCCCTGCAAAATTTCAGAAATTTTCAACAAAAAAGCACAGGAGTTACTAAGCTTCAAACAGAGTGAACAAAATCATGCCTTCTCCACATACACACAAATTACCCCCTAATTTTTTTTTGCATTTCTTGACATTCCAAGTGTCCTAAGTCTAAAAATGTAAAAATCTTCAGGGGTGTAGCTGAGAACAAATAATTGAATCCAAAGAATTGCTCGGTATTGATAAAATTAAAATCTTTAATATTTACAATTAATAACAATTCTTTCTCAAGAAATAATGTACGAAACTTATTAATACAACCTATGAATATACAAATATATGGGACCAACACTGACAATAATACCAAACAAGTACCACATGCCAACAAACACTTAATCTAGCTTATTTCTAACTTAACTCTATCTTAACTAAATACAATATAAGGGCCCTGGATCAAGATGGGATTGTTATAAGAAATCAGAAGATCTGATTTAGATAGAAAAAAAAGGAAAACCAAAAGGGGAATGACTGGCAAAAATAAACCTAGAGTCTGTTCTTCAAGAGGATTTGCTTTCCATTACGTAGACACACACATCTTCTCCTCTCTAGCTCCTCTCTCCAAAAGATGATTGTCCCCTGGTGTATTCCCCTACCTCTCCTTTCACGCAGCCCTTTTGACCAATCCAGTGCTACCTCTTTTGTTTTAGAGACACATTGGACCAACCAGTCCGGGTGAGGCCAGATGAACAAATGCCAAAAGTGAAGTTTTGAATGGAAGTGGTGAAAGAGAAAACTAACAAGGCTTAACCAAGCCACAGGGGTCATTTTTTGACCAATCACCATACTTTTCCTTTGTTATATATAACAGCCAGGAAAGTAATAAAATAAATACTGTTAAATAATATAAACATATATATAAAATTAATAATTTGGGTCATGCCTTGTAAAACATTAATACACTTCAAACATAGACCATCAAGCAGATGATAAAGTGTCTCACCCTGTAATTGATACAATGCTGTTTGTTTTTGTTGACTTTGTAGATTTCCAGTCTAAATATCTGAGGATATAAGGGTTCCTGGATAATGTAATTACTTTAGCCTTCTCACATTAAACTTGTACCTGCTTCAAGTTTTCATGAGATGCCAGAATCATACTGCCAAATTTTTGTTCACTGTGTATTGATATTCCTCAATTCTTTCTGCAAGGATATATGTTGTGGCCTCTCATTTGTGTTTAAAGTATAAGATACTCTAATGTTTTACAAAGCATGACCCAAATTATTAATTTTATATATAAGTTTGTATTATTTTACAGTATTTATTTTATTACTTTTACTTTACTTTTTGTTTTTGCTTTCTTTTGTTATTATCTATGTTATTTTCTTATTAGTTACCATTGTATTTATACATATTCTGTTTGTTTTTGAATGTTTGATTCAGTTAATTTTCCCTAGTTCTAACTGAGGAAGATCCATTAACTCTGAGTCAAAAAAATTTTTAAATGATTAAAACATTTGTGTGGATTCATAAGAATCATATTCATTCAGTGTTTGGAATCTTATCCAGATTTTTATATATTTCATTTTATACAAATCATTAAATATGTAGATTTATAAAAATAATCAGAAATCAACATATGAAAGACAGGTCTGAGAATAATCATGATTAGAAACAAATATAGGAATGAAGATTTACATGATTTAAATATATAGAAAGGCAGAGATAGCAAATGAATGATAACAGAAATAAAAACAATAAAAATTTTAGAATCTCAAAAAATAAATAAAAGATAATAGATAAAAATAAATAAAAAAAGAGAGAGAATTTCAAAATAAATTTTTAAAAAAAAATACAAATAGCAATATTTTAATTAGTAGTAATATAATAATAAAAGTAAATTATTTCTACCTGGTTTGCATGGTTCATCTGACAAGTCCTCCCATTTGTTATTCTTACACCAAATATAATAAACTGCAGTATCATATCCGTTTTCACAAACAATACTATACCAGTTGTTATTTTTAATCGATTTATTTTCCATTTTTACACCTTCATATTTTTGTAATTCTTTAGTATTGCATTCAGCTAAAACAGAAATATTAACCTATAAATTGGTTTATTAGAAAAACTATAAAATGCTTCTATCTAAAAAAAATACAGTGGGTGATCGGTTAATGAACATAATCCGTTCCAAGACTTTGTTATCCGAGTTGTCTGTTAACCGATTAACGATTTCCCAAAGGTTTTTATGAGAATTTGATTAATTCATTCCAGAGACCCCAAAAAATAAAAAATAAATACTTTTTTACTACGTTTATTTATATATAATAGTAAAAATACACATATATGCAGTCTTGCATTTTTATTAGTCATGCTTTTTCCATTTGTGGGGATTAAAGAATCTGTCCTTGTCGAATGCTTTTCTCTTTTCTTCAGAATTTTTCGGAAGTAATTAATAATATTGTAATTGTAGAGATCCTCAACCCCATTAACCTTATTCTGGTTTGGATGCTACTTAGATGATCGTTGTTCTGACATCCTCCCACTTCTTCAAAAGATCTTTAGTAGCAGATGTCGACATTGGTACTCTTTCATCTTCCCCTTTTTCAAAGAAAACACATCTCGCTGAGTTTCTTGGTATTCTCCATTCGAGTTCTTGGAGTTCTTCTGTCGTCATATCAGTTTCAGGTTCCATTATGAGCTTTAAAATGCTCTTTATTTCTCAGATGTGATTTTCATTACTCCATTAGCAGCTTGATACTTCTTGATATATTTTTCATAGCTAAGATTGTGCCTACTGTAGACCTGTTCAAGCCATACTGCCGAGCAACATCAGACATTTTGTGCTCACTTTCTATCTTGGCTATTATCTCTTACTTGGTTTCTATGGTGAGCACAGTACTTGACACTCCTCTTTTTTAGGCTCCATAATATTATCAGTTTCTTTTTTAAATAAAAAGTTCAGAAAAGCACTTACAAAAATTCAGAGAACAGAAATCAACTAGCCCACAAAAAATTATTTAAATACAAAGCCCGGATGAAATTCAAAATTTGGTATTAAAATGTTAATGAACATCCGATGGGACAGTTAAACTTTCACCTTTCGTAAATAAACCCCGACGCAAAATTTAACGAGTACCCGTCTGACAGTCTCGCAAAGACTATAAAAATTATTTATCAGAAAGGTAAACAAAAAGCTGGAATTACAAAAGTGAGTTTCAAAATTTAGAGGAATACTATCCAATTGGTATCAAGTTGAGAGTCGATGTTACATCTCCCGCGTTCCAAAAGGTTTCGAATCATTACCTGAAGACAAGGGAAAATCAATTGGTATTCATTATTTTCTGTCACTTCTTTCTATGTTTATTCAGTAAAGTGTTCATTATCCGATTTGTTCACTATCCAAACTGTTCATTAACTGATCACCCACTGTACTGCAAAACTGAATGAGATTACAATAAAAGCACCAGCCTGTAATCTAGTTAAAATGAACAAATTTATTATAAGAACAAACATTTTCAACTGTTTTTAACAGTCATCTTCAGGTTATGGAATGTTACAAAATTGAAAGAACAAAATTTAAATAAAATAAAACTTGTTAAACAAGTATTGGTGGTTGACTGCATAAAAGAACATTGAAGAAAAATTAAATGAAATCAAAATAAAATACAAAACAATATAACAGGGTATATTGTTTCATATTTTATTTTATAATGCTAGATGTTGTCAGATGGTATTAAAATCTCTTTTAGAGAGCAAGTATTTTCAATGACACACAATTGTAGTCATCAGGCAACTGATCAGAAGTCATGGAGTCCAATTCTAACCCCATGTGAACTCAAACCATCCTTCTTGGGGTTGGGCTGACCATACGGCATTATTTATTTGGATAGCATTCCTCACTTACACCTTGTGCCCATGTAATACATCAATATTTAAACTTTCTAACTTGTGGATTGCACTTTTTAATTTTCCAGCCACACTATCTTAGTTGTCCATATTATAATGCATCACAAACTTGTGCCATAAAAATATTGAGAGTTCTGTTGCAACTTTTCTTTTTTATTTTCATTTTTGTCTGTGTTTTATTTCAAATTCTGTTTATTGTCCATTATGAATTTTAAATCTCTGAATTATTTAAATTTTTGATAATGTTATAAGCCTGCTACACGTAATGACATTCCATTCTTCATCCGTTAGCCTGATGATAATGACTGTACATCGTTAAAAGTATTTGTGCTATAAAAAAGATTTTAACACCATCTGACAATGAAAACATCTAACATTACATCTAATTTTGGCATGAACTTTGAAAATTATTTAACTATTTTATTTTGATTTCATTTTATTTTTCTTCAACATTTTTCTATTTTTCTATTCTGACAGTCAGGAATTTTAACTGCTTTCTTACAATATTTTCCTTTTCATTAAAGTTATTTTATCAAAAAAATATTCTGTTTCCCTGTTTCATTGTTATTTCACTGTATAGAGATCACTAGAGTCAAGGTTTGTCTTTTCGGTCAGACATCTGCAACTTTCATCACATGTTTGCATCGTTATTGGGATATCAGTTTTATCTAGATCTTCAGTGTATAATGTAAAATTTGTAAAATCAGTCTTTTCTTTGTAGAACAATCTTCTTATTAACATACTAAAAAATAAATAAAACTTGTACTTAGTAAAAAGTTTTAATTTATCTTAATTATTGTTCCATTTTCCATTTTATATTTCTCCCCAGATAAAAGAGACTTCCAAGTATATTTTTAAATAAATAAAAAATAATATTACATGATTTCTAATTTCATGCAATAAAGAAGCATCAGAAGAAAAGACTAAGAATGATAATCAAAAATGAACACATCAGAGACAGGTCTGAAATGGTCATAGTTAGAAACGAATATGGGAATGAATTTCAATAATTTAAACATATAGGAAGGCAGAGATAACACATGAATGAAAACACAGAAATAAAAATAATGAAAATTTAAAAATCTCAAAAAATAAATAAAGATAATAATGTGGCTGTATGTCATTTTCTATTTTGGTCTTTTTGTTGTTCTTACATTTTCCCTATTCTTTGTTCTTTCCATCTTCTAGAATTTTCTAATCTCCTTAATTCTTCTTTCTTGGAGATGAGGGCTACTTCCTGGAATCCCAAGTACAATGAGTACAAGATTACCTGAGGGCATACAAGGTGAAGAAGGGTCACTTTTTGGTTTGGTGCTCAAGAAGAGAAGACCATGAAACAAGATATATATTAGAGTGTCTGATACCAAAAGCAGGTGAGGCTAGAATGTCAAGTGGAAACTGAAATTCCCAGGCCAAAGTTAATGTGTTAGAGCTGGCATTTCAGTTTGACAAGTCCAAACGTGTAACAGGCTACCGGGATCAAATATACAAAAATCCTCAAGAATCTAAGAAAAGGAAGACTGAAGCAAAAATTATGTGTTTAAGAACTTTTCACATGATCCCTCACAGTAACCAAACTACATTTGCACTACCTGGATATTCTTTCCTATCCTATCTGCCATCTTCACTACTTCTCACCATCTAGCATCTATTTCCTTCTAGGTATAATTTAGTATTAAGAATTAGTATTAAGGAGAAATTTTTGTAAATATTATAATATTATTGTTAATTTCTTTTTGTACTAATTGCAATAATTTTTGTAATTGTTCAATAAATGACTGGATTTTGAGTTAGTCAACAACCCCTAGAGCTGGAATCCCTTTGTACTTTATTATCACATGAAAAATTAATTTGTCTATCTTCTACTTCATGTGTATTTTTTTCTGGGTATTTGCGCTTGTTAGTTAACAAAACCCTTTCTTAATTATCGCAATAAAAAGCTTGAAATAATCAATTTAAAAAAAAAAGTATAGACTGATAATAGATGTGAAAAACAATTTCCAAATAACAAATTTTACTTAAAAGATATAAATCTACATAAATAGAAATATTCAAATTAATAGTAATATAGTAATAAAAGTAAACTCTTTTTACCTAGTTTGCATAGTTCATCTGGCAAATCTGGCCATTTGTAATTCTTACATTGAATATAATCAACTGCATTATCATATCCTTTTTCACAAACAATCCTGTACCATTCATTATTTCCAATAGATTTATTTTCCATTTTCACACCTTCATAGTTTTGTAATTCTTTAGTATTGCATTCAACTGAAACAAAGAAATATTAAATTAATATAAAATTCATTCATAGAGTATGTTAAAATCATGATATAGTATATTTTTTAAAAATTAAATTTCTACTACTTTTGCATCATACACCATAAATACAAAAATAATCAACAAAATTATTAAATAATTTTCTTAAATTACTGAAAATTAAAACATTCAAAAAATTATTTAAAGCTGTTTACGATAAATATTAAAAATAATATTTAAAATTGTATGCAGAGTGGTTATAATTAAACAGGTGATTTTTAGAGCTTAGTGTAGAAAGAACCATTAGACCAAATGCAATCATATTTGGTGTACATACTTTCCTGATCATGGGATTTAGATTTCAAATAAAAATTTAGCTTCAAAATTTCTCAATGGAGGAAATTTGGCATCAATGTTTCTGCAATTTGCATATTAGATAGCTTGTAGAGTCGCAAAGCATGTGGTTTAGCAACAAGTCATGGTTTATAATCGACTCTTAATTTAATAAATACATATACTGTTAAACTTGAAAGCTCAACTTAAAATTACTTAAAATTATGAGTGAATAAGAAATAAATGGAAAATTAATAAACAAAAATTCCTACTACTGTAATAATAATAATAATAATAATAATATCAACTTTAGAATACTGTAAATAAATGTTCAAAAAATTATTTTACTTGAATCAGTTTGTGTAGCTTAATCTCTATTGTTAAAGTTAGTTGCCAATTAATTTTTATTTTTATTTATTAACAAATAAATTTAATTTGAATTCTTTTGTTAATTTAATGAAAATATTAAACTAAGTTATAACTTTTTAAGTAAGAAGTAGTTTTTAATAATTAACATTAATAGTCTTATTAAATTATTAAGAAAGAAAGAATTAAAAGAAATGTAATATCAAAAAGACATCAATAAATAACTTAAATTCTATCATTAAATTAATTAATTTAATTAAATACATACATGTAAATATTATGACACACACACCTTATATTGCTGAGAACCAACATTTATTGAAGTGAAAATGCTGAAGTGTAAATACATGTAAAGCTTAATATATAAATCCCCTATAACAAGGGAAACTCCCTAAAACGTTAATACAGATTTGATGATTAAAAAAAAAATTATAAATTCACCAGCTTTTAAATAATAAATTTTGTAAGACAATTTAATGATGATACCAAAGATATTTCAACAAGAAAAAAGTTAAGTATTTTGTAGTTTTCCAGACTAAAAATTTATGTTTTTCTTTAGGGGGAACAAAAGGTCATTCAATAGACTAACAATTGCACATAATCCTCCTTTCTTAAATATAAATGGAAATCAATACATATTTGCATAACAATACTTCCATCTGTGGAGTATCACTAAATATATAAAACCATTACATGTGTTGACAGTACTGTTTGACAATAATTCCTTCAAATTAAAATTTGCTTTTTTAATTTAATGTTCACATTATCATCATCACTTGTACCTGAGACATACATCTGATGAAATTGGATTAAAGTTCAGTGTGTCCTTCTGGTTAATCCTCACCACTACCTATCAATGTAGCNATTTTTTATTAATTATTATTTTTATCTGTAAATTATTGAATTAATATATTAAAACAGTTATTTTTAGTTTATAACTTCTTTCTTACCTGGTTTGCATGGTAAAGATTTAATTTCCCAAGTGCCATTTTTACAAGCAATTTTGTTGATATATTTTTCATATCCTTCTTTACAAAGAACATCAAGAAATTCTCCTGATTCATAATATCTTGAATCTTTAATAAATAAACCAGCAATTCGACTTAAAGTGTAAGGATGGCAACGAGCTAAAATTAAAAATTATAAATTTAACTAATTTCAATAATTATTAAATTAGATTTTTCCTTTAAATATTAATAATATAAGTATATAAATAAACAAGAATCAAGTCTAATTTTTAAAAGCCCAATATCTATATGTTAGATTTTTGAGCTATAATTAAATGTGTCAATTCAAAATGGGCCAAAGTCCAGTCAACAAAGTCTTGATTTCGTACCTGAGACATACATCTGATGAAATTGGATTAAAGTTCAGTGTGTCCTTCTGGTTAATCCTCACCACTACCTATCAATGTAGCTACCTTCTAAAACATTCCATTTTATATTCCTTTTTCTTTTACTCTTGCAATTCTATATCTGTAAGGCCCAAACAGAGTCCAATTCTCTCATCAAACATACAAAAATTTCAATTCATTTAAGAACATTTTTTGTTACAAAAAAATGTGTAAAAATAATGTCATGAAGGTATGAAACAAATAGTATGGTCAAAACCCCATAAGGTCATAGGTTGACACAAACTAACATGTTAGAATATTTCTCTGACACTCGTAAATATGACAAAATTTGAAAATAAACAAGGAAATGTAGTATCCCTTTGAAAGAAAAACTATCACATTGTAAGTAAAAAACACAAAAAAAAATTCTTAAGTGTCAGAAAAGAAAATATTATCATATGAGATACAAGCAAAAGTTTCAAAGTTCAATCTGTGATTGAACTTTGAAACTTACAGATGAAGTCAAATGAAGGTGTAAAATTGATTAATAATGAGTGATCTTTACTGGAATTATGTAAGCATTATCTTCCAAACAAACAGTTTGTTATGTAAAAGTGACCTGTCCCAGTGATGACAACCACACCTATATTACATTTACATCCCTAGGCAGTCACATTCAATGCAATATTGGCTCTTATTTATGAAAAAATAGCATGCATCAACAATAGCAAACTGGCCTACAAAAGGAGCCCACACAACTTTTCTCTCTTCAGAAATGCCAAAGACCTTGCTTGTTTGGTGACACTCTCCAGACATATATATACTCCATCCCCTTGATCGACCATAAAACAGGAAATGAATTGGAATACATTGGAGCTACCAGAAGACAGATCACTTCCTGTATATAAGAACACCAAACAAACATTTCCAGAGATCGGTGAACTTATGCTTCTGACCCAAGTGTGGAGGCCCATTTTGATAAGACCAGCATCCTCCACCACATATCTGACAGGGAGCAACTCCACTACTTTGACTTGCTTGAAATATATATAGAGCAGTATTGAATAAAAAAGAAATCAACTTTAAGGATGATAACACGTTCCCAACCCATGGAAATTTTTACTTCATCACCCATAAACCATGGGTTCATACAGAGATTGTCTCCTCCAATCAGCAACCACCCAGATTGGAAACATCTCCAATCAACGAACAACAACTTGTTACATTCAAATGTTTCAACATCACAGTTCCATTTTTTCTACAGCCTGGTGATGTCCAATGAAATATAGACAAAAAAATTTGTGCAGTAAAGAACTTTTGCTGGATTTTTAGGCTATTGAGTTAATTGAATGGAATATTGTAGAATTTCATCAGATGGCAATTTTACAAAAATTAATTTGAAGACAGTCTGTCCAAAATTGGTAACCACCATTTATTCACTTCTTGTGTTCCAAAATACAAACAATTGATGACCTGACCTTTCTTTTTAAGATGCTTGGCCGTCAAGTTTAAAAACATTCCTTTAAAAAACATAGAAAAATATCCAATTAAAATTACAAGGTTAAAATTGGAACTGGAAGATCTTACAGACATCTTCATTTTTCTTTCCATCCTTACCACTCAGGGAAAAATGAAGATGTCTGTAAGATCCACCAGTTCAAATTTTAACCTTGCAATTTTAATTGGATATTTTTCTGTGGTTTTTAAAGGAATATTTCTAAACTTGACAGCCAAGCAGCCTAAAAAGAAAGGTCATGTTGTCAATTGTTTGTATCCTGGAACACAAGAAGTGAATAAATGGTGGTTACCAATTTCGGACAGACTACGTCTTCAAATTAATTTTTGTGAATAGAATATAATATATCCAGCATTTAGCTGTCATCTTTTAGTAAGTCAGTAATTTGTTCCTGTTTAGACTTTGATTTAAGTCGCTTTTCGTCAAATTTACTTGTCTCTGAATTTATTTGTCACTAGGCTAAACCACAAATAACCATTCCCAGTTCTGTATTTTATTTATAAATGCATTTTTAATAATATATGGTTAATAAGAATCTATTTTAAACTCACAAACAAATAAATTTTATTTTTAATATAGTATAGAAAAAAGTAATCTAAATTTACAAATACATGTATGNTTAAAATAATATAAAATTATTAACAATATATTATATACACACAAAAAAATAAATTTTATTTTTAATATAGTATAGAAAAAAGTAATCTAAATTTACAAATACATGTATGTACAGTACATACTTGTAAATGTACATGTTTACAATTTGGCGATGTTTAGAGTACATTGTGGACTCTTTATTTGTGAATGTGGTTTGCTCTAAGACATAATAAAATAAGATGATTTTGTAAGGTTAAATAACAAATACAGTTATTAAAATTATTTTGCAATAGTAGAAAATAAACTAATTTATGTTAAATTTACCAATATCGAGTGGTGCTGACAACGATGCTAAACGGTAGATATTGGAACTACCATGGAAAACGCCAATATTGAACTCTTAAAGTCCGCTAAATAAGACAATACAGAGTCACAGATGTTTTCATATTTTGTTCTCTAGGATTTATAATGATTAAATTAACATTTACTGTAAATGTACATATTTTAATAAGATTTTATGTACTTTTAACGCTTTTCTAGTGATATTACGACTTAAATATTTGTGGCGGACAGACGTAAAGTCGAGTAAAATGACAAACTTGATTTTTATTTTTCCATGTATTTTTTTGACAAACGACAGATAATCGAGAATGACGTAACCTGAGGTATACCTGTATCTCATTTGTATTCTTGAAACTTGCTTTTAAAGTCTTTTTTTGTTGCGCCAACAAAACATACGACTGAGGTTTGCTTTTTAAGAATAAAATATATTTCTAAGAAAGTTGATCATCCTGGATTGGACAAGGTAACACCATGTAGGACAAACTATCAAAATCTGGAACTAAGTCCCAGAAAATGACCTTTATTCACACAATTTGTCCTGCTTACAGAACAATTTCAGAGAATCATTTAAATGTTCTAGAAAAATTTTGCTGAATTGATCTAAAAGTAACTATCCCAAGAAAAGATAGCCAAAAAATTAAACCATTCCTATATCCAAGAGAACCTAAGCAGATAGTGATAACAAACTTATGGACTGCCTAAAGATTTTTATTATGAAATTTAGTCATAAAATTCATTTTAATAATTAATTTCTATATTAATTAAAAATAAAAATAACTCAATAAAATTAAGCTATTTTTTATTAATTATTATTTTTATCTGTAAATTATTGAATTAATATATTAAAACAGTTATTTTTAGTTTATAACTTCTTTCTTACCTGGTTTGCATGGTAAAGATTTAATTTCCCAAGTGCCATTTTTACAAGCAATTTTGTTGATATATTTTTCATATCCTTCTTTACAAAGAACATCAAGAAATTCTCCTGATTCATAATATCTTGAATCTTTAATAAATAAACCAGCAATTCGACTTAAAGTGTAAGGATGGCAACGAGCTAAAATTAAAAATTATAAATTTAACTAATTTCAATAATTATTAAATTAGATTTTTCCTTTAAATATTAATAATATAAGTATATAAATAAACAAGAATCAAGTCTAATTTTTAAAAGCCCAATATCTATATGTTAGATTTTTGAGCTATAATTAAATGTGTCAATTCAAAATGGGCCAAAGTCCAGTCAACAAAGTCTTGATTTCATTCACTTTGTGAGTGAAATCAGGACTTTGTTGACTGGTCTCTAAGGTAAGCTGCATCATGTAATGAATAAGACAGTCAGAAGGGTCTCTAAGGTAAGCTGCATCATGTAGTGAATAAGACAGGCTGAAATTCAGAACATGTTAAAATTGAAACAAATCAACAAGGTCTGATGTCCAGGACTTTGGCCCTTGCTGAATTGCCTACATGATCATTCACTTGCCATTTGGCAATAACAGAATCATAAACAAATCCTAGAAAAATTAGTCATTCTGTAGTTTAATAAAAATTTTTACTAATATCTAATTATTACAACTTAGTAACAGAGACTTGAATTTTGATGGAGCTGAACTGACACTTACTGATTTCAAAGATTTCTGATAGCCCCTTTCTATATTTTTCATTAAAAAGTGCTTCAGTATGAGGAAAACACATTCAGATTTCAAGTATAAAATGTTACAGTTTAATGAGCACCATAAATATATGAGATTTGAGCCAGCAAATTTGTGCCTGGGTCAATGGAAACCAGTTTTTGCATATTGCAGAATAATGTGACATCAAACTTAGATGCTCTAGTACTGTACTGTACCTGTTAAAGCTTACAAAATTCATGAAACGAGAAAATAAGTATTCATCTGAAAGTGCACAAAAGTACCTAAGTAATATATTGAATGATGAAACTTCCAGCCATGACTCATCAGACAGAGTAAGAAAACAAGGATAAAATTCAACTTTCCTCATGTACGTTAAACATTAAATTTTGTTATGTATTCAGAAAAATATTAGAAAGTTGTCTATATGTGAAATTAAATGAAAATACACTGGAGATTTAATGAAAATAATTTTAATTTGCAAGAAATAATCTGTCTGTTACTTGTTCAAATCAAAATGTGCTGAAGTCTAAGACCTTTGTTTCCCAATGTTGTGAAAACTGCCAAATATACAGTTGCTGTCATTGATATATGAACAAACTAAGTGTAATCTATCACTTTGTCTAGTCATGAAAATTGTACATATCTTTCAGTGTACTCATACAATTTGATATTTTGCAGTTTCTGAAAAATTACATTTTCTGGACATTAACCCTTCTTGAATTGACAGCTTTAATTAGGCTAATACTTAATAAAATTATATAATTTGACTGGCATTGTTTCTGCAGTTATTATTATTGTATTTTTGTGAACATGTGTAAGCTAGTGTATAAATATGTATGTGTAATTTCGCCTAAAGGTGGGATTAACCTAACATCTTGTGCTCATTATTAATAATTAGATATTAATTTCAAATCAAATTAATTTGTAATTATTAATATTAGCACAAGATGGATATTTAATTGCCTACTTTTAGCCAAATTATATCATTTTATAAATTACTGTAATTATTAGCATATTATAACTCAAAAATCCAGCATATAGATTGTTAGCTAATATTCTATTAACAGTAATACTAAAATTATAATGACAAGAGTTGTAAAGGAGCTTGTAATTATAATTACAAGCTTTTTTACTATGTAATCTACTTTATAATTAATTATTATACTTAAATTTAATAGTCATTATTAAATATAATTTAATTTAACAATAAAAAATTTCATTTCAAGTTTTATTTGTTTATACAAAGTTATTAAAACAAGCAAAATTAGCTCTTTTATAAAAGCTCCTTTACAACTACTTTATAAGAATAAAGTAAAATTCAATTGTAAAAAAATTCTGACAAACAATGAAGAAAAATTCTGTTTATGTATTGATTCTATTTCTGAAAATACAAAATATCCCTTTAATGGAAAATAGAGATTTGAATAATATCTATTGTTGATGTCATTGGAATGATGTTAGAATTTCAATAGTAGTATAGTCAATTGAAATTATTCACCAGTCATATAAAGTCATATTAAATTCCTTCTTTGGTGCACCTTTTCAATCATCAGATATTGATGGATATTTAACAGCTTTCTAATATAGCAGTTTGTTTATATTTCATTATAAGTGATCAACATTTTATATGGTTTTATGTCTGTCATGCTTATATACCAATGTCATTATCATTATTGTTTTCTATTAGTTGTTAACTTTTTTTTTGTGTACAAGAGAAAAATTAACATTTTTAAACTTAATTTTTGAATTCTTTCTGTGCTATAAAAATAAAAAATTTTTCTTTCATATTACTTTTACCATAATACTTTATAACAGGTGAGATTGGAGTTTAATAGATGACAGAATTATATTTTTAATATTTTCGAGTTTGAAAACTCATTATTCAAGATTAAACTTATCAAAAAGTTTATTTTGATTTTTTGCAAGTCTAAAAATATTGGACACACCAATAAAATTAGTATTAAATATGCAGGTACAAGATCATCAATTATACAGAAGACTGAAATGACAAAATAAATGCCAGTTTATACTTTGTGAGAACAAAAAAGAAAAGAGAACTGACACTGAACTGGTTTAGTGTGAAACACTTCATGCATTACTAGTGACATATTTATGTTCTCTTTTGTCAAGAGAAAAGTTGACAGAAATTCTACTTTTCTCTTTGTTGGTAGCCAACAATCATTTGCATTCTTCAACATAATGAGTGATAAAAAATTAAATTTTTAAATCCTATTTCAATAGGTATTACATTCAACAGAAAACTTCTTGAAACAAGCTCTTGACTTCAAACAATTTTTGAGGATAGTTTGTTTCCTAAATACAGCAATCATCTTCAAACTTTGGAAAATAAAATTTGAATAATAAATGGCATCACCTCATATTAATGAACAAATTCAGTTTTTGAAAATTGTTCAAATAACATATATTACAAGACATCCTAGGTAACTAATTCTATTAAGTGCACATCAAACACATAACTGGCCTCATGATTTGGAAAAAGTTTTGTATATTTCTTTCTCAATCATTTTTTGATCATTTATAAGAAACTTTATTCTAAATTTTTTGCTGCATTTTAACAAATAAGTTTACCAGTAAAGAGTTATTACAGTATCAAAATATATTTTTACAAATACATTTTATTCATCAAATGAAATTGTAATTTTTGATAAATTAATAATTACAGTTCAATTGTAACTAAAAACAAAACATCTCAATGTCAAGGGTATGATAGTGAAATTTTTTCAATACAGAAATAATTTAACTTATGGAATGTAAACTTGTATAAACTTTTGTAAGTTTTATATTAAATATACTGAATGTTTAAATTGATTTTTAATGAATTTATCAAAACAAAAATCAAATTACATCATTTTCTGAAATCATACACTTTAGATAGGCTACTCGACTGAACAAACACCACCCACAAAAACAGATTTTTGTTTAATAACAAATATTTTTATTTTAACTTTTTTCATTCATCTGTAAAAAGTTCCCTAAGATAAAAATGAATAACCAATCTAAAAATAAAATAAAACCTTACATCTGCCTACCTTTGCTGGACAAAATTATACTCAATTCAGTTCGTTTTTTTCATAAGTGAAAAAAACAAACTGCATGCAGAACACAATCATCAGCATGTTTTACAACCATATCAATGGATGAAGTGTTTTAACAATACATGTCTGTGACACACTTAGATTTGTTGCAAATTTACAAGTTCTTATTTGTTAATCTTTAACAATTCTCTTAAACAATCTTCCTGCAATTTCTCTTCAACAGCTTTTGGGGGCCCATACATTTTGAGTCCTTTGGTTCAAAATTTCCCAAACTAAACTTTCAAAACCACATTTGACAAAGTTTAGAAGCATCTTCCTCATACATGGTACAAGTATTTTTTTTTACTGTTTGTATAGAGTGATATCAATTTATGAAACTTAAAAATATGCATAATATGCCCAATGTGCATTTTATCTGCAAACATTTTAACTTGGTTTTATTTAAACCAAATGTGATGCAAGAAAGTTTAAAATAAGCTTGAAAAAATAAAGAATACAATTTCAAATCAGAAATAATATGTTAAATTTCACAACTTATAATTACATCACATATTTAAGTAAAAACAGCTGTTAATAAAAATACACAAAAACTTTCCTTTCAAACCCCAATAAATTTATTTTAATACAGTAGTCGTATTTTGCTATGCTGTATTGCGTATGTGTATTTTTTTACTTTTTTATGATTTATACATGCTAGGCTTGTAAACTTCTTATTACTTCTTGTTAAAGATACTGATTTTTCTGTTATATGGCCCAATTTTCCTTTTCGTTTCTGCATTAGACAGGTTCCGCTATATGCAGGTTAATTTACATTAATATTTGCAAAAAATTCAAGGGACCAAAAAAAATTTTCTGTTAATGACAGGTTTTTGCTACATACAGGTTCCGTTATAGACAGGTTTGACTGTATAAAGTGTAGGAAAATAAAGAAATTCCTATTGTTACACTAAGCACTCACACAAAAAAGTTATAAGGATAGTGAATTTTGAAAAGAAATATGTGGGGAAAAATTAAGTATATATGAACTGCTATAAGTGATAATTTTCAATTCCACTGTTTTCTATGAAAAATATTAATGCAATTAAATATTGGTGTAACAGCATAGCTTAAGAGTGGAAATATTGTAATTAGGTTTATATATGTATATAAGTTATTAACTATAAATATATATATTTTTTAAAAGGACTCTTTGTAATTTTCCGGCAACAAGCAGCCTACAAAGGATGGTCAGTCGCCGAAAATGTGTTAGTCTTGGAACACAAAAAATAAATGGTGATCCTTTTTGGACAGTTTTGTCTTCAATTCTATTAAAAATATTTTTTATTTTAAAGCAAATTTGCTAACCTCCCATTTACAGCTAATCCTAATGTTGCTAGATCTAGATTGGAACTTCCATCTCTTACTGAACTGATTGCATTAAATATTTTGATTGCTTACTTTTTTACAAATATTTCAATGGTTTTATTCACTCTAACTGGCTTTCCCTGCAATTCCTCAAAGTTTAGCCCATTATCTATCTTGTATTTTTACCCCTTCTTTTAGGCTAATTCTTTCTATTATTTTTAGTCTACTGTTCTTCTCAAGGTATTTGTTATGTTGACAATTTTTATATTTTGATTTATTACATTTTAAATATACATGTAAATGTCTACTCTATAACATAAAATCTTTTGATCTGTAATTTATTTGTTTATTTTAGAAATAATTTTGTTTTATCTTATTATTTTTTTCATGCATTTGTTTGTTATATGTTTATTTTTTCTTTTGTTATCTCTTCTAAGGGTCTTTTTTCGTTTTATTGAATTGGGAAAGGAAACCAATTGTCTAGTGACTTCCTATTGTATTTGTAAATAAATAAATAAATAAATAAATAAATGTTTATATATAAAATTATGTAAACTCACTATTTCTACATCTTGCTTCTTGAACTTGCCACTTTCCAAAGTTGCATCTTGCCGTTTTATTCTGTAAAATAATGTCTGATTTCGAACATGCATTGACATATACAACAATACTTCGATGCTCATTTTCATAATTTTCCAAAGGTCTTCCTTTTCCATTAATGGGAGGTGGGCTCCTACATCGAGCTAATGTAAAAACAAATTATTCAGAGCTAAAATTTTATCTATTTTTAAAATTCACTTATCTTTTAGCTAAAATAATTATCTTTATTTATTATATCATAAATAATAGAGGAAAAATTATAAATATTTCATAAATAAAATACTAAAATATTTTTAATAAGACAGTTATTGACACAATGTTAAAAAAAATGAAAACAAAGTTCTAAATTATAATAAGAATCAAAATATATCTATAGAATAAACAGTAGTTGCAAGTTTAAGTCCTATTGTGAATAAATCTTTTCTTCCAAAATATTGTAAATTTATTTATTTCTAATTATTAATTTTAATACAGAATGATGATTTAACTATCTACTTTTAGTCCATATTACATAGTAACTGTAAATGAATTAACCAAGTTATTATCCAACAATGAATCTGCAGTATTATTTAAAAAATGTAACTAAATTTGTTAGTACAGTCAAATCTCAGTTTTCAAACTTATTTTGTTCCTAAAAATTGTTCTCAAGCCAATCTGTTCTGAAACCAAAACAAATTTTCTCATAAGAAACAATATAAAATGGATTAATCTGTTTCCAACCCCAAAACAAATTCTTTTTAGTTGCATTTCATGCAAAATACTTACAAAACCACCATTTTACAAAAAAGTGCTATAAATAGGACTCAACTCTGACTACTGCATGAAATACAGTGAAACCTCGGTATATGACCTTAATCCATTCCTGGTGTTTGGACTTATACTGAATAGGACATATACCAAACCAACCTTTCACATAAGAAGTAATGTAAAAATGATTAATCCATTCTCATGTAAAAAAAAATGGCTGGCTTTAAACATCTCACTTTCCTGGCTAGTTCCTACTTGATTTTTCATGAGATCAGCATGTATCTTTAGCTTTCTCACAAATAATTGCTTCTGATACACTGTCACCAGCACACTGTTTTTCAGTTATCCAAAGCAAAAGCAATTTCTCAATATGATATAATGTCTTTGATCTCTGTTTAGAAATTGATTTAACCCCTTTTGCAACGTTAGCAGATTTAATAATGTCTTTATTTTTCACGAATGACGATATCGTTCTCGAAATAAGGTATACAACAGTTAAATCTTGAACACGCATGCCACCTTCATATTTCTCAACAATCTCTTTTTTCAGTTACATTGTGATTCTAGTCATTTTTTTAGCTTTCTGTTGCTTTTCATTTGCCTTTTTGCAATTCATGATTAATAAAAATAATAAAATTTTACTTACAAATTAAAATCAGAAGAAATTTAACAAAGTTATAAACCATGCACCGCAAACGTCTAGTCTGGTCTAGTACACTGACAATGCTACTTGTTCATAGATGGCACATATAATTGAATTAAGTTGTATACCAAGCAAAATTTGTTTCGTCCAAACAGGATGTATTCCAAATTGGACGTATTCTAAAGCATACATATACCGAGGTACCACTGTATAACCAAATCAATCAAGACCAACAAGTACTTTATCCACACTTTCTGAAATATTATGTTTCAAATGATTTGATTTAAATTTTAATTAATTAATTAACTTTGATTTTATTTTTAATTTTAGATTCAGTTTTGGTGTAAAAACCAGATTTTTAATTATTATTTTATTATTTTTAGTTTTAATTAACTGTATGTGCATGTACTGTTCATTGAAAAAAATACACTCACTGTATAAATACCATTTGTTGTACACATAAATTCTCTCTTGCTCTCATTGTGAAAGCATCTATTGCGATATGCTCATATGTTTTCAGTGCTTTTTTGCTTTATTTTTTGTACTGGAAAGATTTCAAAACCATGTGCAAAGCACAATAAGGTTTGTAAGTTTTATTTATAATTAATGCTTTGTTGTTATTAGATTACTTCATAGAAAGTTTTAATGGTAAGTAGTAAATTACATAACCTGTAAGTATGAAGATAAATTATATCCAATTCAATAGTTTTATTTTAGTTGGCAGAGAAGGAGCAGATACACCAGTGATCAAATAAAAAGGTTACTTACAAGAAGTAAAATGAAAAGTTCAGCAATTTCATAATTAGATTTGGTAATACTGTTAGCTGGTATAATCTGACTGACTTGTCACAAGTCATTAATTCAAACACATAGTGAAAGCATATTGTTATTTTTGTAGTTGTAGTATTTATTTGAAATGTCTCACACAAACAAATATAAAATTTTTCTAGTATAAAATTATCAATACATAAACAATTAAAGTGACTACAAATTAGGATTAAAGTTTATGCAAAATAATCAGATTATTACCTGGATGACAAGCAGGTTTTGGTTCAAAATTGCCAGAATTGCAGGTAATTTCTACATCTCCTTGATACCATTCTTCTGTTGGTATTTCATAATTAGGATTACATCGTAAAAATATTTTTTTTCCGTGTTCTATTTTTGTTTCAGGTTTTATCTGAAAGACAAAGACTATAAATTATAATTAAACAATAAGAATATATTCTAATTCATTAATAAAACCTTTTAACAAAGTTTGCATGTATTGATCTCATCAGTATCTACAAATAATGAAAAATAATCAAATAGTTGAATATTTAACTTAAATTAAAACTAGTTCTAAATGGTTGATGAACTTTTGATTGATTTTGAAGTATATCCACAAAAATAAATTAAAAATTCTATTATTTTTCCACGGTGATATCTTATTTGTTATTAGATTCAAACTTACACAATAAATATNATAAATTTAACTAATTTCAATAATTATTAAATTAGATTTTTCCTTTAAATATTAATAATATAAGTATATAAATAAACAAGAATCAAGTCTAATTTTTAAAAGCCCAATATCTATATGTTAGATTTTTGAGCTATAATTGAATGTGTCAATTCAAAATGGCCAAAGTCAAGTCAACAAAGTCTTGATTTCATTCACTTTGTGAGTGAAATCAGGACTTTGTTGACTGGTCTCTAAGGTAAGCTGCATCATGTAATGAATAAGACAGTCAGAAGGGTCTCTAAGGTAAGCTGCATCATGTAGTGAATAAGACAGGCTGAAATTCAGAACATGTTAAAATTGAAACAAATCAACAAGGTCTGATGTCCAGGACTTTGGCCCTTGCTGAATTGCCTACATGATCATTCACTTTCCATCTGGCAATAACAGAATCATAAACAAATCCTAGAAAAATTAGTCATTCTGTAGTTTAATAAAATTTTTTACTAATATCTAATTATTACAACTTAGTAACAGAGACTTGAATTTTGATGGAGCTGAACTGACACTTACTGATTTCAAAGATTTCTGATAGCCCCTTTCTATATTTTTCATTAAAAAGTGCTTCAGTATGAGGAAAAAACATTCAGATTTCAAGTATAAAATGTTACAGTTTAATGAGCACCATAAATATATGAGATTTGAGCCAGCAAATTTGTGCCTGGGTCAATGGAAACCAGTTTTTGCATATTGCAGAATAATGTGACATCAAACTTAGATGCTCTAGTACTGTACTGTACCTGTTAAAGCTTACAAAATTTATGAAACGAGAAAATAAGTATTCATCTGAAAGTGCACAAAAGTACCTAAGTAATATATTGAATGATGAAACTTCCAGCCATGACTCATCAGACAGAGTAAGAAAACAAGGATAAAATTCAACTTTCCTCATGTACGTTAAACATTAAATTTTGTTATGTATTCAGAAAAATATTAGAAAGTTGTCTATATGTGAAATTAAATGAAAATACACTGGAGATTTAATGAAAATAATTTTAATTTGCAAGAAATAATCTGTCTGTTACTTGTTCAAATCAAAATGTGCTGAAGTCTAAGACCTTTGTTTCCCAATGTTGTGAAAACTGCCAAATATACAGTTGCTGTCATTGATATATGAACAAACTAAGTGTAATCTATCGCTTTGTCTAGTCATGAAAATTGTACATATCTTTCAGTGTACTCATACAATTTGATATTTTGCAGTTTCTGAAAAATTACATTTTCTGGACATTAACCCTTCTTGAATTGACAGCTTTAATTAGGCTAATACTTAATAAAATTATATAATTTGACTGGCATTGTTTCTGCAGTTATTATTATTGTATTTTTGTGAACATGTGTAAGCTAGTGTATAAATATGTATGTGTAATTTCGCCTAAAGGTGGGATTAACCTAACATCTTGTGCTCATTATTAATAATTAGATATTAATTTCAAATCAAATTAATTTGTAATTATTAATATTAGCACAAGATGGATATTTAATTGCCTACTTTTAGCCAAATTATATCATTTTATAAATTACTGTAATTATTAGCATATTATAACTCAAAAATCCAGCATATAGATTGTTAGCTAATATTCTATTAACAGTAATACTAAAATTATAATGACAAGAGTTGTAAAGGAGCTTGTAATTATAATTACAAGCTTTTTTACTATGTAATCTACTTTATAATTAATTATTATACTTAAATTTAATAGTCATTATTAAATATAATTTAATTTAACAATAAAAAATTTCATTTCAAGTTTTATTTGTTTATACAAAGTTATTAAAACAAGCAAAATTAGCTCTTTTATAAAAGCTCCTTTACAACTACTTTATAAGAATAAAGTAAAATTCAATTGTAAAAAAATTCTGACAAACAATGAAGAAAAATTCTGTTTATGTATTGATTCTATTTCTGAAAATACAAAATATCCCTTTAATGGAAAATAGAGATTTGAATAATATCTATTGTTGATGTCATTGGAATGATGTTAGAATTTCAATAGTAGTATAGTCAATCGAAATTATTCACCAGTCATATAAAGTCATATTAAATTCCTTCTTTGGTGCACCTTTTCAATCATCAGATATTGATGGATATTTAACAGCTTTCTAATATAGCAGTTTGTTTATATTTCATTATAAGTGATCAACATTTTATATGGTTTTATGTCTGTCATGCTTATATACCAATGTCATTATCATTATTGTTTTCTATTAGTTGTTAACTTTTTTTTTTGTGTACAAGAGAAAAATTAACATTTTTAAACTTAATTTTTGAATTCTTTCTGTGCTATAAAAATAAAAAATTTTTCTTTCATATTACTTTTACCATAATACTTTATAACAGGTGAGATTGGAGTTTAATAGATGACAGAATTATATTTTTAATATTTTCGAGTTTGAAAACTCATTATTCAAGATTAAACTTATCAAAAAGTTTATTTTGATTTTTTGCAAGTCTAAAAATATTGGACACACCAATAAAATTAGTATTAAATATGCAGGTACAAGATCATCAATTATACAGAAGACTGAAATGACAAAATAAATGCCAGTTTATACTTTGTGAGAACAAAAAAGAAAAGAGAACTGACACTGAACTGGTTTAGTGTGAAACACTTCATGCATTACTAGTGACATATTTATGTTCTCTTTTGTCAAGAGAAAAGTTGACAGAAATTCTACTTTTCTCTTTGTTGGTAGCCAACAATCATTTGCATTCTTCAACATAATGAGTGATAAAAAATTAAATTTTTAAATCCTATTTCAATAGGTATTACATTCAACAGAAAACTTCTTGAAACAAGCTCTTGACTTCAAACAATTTTTGAGGATAGTTTGTTTCCTAAATACAGCAATCATCTTCAAACTTTGGAAAATAAAATTTGAATAATAAATGGCATCACCTCATATTAATGAACAAATTCAGTTTTTGAAAATTGTTCAAATAACATATATTACAAGACATCCTAGGTAACTAATTCTATTAAGTGCACATCAAACACATAACTGGCCTCATGATTTGGAAAAAGTTTTGTATATTTCTTTCTCAATCATTTTTTGATCATTTATAAGAAACTTTATTCTAAATTTTTTGCTGCATTTTAACAAATAAGTTTACCAGTAAAGAGTTATTACAGTATCAAAATATATTTTTACAAATACATTTTATTCATCAAATGAAATTGTAATTTTTGATAAATTAATAATTACAGTTCAATTGTAACTAAAAACAAAACATCTCAATGTCAAGGGTATGATAGTGAAATTTTTTCAATACAGAAATAATTTAACTTATGGAATGTAAACTTGTATAAACTTTTGTAAGTTTTATATTAAATATACTGAATGTTTAAATTGATTTTTAATGAATTTATCAAAACAAAAATCAAATTACATCATTTTCTGAAATCATACACTTTAGATAGGCTACTCGACTGAACAAACACCACCCACAAAAACAGATTTTTGTTTAATAACAAATATTTTTATTTTAACTTTTTTCATTCATCTGTAAAAAGTTCCCTAAGATAAAAATGAATAACCAATCTAAAAATAAAATAAAACCTTACATCTGCCTACCTTTGCTGGACAAAATTATACTCAATTCAGTTCGTTTTTTTCATAAGTGAAAAAAACAAACTGCATGCAGAACACAATCATCAGCATGTTTTACAACCATATCAATGGATGAAGTGTTTTAACAATACATGTCTGTGACACACTTAGATTTGTTGCAAATTTACAAGTTCTTATTTGTTAATCTTTAACAATTCTCTTAAACAATCTTCCTGCAATTTCTCTTCAACAGCTTTTGGGGGCCCATACATTTTGAGTCCTTTGGTTCAAAATTTCCCAAACTAAACTTTCAAAACCACATTTGACAAAGTTTAGAAGCATCTTCCTCATACATGGTACAAGTATTTTTTTTTACTGTTTGTATAGAGTGATATCAATTTATGAAACTTAAAAATATGCATAATATGCCCAATGTGCATTTTATCTGCAAACATTTTAACTTGGTTTTATTTAAACCAAATGTGATGCAAGAAAGTTTAAAATAAGCTTGAAAAAATAAAGAATACAATTTCAAATCAGAAATAATATGTTAAATTTCACAACTTATAATTACATCACATATTTAAGTAAAAACAGCTGTTAATAAAAATACACAAAAACTTTCCTTTCAAACCCCAATAAATTTATTTTAATACAGTAGTCGTATTTTGCTATGCTGTATTGCGTATGTGTATTTTTTTACTTTTTTATGATTTATACATGCTAGGCTTGTAAACTTCTTATTACTTCTTGTTAAAGATACTGATTTTTCTGTTATATGGCCCAATTTTCCTTTTCGTTTCTGCATTAGACAGGTTCCGCTATATGCAGGTTAATTTACATTAATATTTGCAAAAAATTCAAGGGACCAAAAAAAATTTTCTGTTAATGACAGGTTTTTGCTACATACAGGTTCCGTTATAGACAGGTTTGACTGTATAAAGTGTAGGAAAATAAAGAAATTCCTATTGTTACACTAAGCACTCACACAAAAAAGTTATAAGGATAGTGAATTTTGAAAAGAAATATGTGGGGAAAAATTAAGTATATATGAACTGCTATAAGTGATAATTTTCAATTCCACTGTTTTCTATGAAAAATATTAATGCAATTAAATATTGGTGTAACAGCATAGCTTAAGAGTGGAAATATTGTAATTAGGTTTATATATGTATATAAGTTATTAACTATAAATATATATATTTTTTAAAAGGACTCTTTGTAATTTTCCGGCAACAAGCAGCCTACAAAGGATGGTCAGTCGCCGAAAATGTGTTAGTCTTGGAACACAAAAAATAAATGGTGATCCTTTTTGGACAGTTTTGTCTTCAATTCTATTAAAAATATTTTTTATTTTAAAGCAAATTTGCTAACCTCCCATTTACAGCTAATCCTAATGTTGCTAGATCTAGATTGGAACTTCCATCTCTTACTGAACTGATTGCATTAAATATTTTGATTGCTTACTTTTTTACAAATATTTCAATGGTTTTATTCACTCTAACTGGCTTTCCCTGCAATTCCTCAAAGTTTAGCCCATTATCTATCTTGTATTTTTACCCCTTCTTTTAGGCTAATTCTTTCTATTATTTTTAGTCTACTGTTCTTCTCAAGGTATTTGTTATGTTGACAATTTTTATATTTTGATTTATTACATTTTAAATATACATGTAAATGTCTACTCTATAACATAAAATCTTTTGATCTGTAATTTATTTGTTTATTTTAGAAATAATTTTGTTTTATCTTATTATTTTTTTCATGCATTTGTTTGTTATATGTTTATTTTTTCTTTTGTTATCTCTTCTAAGGGTCTTTTTTCGTTTTATTGAATTGGGAAAGGAAACCAATTGTCTAGTGACTTCCTATTGTATTTGTAAATAAATAAATAAATAAATAAATAAATGTTTATATATAAAATTATGTAAACTCACTATTTCTACATCTTGCTTCTTGAACTTGCCACTTTCCAAAGTTGCATCTTGCCGTTTTATTCTGTAAAATAATGTCTGATTTCGAACATGCATTGACATATACAACAATACTTCGATGCTCATTTTCATAATTTTCCAAAGGTCTTCCTTTTCCATTAATGGGAGGTGGGCTCCTACATCGAGCTAATGTAAAAACAAATTATTCAGAGCTAAAATTTTATCTATTTTTAAAATTCACTTATCTTTTAGCTAAAATAATTATCTTTATTTATTATATCATAAATAATAGAGGAAAAATTATAAATATTTCATAAATAAAATACTAAAATATTTTTAATAAGACAGTTATTGACACAATGTTAAAAAAAATGAAAACAAAGTTCTAAATTATAATAAGAATCAAAATATATCTATAGAATAAACAGTAGTTGCAAGTTTAAGTCCTATTGTGAATAAATCTTTTCTTCCAAAATATTGTAAATTTATTTATTTCTAATTATTAATTTTAATACAGAATGATGATTTAACTATCTACTTTTAGTCCATATTACATAGTAACTGTAAATGAATTAACCAAGTTATTATCCAACAATGAATCTGCAGTATTATTTAAAAAATGTAACTAAATTTGTTAGTACAGTCAAATCTCAGTTTTCAAACTTATTTTGTTCCTAAAAATTGTTCTCAAGCCAATCTGTTCTGAAACCAAAACAAATTTTCTCATAAGAAACAATATAAAATGGATTAATCTGTTTCCAACCCCAAAACAAATTCTTTTTAGTTGCATTTCATGCAAAATACTTACAAAACCACCATTTTACAAAAAAGTGCTATAAATAGGACTCAACTCTGACTACTGCATGAAATACAGTGAAACCTCGGTATATGACCTTAATCCATTCCTGGTGTTTGGACTTATACTGAATAGGACATATACCAAACCAACCTTTCACATAAGAAGTAATGTAAAAATGATTAATCCATTCTCATGTAAAAAAAAATGGCTGGCTTTAAACATCTCACTTTCCTGGCTAGTTCCTACTTGATTTTTCATGAGATCAGCATGTATCTTTAGCTTTCTCACAAATAATTGCTTCTGATACACTGTCACCAGCACACTGTTTTTCAGTTATCCAAAGCAAAAGCAATTTCTCAATATGATATAATGTCTTTGATCTCTGTTTAGAAATTGATTTAACCCCTTTTGCAACGTTAGCAGATTTAATAATGTCTTTATTTTTCACGAATGACGATATCGTTCTCGAAATAAGGTATACAACAGTTAAATCTTGAACACGCATGCCACCTTCATATTTCTCAACAATCTCTTTTTTCAGTTACATTGTGATTCTAGTCATTTTTTTAGCTTTCTGTTGCTTTTCATTTGCCTTTTTGCAATTCATGATTAATAAAAATAATAAAATTTTACTTACAAATTAAAATCAGAAGAAATTTAACAAAGTTATAAACCATGCACCGCAAACGTCTAGTCTGGTCTAGTACACTGACAATGCTACTTGTTCATAGATGGCACATATAATTGAATTAAGTTGTATACCAAGCAAAATTTGTTTCGTCCAAACAGGATGTATTCCAAATTGGACGTATTCTAAAGCATACATATACCGAGGTACCACTGTATAACCAAATCAATCAAGACCAACAAGTACTTTATCCACACTTTCTGAAATATTATGTTTCAAATGATTTGATTTAAATTTTAATTAATTAATTAACTTTGATTTTATTTTTAATTTTAGATTCAGTTTTGGTGTAAAAACCAGATTTTTAATTATTATTTTATTATTTTTAGTTTTAATTAACTGTATGTGCATGTACTGTTCATTGAAAAAAATACACTCACTGTATAAATACCATTTGTTGTACACATAAATTCTCTCTTGCTCTCATTGTGAAAGCATCTATTGCGATATGCTCATATGTTTTCAGTGCTTTTTTGCTTTATTTTTTGTACTGGAAAGATTTCAAAACCATGTGCAAAGCACAATAAGGTTTGTAAGTTTTATTTATAATTAATGCTTTGTTGTTATTAGATTACTTCATAGAAAGTTTTAATGGTAAGTAGTAAATTACATAACCTGTAAGTATGAAGATAAATTATATCCAATTCAATAGTTTTATTTTAGTTGGCAGAGAAGGAGCAGATACACCAGTGATCAAATAAAAAGGTTACTTACAAGAAGTAAAATGAAAAGTTCAGCAATTTCATAATTAGATTTGGTAATACTGTTAGCTGGTATAATCTGACTGACTTGTCACAAGTCATTAATTCAAACACATAGTGAAAGCATATTGTTATTTTTGTAGTTGTAGTATTTATTTGAAATGTCTCACACAAACAAATATAAAATTTTTCTAGTATAAAATTATCAATACATAAACAATTAAAGTGACTACAAATTAGGATTAAAGTTTATGCAAAATAATCAGATTATTACCTGGATGACAAGCAGGTTTTGGTTCAAAATTGCCAGAATTGCAGGTAATTTCTACATCTCCTTGATACCATTCTTCTGTTGGTATTTCATAATTAGGATTACATCGTAAAAATATTTTTTTTCCGTGTTCTATTTTTGTTTCAGGTTTTATCTGAAAGACAAAGACTATAAATTATAATTAAACAATAAGAATATATTCTAATTCATTAATAAAACCTTTTAACAAAGTTTGCATGTATTGATCTCATCAGTATCTACAAATAATGAAAAATAATCAAATAGTTGAATATTTAACTTAAATTAAAACTAGTTCTAAATGGTTGATGAACTTTTGATTGATTTTGAAGTATATCCACAAAAATAAATTAAAAATTCTATTATTTTTCCACGGTGATATCTTATTTGTTATTAGATTCAAACTTACACAATAAATATGCGTAACTATGTTCCCATTCTGGAACTTCATGTTTATATAATTGAAATTTAATTTTATTATGTACATAATTGGTTTTGTTTTTATAAATTTATGCATTAATTCATTATACAAACAACTATACGTATTAATTAGTAAAAATATTTTTCTACAAGAATAAAATTTTAATGTCTCTAAAATTGTTTAAATAAATAATTAAAAATAAAATAATTTAAAAAATTAAAAGATTAAACTTCAAAAACAAAAAAATCCTAAAAAAATTTGAATCTCTCCGTCATTAACATTCTATCTTGGAATGAATATAAATCTCTGATATATTTGAATTCAAATATATCAGAGTCTTATATGCATTCCAACGTAAAACACTAACAAGAGAAATTTGATATTTTAGGGGATTCTATCTGAGGAAGGAACTAATCATGGACCAAAAACATTAGTAATGGAACAGTTTTTTCAATTAAATGCAAAATACAATAAGATTTGCAAGTTTTATATATATTGATTAATGCTTTGTTGCTGGAAGATTACTTTATGTGAAATTATTAATATAAAACCATAACACAATAATTACAATAAACAGACATTTATAAAAACAATAACTAAATATTAAATTTCACTTACCTGAGTAAAGTATCGACGTTCATGTTTACCCATTACACCTCTTCCAAGTTTTGGGACAGTACAAAGACCTATACAAAAATTAATTAGATTATAATACAGTATGCTAAATGATGATTATAATAAATGATATAAAAATTATAATACCATATGACAAATGCTGATTAGAATAAAGCTGGGTAGCCACATAAGCAATTTCACCATATCAAGTAAGCACATAATCAAATGATTTCCACAAGATTTGCACAGTTGATATCCATTATGTGATTTGCATTTCATTCGTACACTATCTGGCAAGAAGAAAGGAGAATAAATCAAAGATGGATGACAATGACATGATGACTTAATGACATACCTGCTTTATAGAAAAAAGAAAAAGAAAACAAAATATCGATTTTAATCTATATACTTTCAACCCTTTAATCAAATATTTTTGGAAAATTGCAACTTCTATTAATTTCTCAGTTGATGTATTCATCCACTGAGCCATTTTGTAAATAATGATGTCAAACCATCTTATTTGTTTCTGATTGACTGCATTTGATTTGCACAATGAAAAAGTACTGTACATCCAGCTCATGCATCTAATTCATGCCTAACTGCACAATTTAGATGCTCATTTTTTCTAGGTCACCACATATGTTAGTGCCAAAAGTGTTCAAATTATGTATGAAATTGCTCATGTGAGTATTCAGCTTAAGTGATATAAGTTTATATCACTTATTATATAAGATATCACTTATATAAGATAATGCTGATTACAATAAGTGATGATATAATATCATCACTTATTGTAATCAGCATTTGGTAATAATTATTATCATCTTTAAGAATGTAACATGAAAAGACATGTCAGTCTCAATATGTTGCTGATAACACTCAATTGTCATTTGTCTTATCCAGTGCTTTAATATTAATTATTTTAAGCATTATTTGCTCATAGCACAATAATTTAAATTTTTCACATTTCTTAGTTTAATTATAAACTATCTATTGTTTAAAATGGTACATCAAAAATCAGTATGCAAATAGCACTGAATGAATGAATTACTATGCATTGGAAGGGATCATTCCACTGTTTCAACAAGTCTCCATATTAAAAACATCCATACAGGGAAGCATATCAGACATATGGAGGCACTTGAAATTTTCAAGGCAAACAAGAAAGGGAGCTGCATTAATAACAAAGAAGAAAAAACAAGCATGGCAAACATGTCTTGACACCACATTACAAGCTCCACATCAGAGAATTCCTTAGTGTGCATGACAGCAAAATTAAAAAATGCATGCGATTCAAAATGAAAATCAAAAGAACATTCCAGTATTCCAAATTCCTGATGAAGACATTCCAAATAGGTTGAAAAGGTTAGATGATGTTAGTTTTGACAAATGCTGGACTATTTTGACAGATTAGTGAGAATTTGTGTGGAAATCATCCAGTTTTGAGTAAAGTTATTGTTGATTGTAGTCTTATTTACTTAACTGTTCTTATCACCATCATTTCAAGTTATAGTTATAAGTATGGATGAATCCCAAGTAATTACAGTTTTTATTGTATAGTAGAAGTTTGTCACCTGACACCTGATAATCCAGCATCCTCTGAACAGTAGCCAATAATCTGAAATTATCTAATAATAATCCAGCATACTAGTATTCCAAGAAATGGAATTTGTTTGGACTTATCATGTGCTAAACATCCTAGGTAGAAATTGAAGCAAAGATGAAAGTGCAGCCAGGCACATTGCTATATGATGGAAGGTTTACCAAGAGATTAAGTGAGAGTGATTAAGAAAAATAACCCATTTTATTACAGCATCTTATCTATGTCTGATTAAATGCTTTCACTGGTGCTTTCCTTAGCCTAATACATACTTATGTCACAATTGCTGAACAATAAATGCAAACATCTTTCAGGATCAATCTTGAAAGCATCATTTTATCACAGGTTCACAGGTTTCCAAGAGAATTCAATCCTTACTATGTCTGCACAGCAGTGCTTGTAAACGGAGCTTTTTCTACAGTAATGCCATGCATTTCAGAATTTGCTTTTCAGTTGCTAATAACGTGTTCTTAGGTTATTCTCCATTTATCATTTATTAAGCAGAATCAATGATTAAAATCAATAGGCCAATCCTATATTTAGGCAACATACCTCATCTCTAAATCAAACTTTTGCTATTATTAGCCATAAACTTTGACCATCAACTTCTATTCAATAACAATGCAAGCATTTACTCCCTATACACAGTTTGAATGAAACTGGAGAAAGGGAGAACTTTTAACCCTATGAAATAATTATCATTACATTAATCAAACCTGTGAACATTCACAAATTGGAACATATACTTAATACAGCCAAAAATGTTTATTGTATTAATTAAATTCCTATTTTTCTGGAACTGAAAAGGTGTTTGGTGTGTTAGTTTTCACTTCTTAGTTTTGAGAGTTATATTTTTGGTTCATTTTTAGTCTAGATCAGGAATTCCCAAAGTGGTCAATATCAATCCCTGGGCAATTTTGGAGGGAATTCAATTAAAAATGGTTCATTTAGTCCAATGGGTTATAGTTCAGAATGTTGTAAATTTGCATACTAAGTAGATCTTTCCTATGAAAACTGATGTGTGAATCAATATTGCTTCACCAGATTTATTTATTTATTTATCATTATTATTATTAATTAACCTTTCAGCAGTGGGTTAGTCAGGTATGATGCTATCCCTATGTAGTGGAAAATAAACGTGGGAAATTTTTAAAGTATTTTTCCACATGCTTTTTCTCATTACCATTTCAGAAAAAAATTTTGTAAACAGTTATGTCCAGTAAAGAAAAGTCTTTTTTTATTGTTAGATAATTCCTTTTTTTATGTGAATTTTTTTTTCATGGTAGTTTTTGGCTAAAATATCCGTCCTTCACCACTGCCACACGATTGCCCTTGATGGATATATCCATCAGTCTCTGCTGAGTGGCTAACTATATTATGAAAAAAAAAAGGTTGCTAAAAGATCAAGAAATCCTTCAAGGAGTTGACAGTCAAAAAAAGTTTGAGGACCCCTGATATAGATCAATCTGAGTCTTACTTTTGTAATGATATCTACTAGTTTTTTTTTAATTTTAGACAACATATTTCATTCCTGACTAGAAATACTGTTTTTCTTGATTTGGCTTTCTCTGAAGTTACTACGATTTCTGCCCATTCTTTTATCCAATCACTCACATGCTGTTTTCTTGGATATTCCCTCCTTTCATCATCTCTCCATACCTATAGAAATGCATTCCTGTTTCTTTATGGAATCATGTAGATTAGAAACTTGTCTTGTTCTTTCTTTCTTCTTTAAGCTGGGTCCTTTTTTGAATGATGAATTAATTTCAACAAAACAAAAAATAAATCTTATCTATGAATAATAATAAAGATATAAATAATTTTGGACCAATTCAAATCTTTTATCCTTTTTTAAAATTCCAGCCGGAGACAACTAATGGTAAACAACTTGAAAATAAAATACAATTCTTCATTAAAATGACTAACAATATAACATTAAAAATACATACTTAATAAACTTGACACCTTTTATTGTAGGATCTGGTGCCAATTTCACATAACACTAAAACTTTTCATATCAATCTGGTCACAGTTGTATTTAAATACCACTCTGAAGTCTCCTGATGGAAATTCAGAAATTAAATAATACTTACATAATTACATAAATTGTATACTTCCAAGGATCATTTACATATTTACATATTGTCATATCACTGAAAATATTAGAATATTGTTTATCTTTATTATCTTATTGAAGCTTGGCTAAAACCAATTCAACATTGCAGCATTCAGCATTGACCCATAACTAATTTACTTTTGACTCAACATGAAATTTTAATTAATCTTATAAAAACCTACATAAACAGCCATTAACAAAAAAGTTATACACCAAGGAGATATTGCAATCAAATGAAACTTTACAGTATGAATGTAATGACAATGGGAATGAGTGATTATAATAACAAAAACAAAGACACTGAGTTCAGCGTTACATGCGGTTTTTTTTTTTTTTTTTGTTATAGAATAATGTGAGTTCGGTTCTTATTCGATATAAATGTNATTACTTTTACCATAATACTTTATAACAGGTGAGATTGGAGTTTAATAGATGACAGAATTATATTTTTAATATTTTCGAGTTTGAAAACTCATTATTCAAGATTAAACTTATCAAAAAGTTTATTTTGATTTTTTGCAAGTCTAAAAATATTGGACACACCAATAAAATTAGTATTAAATATGCAGGTACAAGATCATCAATTATACAGAAGACTGAAATGACAAAATAAATGCCAGTTTATACTTTGTGAGAACAAAAAAGAAAAGAGAACTGACACTGAACTGGTTTAGTGTGAAACACTTCATGCATTACTAGTGACATATTTATGTTCTCTTTTGTCAAGAGAAAAGTTGACAGAAATTCTACTTTTCTCTTTGTTGGTAGCCAACAATCATTTGCATTCTTCAACATAATGAGTGATAAAAAATTAAATTTTTAAATCCTATTTCAATAGGTATTACATTCAACAGAAAACTTCTTGAAACAAGCTCTTGACTTCAAACAATTTTTGAGGATAGTTTGTTTCCTAAATACAGCAATCATCTTCAAACTTTGGAAAATAAAATTTGAATAATAAATGGCATCACCTCATATTAATGAACAAATTCAGTTTTTGAAAATTGTTCAAATAACATATATTACAAGACATCCTAGGTAACTAATTCTATTAAGTGCACATCAAACACATAACTGGCCTCATGATTTGAAAAAAGTTTTGTATATTTCTTTCTCAATCATTTTTTGATCATTTATAAGAAACTTTATTCTAAATTTTTTGCTGCATTTTAACAAATAAGTTTACCAGTAAAGAGTTATTACAGTATCAAAATATATTTTTACAAATACATTTTATTCATCAAATGAAATTGTAATTTTTGATAAATTAATAATTACAGTTCAATTGTAACTAAAAACAAAACATCTCAATGTCAAGGGTATGATAGTGAAATTTTTTCAATACAGAAATAATTTAACTTATGGAATGTAAACTTGTATAAACTTTTGTAAGTTTTATATTAAATATACTGAATGTTTAAATTGATTTTTACTGAATTTATCAAAACAAAAATCAAATTACATCATTTTCTGAAATCATACACTTTAGATAGGCTACTTGACTGAACAAACCCCACCCACAAAAACAGATTTTTGGTTAATAACAAATATTTTTATTTTAACTTTTTTCATTCATCTGTAAAAAGTTCCCTAAGATAAAAACGAATAACCAATCTAAAAATAAAATAAAACCTTACATCTGCCTACCTTTGCTGGACAAAATTATACTCAATTCAGTTCGTTTTTTTCATAAGTGAAAAAAACAAACTGCATGCAGAACACAATCATCAGCATGTTTTACAACCATATCAATGGATGAAGTGTTTTAACAATACATGTCTGTGACACACTTAGATTTGTTGCAAATTTACAAGTTCTTATTTGTTAATCTTTAACAATTCTCTTAAACAATCTTCCTGCAATTTCTCTTCAACAGCTTTTGGGGGCCCATACATTTTGAGTCCTTTGGTTCAAAATTTCCCAAACTAAACTTTCAAAACCACATTTGACAAAGTTTAGAAGCATCTTCCTCATACATGGTACAAGTATTTTTTTTTACTGTTTGTATAGAGTGATATCAATTTATGAAACTTAAAAATATGCATAATATGCCCAATGTGCATTTTATCTGCAAACATTTTAACTTGGTTTTATTTAAACCAAATGTGATGCAAGAAAGTTTAAAATAAGCTTGAAAAAATAAAGAATACAATTTCAAATCAGAAATAATATGTTAAATTTCACAACTTATAATTACATCACATATTTAAGTAAAAACAGCTGTTAATAAAAATACACAAAAACTTTCCTTTCAAATCCCAATAAATTTATTTTAATACAGTAGTCGTATTTTGCTATGCTGTATTGCGTATGTGTATTTTTTTACTTTTTTATGATTTATACATGCTAGGCTTGTAAACTTCTTATTACTTCTTGTTAAAGATACTGATTTTTCTGTTATATGGCCCAATTTTCCTTTTCGTTTCTGCATTAGACAGGTTCCGCTATATGCAGGTTAATTTACATTAATATTTGCAAAAAATTCAAGGGACCAAAAAAAATTTTCTGTTAATGACAGGTTTTTGCTACATACAGGTTCCGTTATAGACAGGTTTGACTGTATAAAGTGTAGGAAAATAAAGAAATTCCTATTGTTACACTAAGCACTCACACAAAAAAGTTATAAGGATAGTGAATTTTGAAAAGAAATATGTGGGGAAAAATTAAGTATATATGAACTGCTATAAGTGATAATTTTCAATTCCACTGTTTTCTATGAAAAATATTAATGCAATTAAATATTGGTGTAACAGCATAGCTTAAGAGTGGAAATATTGTAATTAGGTTTATATATGTATATAAGTTATTAACTATAAATATATATATTTTTTAAAAGGACTCTTTGTAATTTTCCGGCAACAAGCAGCCTACAAAGGATGGTCAGTCGCCGAAAATGTGTTAGTCTTGGAACACAAAAAATAAATGGTGATCCTTTTTGGACAGTTTTGTCTTCAATTCTATTAAAAATATTTTTTATTTTAAAGCAAATTTGCTAACCTCCCATTTACAGCTAATCCTAATGTTGCTAGATCTAGATTGGAACTTCCATCTCTTACTGAACTGATTGCATTAAATATTTTGATTGCTTACTTTTTTACAAATATTTCAATGGTTTTATTCACTCTAACTGGCTTTCCCTGCAATTCCTCAAAGTTTAGCCCATTATCTATCTTGTATTTTTACCCCTTCTTTTAGGCTAATTCTTTCTATTATTTTTAGTCTACTGTTCTTCTCAAGGTATTTGTTATGTTGACAATTTTTATATTTTGATTTATTACATTTTAAATATACATGTAAATGTCTACTCTATAACATAAAATCTTTTGATCTGTAATTTATTTGTTTATTTTAGAAATAATTTTGTTTTATCTTATTATTTTTTTCATGCATTTGTTTGTTATATGTTTATTTTTTCTTTTGTTATCTCTTCTAAGGGTCTTTTTTCGTTTTATTGAATTGGGAAAGGAAACCAATTGTCTAGTGACTTCCTATTGTATTTGTAAATAAATAAATAAATAAATAAATAAATGTTTATATATAAAATTATGTAAACTCACTATTTCTACATCTTGCTTCTTGAACTTGCCACTTTCCAAAGTTGCATCTTGCCGTTTTATTCTGTAAAATAATGTCTGATTTCGAACATGCATTGACATATACAACAATACTTCGATGCTCATTTTCATAATTTTCCAAAGGTCTTCCTTTTCCATTAATGGGAGGTGGGCTCCTACATCGAGCTAATGTAAAAACAAATTATTCAGAGCTAAAATTTTATCTATTTTTAAAATTCACTTATCTTTTAGCTAAAATAATTATCTTTATTTATTATATCATAAATAATAGAGGAAAAATTATAAATATTTCATAAATAAAATACTAAAATATTTTTAATAAGACAGTTATTGACACAATGTTAAAAAAAATGAAAACAAAGTTCTAAATTATAATAAGAATCAAAATATATCTATAGAATAAACAGTAGTTGCAAGTTTAAGTCCTATTGTGAATAAATCTTTTCTTCCAAAATATTGTAAATTTATTTATTTCTAATTATTAATTTTAATACAGAATGATGATTTAACTATCTACTTTTAGTCCATATTACATAGTAACTGTAAATGAATTAACCAAGTTATTATCCAACAATGAATCTGCAGTATTATTTAAAAAATGTAACTAAATTTGTTAGTACAGTCAAATCTCAGTTTTCAAACTTATTTTGTTCCTAAAAATTGTTCTCAAGCCAATCTGTTCTGAAACCAAAACAAATTTTCTCATAAGAAACAATATAAAATGGATTAATCTGTTTCCAACCCCAAAACAAATTCTTTTTAGTTGCATTTCATGCAAAATACTTACAAAACCACCATTTTACAAAAAAGTGCTATAAATAGGACTCAACTCTGACTACTGCATGAAATACAGTGAAACCTCGGTATATGACCTTAATCCATTCCTGGTGTTTGGACTTATACTGAATAGGACATATACCAAACCAACCTTTCACATAAGAAGTAATGTAAAAATGATTAATCCATTCTCATGTAAAAAAAAATGGCTGGCTTTAAACATCTCACTTTCCTGGCTAGTTCCTACTTGATTTTTCATGAGATCAGCATGTATCTTTAGCTTTCTCACAAATAATTGCTTCTGATACACTGTCACCAGCACACTGTTTTTCAGTTATCCAAAGCAAAAGCAATTTCTCAATATGATATAATGTCTTTGATCTCTGTTTAGAAATTGATTTAACCCCTTTTGCAACGTTAGCAGATTTAATAATGTCTTTATTTTTCACGAATGACGATATCGTTCTCGAAATAAGGTATACAACAGTTAAATCTTGAACACGCATGCCACCTTCATATTTCTCAACAATCTCTTTTTTCAGTTACATTGTGATTCTAGTCATTTTTTTAGCTTTCTGTTGCTTTTCATTTGCCTTTTTGCAATTCATGATTAATAAAAATAATAAAATTTTACTTACAAATTAAAATCAGAAGAAATTTAACAAAGTTATAAACCATGCACCGCAAACGTCTAGTCTGGTCTAGTACACTGATAATGCTACTTGTTCATAGATGGCACATATAATTGAATTAAGTTGTATACCAAGCAAAATTTGTTTCGTCCAAACAGGATGTATTCCAAATTGGACGTATTCTAAAGCATACATATACCGAGGTACCACTGTATAACCAAATCAATCAAGACCAACAAGTACTTTATCCACACTTTCTGAAATATTATGTTTCAAATGATTTGATTTAAATTTTAATTAATTAATTAACTTTGATTTTATTTTTAATTTTAGATTCAGTTTTGGTGTAAAAACCAGATTTTTAATTATTATTTTATTATTTTTAGTTTTAATTAACTGTATGTGCATGTACTGTTCATTGAAAAAAATACACTCACTGTATAAATACCATTTGTTGTACACATAAATTCTCTCTTGCTCTCATTGTGAAAGCATCTATTGCGATATGCTCATATGTTTTCAGTGCTTTTTTGCTTTATTTTTTGTACTGGAAAGATTTCAAAACCATGTGCAAAGCACAATAAGGTTTGTAAGTTTTATTTATAATTAATGCTTTGTTGTTATTAGATTACTTCATAGAAAGTTTTAATGGTAAGTAGTAAATTACATAACCTGTAAGTATGAAGATAAATTATATCCAATTCAATAGTTTTATTTTAGTTGGCAGAGAAGGAGCAGATACACCAGTGATCAAATAAAAAGGTTACTTACAAGAAGTAAAATGAAAAGTTCAGCAATTTCATAATTAGATTTGGTAATACTGTTAGCTGGTATAATCTGACTGACTTGTCACAAGTCATTAATTCAAACACATAGTGAAAGCATATTGTTATTTTTGTAGTTGTAGTATTTATTTGAAATGTCTCACACAAACAAATATAAAATTTTTCTAGTATAAAATTATCAATACATAAACAATTAAAGTGACTACAAATTAGGATTAAAGTTTATGCAAAATAATCAGATTATTACCTGGATGACAAGCAGGTTTTGGTTCAAAATTGCCAGAATTGCAGGTAATTTCTACATCTCCTTGATACCATTCTTCTGTTGGTATTTCATAATTAGGATTACATCGTAAAAATATTTTTTTTCCGTGTTCTATTTTTGTTTCAGGTTTTATCTGAAAGACAAAGACTATAAATTATAATTAAACAATAAGAATATATTCTAATTCATTAATAAAACCTTTTAACAAAGTTTGCATGTATTGATCTCATCAGTATCTACAAATAATGAAAAATAATCAAATAGTTGAATATTTAACTTAAATTAAAACTAGTTCTAAATGGTTGATGAACTTTTGATTGATTTTGAAGTATATCCACAAAAATAAATTAAAAATTCTATTATTTTTCCACGGTGATATCTTATTTGTTATTAGATTCAAACTTACACAATAAATAT